AGCAATTTAGGAAAAATTAAATCGTACTTGAAAAATGAAATCTGAAACGTATCATTAATAATCTCACTTAGAAAAACGTGGATGAAATGAAGGCAAGTCAGGTTCAAACGAATGTTCAAATGACTGCGATTAGATGTAAACAGGATGAGATGAAGAGTAATCAGGATGAAATGAAAAAAAATCAGGATGAGATGAAGGTAGGACAAATCTTTCAGTTATTATTTGTTTTAATTTAATTTATATTTATTCAATGAAAATTAGGTTTTAATTGATTTGAATTAGTTTTGAAAAATTGGTATCATTAATAATCTGACTTAGAAAAACGTGGATGAAATTAAAGCAAGTCAGGTTCAAATGAATGTTCAAATGACTGCGATTGGAAACAAACAGGATGAGATGAAGAGAAATCAGGAAGAGATGAAGGTAGGACAAGTCTTTTAGTCATTCATTTCTTAATCTTGTATCCGGATAATTCATGATGAATTTCAGAAGTGGCTAATACTTTTCTTACCCGAGACCTGCTTACTCTCCCCAGGACTTAAGCCTTGACTCGGCGTAGAAACATTTCTAGCGGTAAGATTGCTGCCGGTGATTTAAACTTTGGTGATATCAATGCATCATTGCCTGATTCGCGTGAATAAAGAAAATTTGTTTTTAATTTAGCAAAGTATGAACGAGATGAAAGAACAGTTTGAGAAAATAATGATGATGATGAACCAAACATTTCAAAGAAATAATACAAACAAGAATGGTGCTAGCGCTATGAATCAGACAGGTCCAGTCAACAATCAAGATGTTATTATTATTGGTGGTCGGTATGGCTCAGGAAGTGGCGAGGTATTAAATACAGTCGAGAAATACAACATAGTAGAAGGAAAGTCAACTCCGCTGCCACGATTGAATCATCCTCGAACAGCATCAGTATCGTGTGTTTACAACAATGACGCTTTTGTCGTTGGTGGTTACGATGGTAAAGGAGCAACTGACACGATCGAAGTTTTGAGGATGAACCAACATCCTTTTCGATGGACAATGTTTTATGGTAAACTGCCTGTCAAATTATCTGGTCATGACGTCATAGTTCATCAAGGAAAATTATTCACAATAGGAGGATATGACGGGAATGAAAGAAAAATATCGAATGCCATTTATGAGATCGCTCTTACCCCACCTTATACTGCCAAGCTGCTGACGAGAATGCATCAGGCAAGAAGACATCACAGAGCAGAATTTGTTAATGGAAAACTATTTATCTTGGGCGGAACAACAACCGGCCTTCGTAAAGATGCTCTTCGAAGCGTTGTTGTTTATGATTTGAAAAGGAATAAAATGAAAACATGTCCATTTTTACCTCAGCCTGTTTGTGCTATGTCCACAGTCACTTGGGGTCATATGATCATCGTCGTTGGTGGTGTGGATAATAATGATCATGTATTAAATGACGTCATGATGTACGACACAGACACTGGGCGAAGCGAGAGACTGCCCTCCATGATTCACAAAAGGATCGACAGCTCTGTCGTGATCATGAATGACGTCATTGTCGTGTTTGGTGGATGGAATGAGGAGCAGGGAATTCTCAACTCAGTGGAATCTTTCACCATTGGTGGAGATAACTGGAAAGAACTGCCAGGAATGATAGAAAAAAGACGCGCTGCTACTGCTGTAGTTAAACCGCTGTAGGTAAAGTATAAAAAAATTAATTCAATTATTTAATAAAGGAGGTTAGGATATGTTTTGAACGCCTTTCATTCTGCGTCGATAGAAATTTCATTTAAATCATAACATGACGATGAGACTGGAAGAATTATAATATGAATATCAAAATATTCAAATGTTGAATCACAACATAAAGTTGATTGAACACTTGAATACTTAATAGATATTTGTGAAATTTGCAGGAGAATTTGATGAAAGATTTGAAGTAAAAGAGTTTGTCATTTTGTCCAAGATTGAGATGAACACGAAGTTATAAATGAACAATCAGTGAATGATTACATGAATTAGCTTTTCAAGCCTCTGAGCGCCGCTGACCACTACTGATCTTTTATGAAACTGGATGATTGAACATGTTTTGTAATAAAAATGATATTGTGATAATTATATCATATATAACTGATGTAGTCGCGTGTATTTGTAAATATCGTAGATAAAGACAGAATATTCGTATATATTACTTGATAATAAAACTAATCTTGAAAACATTTGAGAATTGTTTAGAATTAGAGACAATAATAATGAACATTTATAAAACTAGGATAGAATATGGACGCTGAGTTCAGTCAGAACTAAACAATTGTAAATAAAACAAAATCTCAGATAATTCGTAACAAGTAACATTAGATCAGAACACTACAGTATATTCATTCTGATATTTTCCCTTGTTATTCCAAGACAATTTGCATAGTTTGTTAATAGTTTTAATTCTAATGTTAATGTATCATTGTAGAAGTTCATTAAAACAAATCAATTTTTCATGTATAATGTTATATACATCGTCAAATATTTCCATTCTAAGAAAATGCGTTTTGAAAAGCTACCCATGAGGTAAGGTAAGGTATGGGTTGGGGATCAACGGATGATAAAGAGGAATGTTTGGGGATAAATGGTATTGCCTGAGGAATTGCGCTTAGAAATCTCGTTTTATTTCGGGATATTTTTTTCGCTAAACACGCGCAAAAGACAAGAAATAATGAAATTGATAATTCTGATATAAAAGTGAAACACAAGCCATGTTCACTTTTATTCTGTGAGAAAATCTCCACATTAAACACGACTCTTTGCAGATATTAAAATCTGATGCAGAAAATTCCCCGGCGTAAAACACTCTCACTGTAGACTTGAAAGTTCAACGTATTCACATGTGGACTGGATTATAGCAGACACGGAAATATTTATATTTGAAATTATTTTATATTTCTTTACGTCTGAATTCTCAGTATTAGTTTTACTTGGAAATTTATAAAACTTCCACGAATGACATATTGAAACTAAAACTTCCGTGCACAAGAAATGCAATATTTTGAAGCTTTTATTTTATAAGTTAGTAAATAAATGACTATTAAAATGACTACATTGAGTTTATGTATTCTTAATAATGGAAAACTCTTTTTTAACATTGCAATTTCTGTTAAATATATCAGCATAAGTTGAGAATTGTTTTCTATTTTCCCAGGAAATTGAGGTGATTTAAGGTCAAGTTAAGTTTCCTGACATGATAATTTCGCAATATTGAAGTCATCGTCACAGGTTGTGTTACACAAAGAACGAACAAGACTCGAGAATTGTTGCTGTGAAAATCACTGGTAAGTTTCTTGCAAGATTTCTTCCTAATCTTAGACAACTCTCAGACGCGAGATCGCACGAACTCAGCGCCATTGACAGGCAAATTGGTGCGTATCATTTGTTTGAGCTTTGGATATTATTCGCTTCCGAGTATCGCGTTCAGAATGCGAGCAGAAGCTGAGCTAACAAAGGATTTCTCGAGGAAAGAAATGGACCCAAATTAATGAATTGATGGACGATTCTGAGTTCGTCTGATCTCGTGAGAATCCAGTCTTAATAAATGAATGTTTAAATGGTGATTTTCATGAAATCTAAGAGATTCTAGCGAGTTAATACTTCGCGCAATGACTACAGTAAACAAGGTTTATTTGAATACAATAATAAATAAGAGATTATTCTGAAGTATTTGATGGACAATCATCGTCTTGAATACAACAATATATTACGTTAAATATAGGCTCGTATTTTGTGTTGAAATACAAAGAAGGCTGTGATTTTGTTTATTGCGTTTAAGATAGACTATCTAGGTCTAAAATGTGTTTGAACAAAGTGCGCATGCTCAGTTAGGGATGGGCTGACATAATATATTTTCATAATCAACTTAAGGAGGTTCTGATATATAAATTGTTAATGCTGCACAGTGAATATAGAATAGTTGAGTAGATTTCTTGAGGCTGAGATTATAAGTTTTTTGCACATATTATTCCAGAGTTTTGTCAGGAAATCATTTTCAATTCTATGCTAATTTCATAAAAATGTTTTTCGAATTTCTAGCTATTCTCTTGAATGTGAGTTCCGATTATATCCGACCAAAACAATACAATAATCAAACGTAGATATTGCCTTTATTTATTTTTCATCAAAAGATTTTTTGACTAGTTACCTCACAGGAAGAGATCAGTCTGTGAAGAGGTTTATTGAAAGGACTGAATTCTGTTATATTTGTGAAACGCTTCAACGCAAATATTCTGAATTGTCCGCGACTTGAAACTACCAGCGTTTTTATCTGGGACTGAACAAAGTTTTGTTCAAATCCTCCAGTTGAAAAACGTCGTTATTCACGTTTTGGACTTGAGAAGGTTTAAAAACATGAAAATATTATTTTGACATGCTTTTTTTTGTAATCCAGCAGAACTATGGCAGCGAGATGGGAAGATGATTTGCAAGGTTATGACGTGGGTCGTTTTCAAGGAGAAGTCAACGAAGATCTGCTTTGTTCCATTTGTCAGGAAGTTCCAAAGGATCCCAGACTTTGCCAACACAAAGATCATATCTTTTGTTTCGCTCATATATCACGACATCTCGTTCAAAACTCTCAAACATGTCCAGTTTGCAGAGATCCTCTGACTCAAGAAACCTTGAGACGACCAACAGGATTTCTGAAGAATTATTGGGAAGGTCTGAAAATCAAGTGTGATCATCATGAACGAGGATGTCCTGACTACGTTCGTCTGGAACATCTTCCAAAACATGTCGAGGAATGTGGATATGCTCCTGTCATGTGTCGTAATGAAGGATGTGATACAGAGGTTAATAGAAGAGATGTTGAAACTCACGAGAAAGATCTTTGTCACTTCAGAATCGCCAAATGTCACGACTGTAAAAATATCAAAGTGAGTCAAAATAAAATGTTTGGATTTATTCAATGCCATTTACACTCGTATTTTGTCGAGCTGTACGCAATTTATCTCAATAACAATTTCACTTTGACTTAGAAAAATGTCGATGAAACGAACGTTCGAATGACTGCGATAGAAAGAAAACTGGAGGAAATGAAGAGAAAACAGAATGAAATAAAGGTAAGATTAACCATTCAGTTAATATTTGCTTTATATTAGGATGGATTGAAATGCTAAAAAATTTTATTTTGCTGAAATCTGACACTTATAATTAATAATTTGACTTAGAAAAATGTGGATGAAATTGAAGCAAGTCAAGTTCAAACGAATGTTCAAATGACTGCGATTGGAAGTAAACAGGATGAGATGAAGAGAAATCAGGATGAGATGAAGGTAAGACAAGTCTTTTAGTTATTTTTTGTTTTAATTTAATTTTATTCAATAAAAATTAGGTTTTAATTTGAGTTGCATTGGTTTTAAAAAATTAAGTCGTACCTTGAAAAATGAATTCTGAAAGGTATCATTAACAATCTGACTTAGAAAAACGTGGATGAAATTAAGGCAAGTCAGGATCAAATGAATGTTCAAATGACTGCGATTGGAACTAAACAGGATGAGATGAAGAGAAATCAGGATGAGATGAAGGTAGGACAAGTCTTTTAGTCATTCATTTCTTTGAAATAAAATGAATTGAGGTCAGTGACGTTCCACGAATTTTGAGATCAGTGACATGACCAGGCATGGTTAATCTTGTATCCGGGAAAACTGATGAACTTCAGAAGTCGCTAATACTTTTCTTACCTGGGACATGCTTACTCTCCCCAGAACCTGCGCCTTAGAAACAATTCTAGTGGTAAGATTGCTGGAGGTAATTTAAACTTTGGTGATATCAATGCATCATCGTCTGATTCCCGTGATTAAAGAAAATTTATTTTTAATTTAGCAAAGTATGAACGAGATGAGAGAACAGTTTGAGAAAATAATGATGATGATGAACCAAACATTTCAAAGAAATAATACAAACAAGAATGGTGCTAGCGCTATGAATCACAAAGGTCCAGTCAACAATCAAGATATTATTATTATTGGTGGTTGGTATGCCCTAGGAAATGACAAGATATTAAATACGGTCGAGAAATACGACATAGTAGAAGGGAAGTCAACTCCTCTTCCACGATTGAATCATCCTCGACAAGTATCAGCATCGTGTGTTTACAACAATGACATTCTTGTCGTTGGTGGTTACGATGGTAAAGAAGCAATTGAAACGATCGAAGTTTTGAAGATGAACCAACATCCTTTGCGATGGACAATGTTTGATGGTAAACTGCCTGTCAAATTATCTGGTCATGACGTCATAGTTTATCAAGGAAAATTATATACAATAGGAGGATATGCCGGGAATGAAAGAAAAACATCGAATGCTATTTATCAGATTGCTCTTACCCCACCTTATACTGCCAAGCTGCTGACGAGAATGCCTGAGCCAAGAAGAAATCACAGAGCAGAACTTGTTAATGGAAAACTATTTATCTTGGGCGGAACAACAACCAGCTTTAGTAAAGATGCTATTGACAGCGTTATCGTTTATGATTTGATTAAGAATAAGTTCAAGCCATGTCCATCCTTACCTCAGCCTGTTTCTGGAATGTCCACAGTTACTTGGGGTCATGTGATCATCGTCGTTGGTGGTGAGGATAAGAATTACCAAGTATTAAATGACGTTATCATGTACGACACAGAGACTGGGCGAAGCGAGAGTCTGCCCTCCATGATTCACAAAAGGATGGGCAGTTCTGTCGTGATCATGAATGACGTCATTGTCGTGTTTGGTGGATACAACACAGAGCAGAGATATCTCAACTCAGTGGAATCTTTCACCATTGGTGGAGATGGCTGGAAAGAACTGCCAGGAATGATAGGAAAGAGAAAGTATGCTACTGCTGTAGTTAAACCTCTGTAGGTAAAGTATCAAAGAAAAAATTCAATTATTTAATAAAGGAGGTTAGGATATGTTTTGAACGCTTTCATTCTGCGTCGATAGAAATTTCATTTAAATCATAACATGACGATGAGACTGGAAGAATTATAATATGAATATCAAAATATTCAAATGTTGAATCACAACATAAAGTTGATTGAACACTTGAATACTTAATAAATATTTGTGAAATTTGCAGGAGAATTTGATGAAAAATTTGAAGTAAAAGAGTTTGTCATTTTGTCCAAGATTGAGATGAACACGAAGTTATAAATGAACAATCAGTGAATGATTACATGAATTACGTTTTTAAGTCTCTGAGCGCCGCTGACCACCACTGATCTTTTATGAAACTGGATGATTGAAGATGTTTTGTAATAAAAATGATATTGTGATAATTATATCATATATAACTGATGTAGTCGCGTGTATTTGTAAATATTGTAGATAAAGACAGAATATTCGCATATATTACTTGATATTCAAACTAATCTTTAAAACATTTGAGATTTGTTTAGAATTAAACTTATTAAAGACAATAATAATGAACATTTATAAACCTAGGATTGAATATGGAAACTGAGTTCAGTTAGAACTAAACAATTGTAAATAAAACAAAATCTCAGATGATTCGTAACAAGTAACATTAGATCAGACAGCTACAGTATATTCATTCTGATATTTCCCCTTCTTATTCCAAGACAATTTGCATGGTTTGTTAATAGTTTTAATTCTAATGTTAATGTATCATTGTAGAAATTCATTAAATCAAATCAATTTTTCATGTATAATGTTATATACATCGCCAAATATTTCCATTCTAAGAAAATGCGTTTTGAAAAGCTACCCATGAGGTAAGGTAAGGTAAGGGTTGGGGATCAACGGATGATGAAGAGGAATGTTTGGGGATAAATGGTATTGCCTGAGGAATTGCGCTGAAAAATCTCGTTTTATTTCGGGATATTTTTTTCGCTAAACACGCGCAGAAGACAAGAAATAATGAAATTGATAATTCTGATATAAAAGTGAATCACAAGCCATGTTTACTTTTATTCTGTGAGAAAATCTCCACATTAAACACGACTCATCACAGATATTAAAATCTGATGCAGAAAATTCCCCGGCGTAAAACACTCTCACTGTAGACTTGAAAGTTCAACGTATTCACATGTGGACTGGATTATAGCAGACACGGAAATATTTATATTTGAAATTCTTTCATATTTCTTTACGCCTGAATTCTCAGTATGAGTTTTACTTGGAAATTTATAAAACTTCCACGAATGACATATTGAAACTAAAACTTCCGTTCACAAGAAATGCAATATTTTGAAGCTTTTATTTTATAAGTTAGTAAATAAATGACTACAAAAATGACTACTTTGTGTTTATATGTTCTTAATAATGGAAAACTCTTTTTCAACATTGCAATTTCTGTTAAATATATCAGCTTAAGTTGAGAATTGTTTTATGTTTTCCCAGGAAATTGAGGTGATTTAAGGTCAAGTTAAGTTTCCTCACATGATAATTTCGCAATATTAAAGTCATCGTCACAGATTGTGTTACACAAAGAACGAACAAGACTCGAGAATTGTTGCTGTGAAAATCACTGGTAAGTTTCTTGCAAGATTTGTTCCTAATCTTAGACAACTCTCAGACGCGAGATCGCACGAACTCAGCGCCATTGACAGGCAAATTGGTGCGTACCATTTGTTTGAGGTTTGGATATTTAATATTCGCTTCCGAGTATCGCATAATTCGCGTTCAGAATGCGAGCAGAAGCTGAGCTAACAAAGGATTTCTTGAGGAAAGAAATGGACCCAAATTAATGAATTGACGGACGGTTCTGAGTTCGTCTGATCTCGTGAGAATCCAGTCTTAATAAACGAATGTTTAAATGGTGATTTTCATGAAATCTAAGAGATTCTAGCGAGTTAATACTTCGCGCAATGACTACAATAAACAAGGCTTATTTGAATATAATAATACATAAGAGATTAGCCTGAAGTATTTGATGGACAATCATCGTCTTGAATACAACAATATATTACGTTAAATATAGGCTCGTATTTTGTGTTGAAATACAAAGAAGGCTGTGATATTGTTTATTGTGTTAAAGATAGACTTCCTAGTTTCGTGGTAATCTTAAATCTGTTTGAACAAAGTGCGCATGCTCAGTTAGGGATGGGCTGACATAATATATTTTCATAATCAACTTAAGGGGTTCTGATATATAAATTGTTAATGCTGCACAGTGAATATAGAATAGTTGAGTAGATTTCTTGGCTAGATCTAAGTTTTTTGCACATTTTATTCCAGATATTTGTCAGGAAATCATTTTCAATTCTATGCTAATTTAGTTAAAATATTCTTCGAATTTCTAGCTATTTTCTTTAATGTGAGTTCCGTTTATATCCGACCAAAACAATACAATAATCAAACGTAGATATTGTCTTTATTTTATTTTTCATCAAAAGATTCTTTGACTGGTTACCTCACAGGAAGAGATCAGTCTGTGAAGAGGTTTATTGAAAGGACTGAATTCTGTTATATTTGTGAAACGCTTCAACGCAAATATTCTGAATTGTCCGCGAGTTGAAACTACCAGCGTTTTAAAATTCAACTGAACAAAGTTTTTTTCAAATCCTCCAGTTGAAAAACGTCGTTTATTCACGTTTTGGACTTGAGAAGGTTTAAAAACATGAAAATATTATTTTGAGATGCTTTTTTTTCTAATCCAGCAGAACTATGGCAGCGAGATGGGAAGATGATTTGCAAGGTTATGACGTGGGTCGTTTTCAAGGAGAAGTCAACGAAGATCTGCTTTGTTCCATTTGTCAGGAAGTTCCAAAGGATCCCAGACTTTGCCAACACAAAGATCATATATTTTGTTTCGCTCATATATCACGACATCTCGTTCAAAACTCTCAAACATGTCCAGTTTGCAGAGATCCTCTGACTCAAGAAACCTTGAGACGACCAACAGGATTTCTGAAGAATTATTGGGAAGGTCTGAAAATCAAGTGTGATCATCATGAACGAGGATGTCCTGACTACGTTCGTCTGGAACATCTTTCAAGACATGTCGAGAAATGTGGATATGCTCCTGTCATGTGTCGTAATAAAGGATGTGATACAGAGGTCAATAGAAGAGATATTGAAACTCACGAGAAAGATCTTTGTCAGTTCAGAATCGCCAAATGTGACGACTGTAAAGATATCAAGGTAAGTCAAAATGAAAGGTTCTGATTTATTCAATGTCTTTTACACTCATATTTTGTCAAGTTGTACCCAGTTCATCTCCATAACAATTTTTTTTTGAATCAGGAAAATGTGGATGAAACAAATGTTCGAATGGCTGCGATAGAAAAAAATCAGGATGAAATGAAGGTAAGACAACTCTTTCAGTTATTATTTGTTTTAATTTAGGAGCAATTTAGAAAAAATTAAATCGTGTTTGAAAAATTAAATTTGAAACGTATCATTAATAATCTGACTTAAAAAAACGTGGATGAAATTAAGGCAAGTCAGGATGAAATGAATGTTCAAATGACTGCGATTGGAAGTAAACAGGATGAAATGAAGAGAAATCAGGATGAAATGAAGAGAAATCAGGATGAGATGAAGAGAAATCAGGATGAGATGAAGAGAAATCAGGATGAGATGAAGGTAGGACAAGTCTTTCAGTTATTATTTGTTTTAAATTCGAAGGAAGTTAGGAAAAATTAAATCGTACTTGAAAAATGAAATTTGAAACGTATCATTAATAATCTGACTTAGAAAAACGTGGATGAAATTAAGGCAAGTCAGGATCAAATGAATGTTCAAGTGACTGCGATTGGAAACAAACAGGATGAAATGAAGAGAAATCAGGATGAGATGAAGAGAAATGAGGATGAGATGAAGAGAAATCAGGAAGAGATGAAGAGAAATGAGGATGAGGTGAAGAGAAATCAGGAAGAGATGAAGGTAGGACAAGTCTTTTAGTAATTCATTTCTTTGATAATACTTTTCTTACCTGGGACCTTCTCACTCTCCCCAGGACCTCGGCGTAGAAACTTTTTTAGTGGTAAGATTGCTGGCGGTAATTTAAACTGTCGTGATATCAATGCATTATCGGCTGATTCGCGTGATTAAAGAAAATTCATTTTTAATTTAGCAAAGTATGAACGAGATGAAAGAACAGTTTGAGAAAATAATGATGATGATGAACCAAACATTCCAAGAAAATAATACAAACAAGAATGGTGCTAGCGCTATGAATCACGCAGGTCCAGTCAACAATCAAGATGTTATTATTATTGGTGGTCGGTATGGCCTAGAAAAAAACGAGGTATTAAATACAGTCGAGAAATACAACATAGTAGAAGGAAAGTCAACTCCGCTGCCAGGATTGAATCATCCTCGAACAGCACCAGCATCGTGTGTTTACAACAATGACGTTCTTGTCGTTGGTGGTCACGATGGTAAAGAAGTAACTGACACGATTGAAGTTTTGAACATGAACCAACATCCTTTGCGATGGACAATGTTTGATGGTAAACTGCCTGTCAAATTATATGCTCATGACGTAATAGTTTATCAAGGAAAATTATATATAATAGGAGGACATGACGGGAATGAAGGAAAAACATCAAATGCCATTTATGAGATTGCTCTTACCCCACCTTATACTGCCAAGCTGTTGACGAGAATGCCTGAGCCAAGAAAACATCACAGAGCAGAACTTGTTAATGGAAAATTATTTATCTTGGGTGGGACGACAACCGGCCTTAGTAAAGATGCTCTTGACAGCGTTGTTGTTTATGATTTGACTAAGAATAAGTTCAAGCCATGTCCATCGTTACCTCAGCCTGTTTGTTATATGTCCACAGTCACTTGGGGTCATATAATCATCGTCGTTGGTGGTGTGGATAAGAATCATAGGACATTAAATGACGTCATGATGTACGACACAGAGACAGGGCGAAGCGAGAGACTGCCCTCCATGATTTACAAAAGGAGTAACAGCTCTGTGGTGATCATGAATGACGTCATTGTCGTGTTTGGTGGATGGAATGAGGAGCAGGGAGGTCTCAACTCAGTGGAATCTTTCACTATTTGTGGAGATGGCTGGAAAGAACTGCCAGGAATGATAGAAAAGAGAAACTATGCTACTGCTGTAGTTAAACCTCTATAGGTCGAGTATCAAAAATTTAATTCAATTATTCAATAAAGGAGGTTAGGATATGTTTTGAACGCTTTCATTCTGCGTCGATAGAAATTTCATTTAAATCATAACATGACGATGAGACTGGAAGAATTATAATATGAATATCAAAATATTCAAATGTTGAATCACAACATAAAGTTGACTGAACACTTGAATACTTGATAAATATTTGTGAATTTGCAGGAGAATTGATGAAGCTTTTTACGGCAGGGTTGAGAACTGAACGCAAAATGTTTACACAAACTATTTGTGATTCATTCTAACTACAGAGGTTTGCGCAGCCAGTTACCAATTAAATTTTATGAGACATTAACGATTGAAAATATTTTGTAATCGCGTGTATATTTGTAAATATTGTAGATTAAGGTGGTGATTATGAATATAATAATAGAAATTGTATTCATTCCAACTCAATTTTAAAGAAATTTCAATGTATGTTAACAGTTTTAATTTTATATCAACGCATTTATTTTAAGAAAACCTATTCTTGAATGATGTCATTATTATTCAAAGAAAATTGTGTAAAGGCTCCTTTGCACTTGTACATTTTAGATACGATTTTCTGTGCAATTTTCTTCTTTTGGTAGATGTAAACGAGTGAGAGTAGTTAGGAACGCTCTGAGGTATAAGAGCTATTATTTGAACTTACGTAACTAATTCACTCGTTCACATCTATCAAAAGAAGAAAATGCAGCCGAAATCGCAAGTGTAAACGGGCCTTGAGATGGTAAATCACCCAAATTCAATCACTCGTGTCCAGCCCAACAAGTTTAGCACTGACGTCCCACAATTTCCCAGCGGCTTGGTCGTCCTGTGCCGCTTCAGCGGGCATCCGCTGATCACAGTCTGCGAAATACTGACCAGTCACATCATCCAGCTCTTCAGAAACCGCCAAGTGTATACTGGTCTGAGCCCCTTCTCTAGGATTCTTCGTAAAATAGCCGTAAATTGGATTCAAAAACATTTGCATCCAATTCGGAAGATAGCGAGTTAATTCGGTTGCAACAGCTCCAGGATGAAGCGAATTTGCTGTGACTTGTGTGTTATTCAAACGTCTTGCAAGCTCTCTTGTGAACAATATATTCGCTAATTTACTCTGTCCATACGCCCCATAAGGGCTATAAGAGACCTCGCCATTCATATTATCAAAATCAAAGCCAGATGCCCCGACAAATCTATGGAACATCGATGAGACATTGATGATTCTCGAAGGAGCAGATCTTTTTAACAAATCTAGCAACAGGTTTGTCAACAAGAAATGTCCTAAATGATTTACACCCATTTGCATCTCAAAACCATCCTCTGTTTTGCTCAAAGTCTGAACAAACATGACTCCCGCATTGTTCATCAACACATCAAGTCGAGGTTCATTGCTGTTAATGTCTTCGGCAAATTCTCGAACCGATTTCAACGATGCAAGATTTAAATGTTTCGCTACAATGTTTTTATTTCCAGTTTTCTCGACGATTTCTTTAAGAGCTGCTTCAGCTTTTGTTAAATCGCGGCAGGCCATGATGACTCGAGCGTTTCTCTGTGCGAGATCTAATGCTGTTTCTTTGCCAATCCCTGTGTTAGAGCCAGTGATAATAACAGTCTTTCCCTCGAGAGTCGCTCGGCTCCGGCACACGCAACCAGCAATAAAACGACGTAAAATAAACGCATGAAACACCGCATAAAACCCAACGAATATCGCCAACTTCACAAGGAAATTCATAATATTCAAAAGTATCTATATACAAGAAGTTTGTTCACGGTTTCTCTACGGTAAAAAGTAACTATTTGTATCAAAGTCGGTTGTGATAAAGACACTTTGACCGATTATGCAAATCAATCATTCAAAACAATTTAAAGTCATTGAACTGGATAATCTCATTCATGGTGGAACGACAGCTTGTAACCAAAATTTAAGCTGAGTTTATAGCAATAAGGGGCTGTTTACATGATCCCACTACTTAGCCGAGATTCAACGAAGCATGAGATGACATTGAGGTATTGAAATGAGAAGATAATACGATCCTGGCACCCCTATAGTCATCCTGACAATAGCATGTGCTTGCTGGTGTCATAAACACTAATTTCAATACCTCAACGTCATCTCACGCTTCGTTGAATCTGGGCTAAGCCGGATCATGTAAACAGCCGGTAAAATGATCGAAGCATTTAGAGTCTAGTGAATAGAGGGTGTCTCATTGTTAAAATTTGAATTCCGTGTTCACGAATTTTAGCCTGTGGGGACTTAATGCAACTTATAAAACGCTAAATACGAAGAATTTGAAATTGTGAAGCTTGAATTGAAATTTAAAACTGAACTGTTTGGTAAAACTTAAACTGAACTGTTATGTAAAATTTAAAACTGAACTGTTTTGGTTAAATTTACCAAACAGTTCAGTTTTGAATTTTACCAAACAAACAGTTCAGTTTTAAATTTACCAAACAGTTCAGTTTTAAATTTTACCAAACAGTTCAGTTTTAAATTTTACCAAACAGTTCAGTTTTAAATTTTACCAAACAGTTCAGTTTTAAATTTTACTAAACAGTTCAGTTTTAAATTTTACCAAACAGTTCAGTTTTAAATTTTACTAAACAGTTCAGTTTTAAATTTTACCAAACAGTTCAGTTTTAAATTTTACTAAACAGTTCAGTTTTAAATTTTACCAAACAGTTCAGTTTTAAATTTTACCCAACAGGGGTCAGTTATATCCAAGCTTATTTATTTGTGATAATATATTAATATATGTATAACCTCTAACCTTACAGTGGCTTCCTTCTTCAGAACTTGACATCAACATAAATCCACTCCAATCCAAAGCAAGACATTTTGCAAGAGTGACCAACTCATTGAGCTTGTTTGAGTTTTAAAAAACTCACCTGGAAATCCAAGCAAAAATTCTTGTAGAAGGATCATCTTTGCAGTACAGTAGACTTATAATATTCTCCCTTTCAAAATAAGTAGAAAACTTACATTAAAACTATTGGCAGTTCTCAATGAGGGCGGTTGAGTCTTGTTGTTTTGTGTGAGACACAACAAAAGCTTCAAACAGATTTCTTCAGGGAATGTGATGATGTCTGTGAGGGAACTACAATACCATTCATCTTTTATCCTGTAAAGAAAAGAAAATTATGGATTTCTGAAACTTTAGGAAAGACCAAAAAAACAAGTACCTAAGCATTAACCGGTGACAGGTAATGACAGGTAATGACAATTGGTGACAGGTAATGACAGTGGGTGCATGACAGGTAATGACAGTAGGAGACAGGTAATGTCAGTGGGTGACAGGTAATGTCAGTGGGTGACAGGTAACAACAGTGGGTGACAGGTAACAACAGTGGGTGACAGGTAATGACAGTGCAGTGGCATAGCCAGCATCGATAATTGGGGGGTCCATATTCATATATTCATGTAAACTGACTGTAAAGACAATTTATTTGAAAAGAAATTAATCCTGCGTATCACGAATATATGAATATGGCCCCCCCCAATTATCGTTCTGGCTACGCCGCTGTGACAGTGGGTGACAGGTAACAACAGTGGGTGACAGGTAACAACAGTAGGTGGCAGGTAACAACAGTGGGTGACAGGTAATGACAGTGCATGGGTGACAGGTAATGACAGTGCATGGGTGACAGGTAATGACAGCAGGTGACAGTGGGTGACAGGTAACAACACTGGGTAACAGGTAATGACAGTGGGTGACAGTTGTGGGCAACTGTCTTCATAATAGTCGCAAAGTTTAGAGGATTTATAGTCAAAATACTTACGTTTTAAAGTCATATTCAAGGTGGGTTTTGTAAAGGACTTTCACTGCACGAAATATACTTGGAAAACCTAAACAATTCACAATGAAAATTAGGTCTAAATTTATTATCCTACCGTATTTAAAACGTTTGTATCGTTGATACAAATTAAGAATAAAACAAACATGCCGTCTTGTATTCAAAAATATCCAGGCATTTTAGAGCATTTCAAATGGCTTAAAACTCGACAAACCTTTCCTAAGATATCACTACTTTACTCTCAAACATTTTAAACTTTTTAAATCGATTTTAAAAGACAGAATTCTTGAACAAAATGTATAAAAATTGCCGACAAATTCACAAAATACGAGCTTGAAGCTCGGAGCTTCACATTTTCCCGCCTAAACTGAACGACCGCTCGGGAACCAATCAAAACCCTCCATTTTGTGTGACGTCAGGCAGCCAAAATATGCGAGATAATTTGATCGCGAAAAATTTCTCGGCAATTTCCCAACAAATTATACATATATTTATTGACTACACGATAAGTTAGTATGCAATTATCATTCTGACGGATGCAAAAGAGGGCCAATGCCACAATGTTCATGCATATTGTGCAGGGTGGAATTTAAACCGTCATGTTTGTACCTGTGTTCATACGTTCACATACTCCAGGGTGCGAATCTTATACGACAAATCGCGTAGTGTAAATGGGCCTTAAGACGTTCTCAATATGACGACGACAAACGCGGGAGCCTGATCAATGTTACACGAAGACCCCGTTTTACACTAGAACGAAAGTTTCCGGATTTGTAAAATTATCCGGATTCATTGTTACACACATGTATCGGATTCGTCAGGTGTTTACACAACACTTTAGTTGTCTCTGTATGCGGATTTGTCCGTTTACACTCACATTACTTGTTCTTGGAGAATTGTTTGGTTGTCATATTGAATTTCTTCGGATTCGTCGTACAAAGCGTTTACACAAGAAAATTTTCCGGATTCAAATGTTTCTGGATACGAAGTTTCCACAAACTTTTACGGATTCAAAGTTTCCGGATACGGCTTAAAACCGAGCACATTTTCTATCGGATTCGTTGCTGCGTGTGTAAACAGCAACATGAATCCGGTACTAAAACAGTCCGCTTTCGTGATGAATCCGAAAACTTTCGTTCTAATGTGAACAGGGTCGAAGTTTGATTGGCTCTACAAAGATCAGACTTCCAGCGTTTGTAACTATGGTTTGACGTAAGGAAGAGTTATAAATTGAAAAATATATTATTTTCGCCAAATTACCAATATTTTCTTCTGAACTTTCTCTCTGACACAGGGAAGAAATGAATTTCGTTTCTGTATTTAGAACCCAAATCTAAACAAAATATTTGAGACTTTACATAATAGATATTTACGAAGGCTGAGTGGCTCAATAGTTAGAGGTTATAATGAGAAAAGTGTAAAGAAACTATCAAATATATTATCAAATATTAAACTTCAAAGAATATGATACTCATTGACATTTCCCAGCAAAATAACCCTCATCTCTTACCAAAACAACTGTCAAATTATTTTTTTCCGACGATGTTTTGTTTACGATAAACTTGTGACACATTCGCGTCTTGGTCAAACTTATAAAATTCGCTGCCAAAAACGTTTCTTCACCGAGATTTCTGCAATAAAAATAATAAATCCGACTTCAAAATAAATATATTTACTCATAATAAGTACATTAGACATGAATCCTTGCATGAAATTAGCGTTTAACTGAAGTCTCAGCAAAGCCTAACATCTCGAAATGCAGAATATGTCTCCTTACTTGAAAATATTTCTTGAAAAACCGTTGTACAGCGTTATTGAATGTTTGTTTAACTCAACGCTGGAACTGTTATTGACATCCTTGCACAAGAATTTAGCTGGATTATCGCCTAGAAAATACAGAATATTGAAATATCTCAACACATTTCAAATGGGGATAGACTTTTAGGCTGTATTTATCAACTGCGAAAGGTTTTATTATACAGTACCTGAGAAATTTAACCTCCCCAGCATTGCTTGACAACGTTTGCAGAGAATTTGACAGCTTTCCTCTTGCTATAAGTATAAGGAAAAATAGCCAAAAACTTTATTTATACTGGATAGCTCTATCAGTTCTAAACTGTTCTTCCTAGAGGTCCAGTAAGGATCATCTCTTATTGATCCAGTGTTACTACAGGAGAAAACCTAAACTAAACTAACTTTATTTATACTGGATAGCTCTATCAGTTCTAAACTGTTCTTCCTAGAGGTCCAGTAAGGATAATCTCTTATTGATCCAGTGTTACTGCAGGAGGAAACCTAAACTAAACTGACTTTATTTACATTAACTTAATGCCTGTACCATTGAAACTTTGATATTCTGAACATCAAGTGCTTTAGGGTGAACCAAAATATACCAGTTTCCAAAGAAGATATCATTTTCTTGAGGGTTTAAACCATCTTTTAACTTTGTGATAGCTTCATTGCCATGGCAACACCAGTTGTCTAAATATTCTTGCCAGTTTTCTGACGGTAGTTCCAAAACTCTGGAAAATTTTCTGTCGAAACCAAATGAATGTTAATTTAAAGGATACCGACAACCTTAGCTCGCAATGCACCCAGATGTGGCCTAATTTAGTATTTTACTCTGTCTAATGCCAGATGATTTTACTCATCAGTGGAAGAGTACTGTCAGTTAATAAGTTAACAACAAAACTATCTGTCAGTGTCTCTTGCTAACTCATTAGCTAGCAATGCACCCAGATGTGACCTACTTTAGTATTTTACTCTGTCTAATGTCAGATGATTTTACTCATCAGTGGAAGAATACTGTCAGTTAATAAGTTAACAAAACTATCTGTCAGTGTCTCTTGTTAACCCATTAGCTTGCAATGCACCCAGATGTGACTAATACTTTAGTATTTTACTCTGTCTAATGTCAGATGATTTTACTCATCAGTGGAAGAGTACTGTCAGTTAATGAGTTAACAAAACTGTTACCTTGCAATGCACCCAGATGTGACCTCTAAGTCTTACCTGTCACACCGTGTTATCTCTGACAAGCATTCTTTGCATTGTATATTTAACACTTTGTCAGGTTTAGGAGCTAAATCACCCTGCGAGAACTGTTCCTCAAATGTTGAAGGCCCAGGTGGTGAAACTTGAAGTCTGAAGTGAACCTCATTTTCATTCACAATTTTTACTGTCTGGGCTGATAATGGTTGAATGGTCAAATCTAGAAATGTACACACAAGTATAATTATTAAGTTTACCACTGATAGTTTTTCACCTGTAAAATTTGGCTTCCTCCTGTAGTAACACTGCATCAATAAGAGATGATCCTTACTGGACCTCTAGGAAGAACAGTTTAGAACTGATAGAGCTATCCAGTATAAATAAAGTTAGTTTAGTTTAGGTTTCCTCCTGTAGTAACACTGGATCAATAAGAGATGATCCTTACTGGATCTCTAGGAAGAACAGTTTAGAACTGATAGAGCTATCCAGTATAAATAAAGTTAGCTTAGTTTAGGTTTCCTCCTGTAGTAACACTGGATCAATAAGAGATTATCCTTACTGGATCTCTAGGAAGAACAGTTTAGAACTGATAGAGCTATCCAGTATAAATAAAGTTAGTTTAGTTTAGGTTTTCTCCTGTTGTAACACTGGATCAAAAAGAGATAGTTCTTACTAGATTTAAAGGGTCGTAAAATCTAAACTAACCTTTAAACAAGATCGCAAATTTCGATTGTCCATTTGTAAATTCCAACCCATGTTTATGAACGTTTATCTTGACAGAGATCTCGTGCAGAATATCAGGGATAGCGCTCGGACATATTACAAGGTTAAAAATGTTGATTTTGTCATGAAATTCGCCAAAATATAACATTGGAGTGTCTTTTCTATCATCCACGGGTTTTAATCTTTCTTTAAAGGAGAGAAAAAGAAGAAAATCTACTTTACTTTTAACAGAAATTCAGACAAATAAAATATATTTTAAAATTTCCGCCACATGAATGGGGTACATTATGACATCAATGTATACACCACGGTATAACAGTGGATAATGATGGATATTCACTTAAAAGTTAAAACTGCCCGTTTTTAAACGCAGCAAACAGATTTTTATCTTGAAATAAAGAAAAAAGAACCGATCTCAAAATAGCCTGAAAATAAAACAGAATCAACGAAGATATAACAATAAAAAATGTGAAATAAAAACGTGCGGTTCAGCTCGGACTTATACCAGGCGAATCGAGTGGTGATGACAAAGAGTTAACAAAATATTTTAGCATGGACCGCCTGTCATGCAGGTTAACTAAGGCTCAGCCGTTCAGTCGTTTATATTGAGTTTGCATGCGTGAATCATGTCTATTTTGATGTTAAAAACCATCTAGGAGTGTTTCAAAACACCGAAAAAATATCAAAACAACAGGTCTCCTGTAGTAACACTGGATCATCAGGATCAATAAGAAGGAAGAACAGTTTAGAACTGACAGAGCTATCTATCCAGTATAAATAAAATTAGTTTAGTTTAGGTTTCCTCCTGTAGTAACACTGGATCAATAAAAGATGATCCTTACTGGACCTCTAGGAAGAACAGTTTAGAACTGATAGAACCATCCAGTATAAATAAAGTGAGTTTAGTTTAGGTTTCCTCCTGTAGTAACACTGGATCAATAAGAGATGATCCTTACTGGACCTCTAGGAAGAACAGTTTAGAACTGATAGAGTTATCCAGTATAAATAAAGTCAGTTTGATCCTTAGAGTATAAATAAAGTCAGTTATGATCCTTACTGGACCTCTAGGAAGAACAGTTTAGAACTGATAGAACCATCCAGTATAAATAAAGTTAGTTTAGTTTAGGTTTCCTCCTGTAGTAACACTGGATCAGTGGCGGATCTAGGGGTGTGCAGAATAAATTACTAGAGCTTAAAATCGGAATCGCATTGGTCGACTTTAATGTAAAAATATTCTTTTCAAATCTATAACCAATAGCGTTGTTATTAAGGTGTTTTGAATTTAAAATTAAGCTGTGTAATTTATTCTGCACACCCCCTAGATCCGCCACTGCACTGGATCAATAAGAGATGATCCTTACTGGACCTCTAGGAAGAACAGTTTAGAACTGATAGAGCTATCCAATATAAATAAAGTTAGTTTAGTTTAGGTTTCCTCCTGTAGTAACACTGGATCAATAAGAGATGATCCTTACTGGACCTCTAGGAAGAACAGTTTAGAACTGATAGAACTATCCAGTAACAAAGCAGTGTACTGCGTTGGTTTTAGTTGCTCACATACATTGAAAGTAAACAGGCTATAAAGCGTCCATCAGAAGTGGATTGAATCCAACAAAATTGGATCGTGTTAACAGACCTGAACATTCAAACAGTGTCCACTAACTAAACAGTGCCCTTCGACACTCAAGGTTGGATAGGAATGTGACCTGCGTCCATTTATCAGTTTTTTTACAACGTGAAGCGACACTATTCATCAAACTAACTATGGTTACCTGTCTCCATGGCCGCTTGAAAGAACTACTCTAGTTTTTAATTAACCGTAATGATAACTGCGTTATTCCAATCATCTTCAAGATCATTTGAAAACTTGGAACAGTTTACGGCGAATACGTCGCACAAATTCTGAACATCCTGAACTTGTTTGAGGTTCTTTGTTTTCAAAATCTTTTATTCGTTGACTAACGTTGTTGTATCGTTGATTAAACGCATCGAGTTTGGCGTCAACACCTTCTCTTCCTTCGTCAGCAATTTCTTCTTTCAATTCGTTTCCCAACGTGTTGACATGCTTTACCTTCAAGTCAGTCTCTGACAGCTTTTCAAAATTTATCTGAGAATAAAAACAAAACTAGCTTTATTTACACTGGATACTAGTGGATAGCTCTATCAGTTCTAAACTGTTCTTCCTAGAGGTCCAGTAAGGATCATCTCTTATTGATCCAGTGTTACTACAGGAGGAAACCTAAACTAAACTAACTTTATTTATACTGGATAGCTCTATCAGTTCTGAACTGTTCTTCCTAGAGATCCAGTAAGGATAATCTCTTATTAATGCAGTGTTACTACAGGAGGAAACCTAAACTAAACTAACTTTATTTATACTGGATAGCTCTATCAGTTCTAAACTGTTCTTCCTATAGAGATCCAGTAAGGATCATCTCTTATTGATCCAGTGTTACTACAGGAGGAAACCTAAACTAAACTAACTTTATTTATACTAGATAGTTCTATCAGTTCTAAACTGTTCTTCCTAGAGTTCCAGTAAGGATCATCTCTTATTGATCCAGTGTTACTACAGGAGGAAACCTAAACTAAACTAACTTTATTTATAATGAATAGCTCTATCAGTTCTAAACTGTTCTCCCTAGAGGTCTAGTAGAGATTACCATAATTTCTTCTACAACACTTGCCATCTCTTCAACCTCCTCATCCTGTGGCATGAGCTGTTCACGTGGACCATCATCATCAGTAGTTTCTTTTTCATGGCTTTCATACTTGTCAATCAGACTTTCCGTGGCGTTGAGCCAGTCTGTTACGTCATCAAATTTATTGTACAAGTCTTGAGTCTTCTGTTCACTGCTTTCAATCTAGACAATTGAACTATTAGTATAATAGTCTCGGATAGAGCTAAAACCGATAGAGTTATCCAGTATAAATAAAGTTGGTTTAGTTTAGGTTTCCTCCTGTAGTAACACTGGATCAATAAGAGATGATCCTTACTGGACCTCTAGGAAGAACAGTTTAGAACTGATAGAGTTATCCAGTATAAATAAAGTTAGTTTAGTTTAGGTTTCCTCCTGTAGTAACACTGGATCAATAAGAGATGATCCTTACTGGATCTCTAGGAAGAACAGTTTAGAACTGATAGAGCTATCCAGTATAAATAAAGTGCATTAATGTTACCTTCTGGATTCTAACACTAAGATCTTTGAGGAATTCATGTTTGACGGAGACAATCTCCTCCGTTTGTTTACAAATCTCAACAGCAGTCGGGGAATCTTCACCAATATGTCGAATCAAATCTTCACCAGCTTCCCTTAAATTCCTTTCTTTTATCGCTCCTTCAGACTCGGCTTTATTTTCCACATCCTGCGAAGAATTTATGAAATTTTTCATCATCTTTAAAACACAACCATTCCGTTGAATAACGTTGGAAAATTATCCATATTTTAACTCTACGAAATCTAATTGCTAATTTCATTTCTCCCTAGTCACCTTCAGCTTCATGATATGTGCGTATATTTCATCTTCATCGACAAGATTCACTTGGTCTTTCTCGTTCTTCACCTCGCTATCTATCTCATCAATCCAATTCAAAAAAATCAGTTGCTGTTCACGATATTTCGTCCAGTCCGCCATGAGATTATCATACAACTCATTCTTATCTTTTAAAGCGACGTCCATTTTAATCCATCGTTCGTTGAAAACAACGAGTTGTTGTTTCAAATCCGGTTCAATCCCATCAAATTTATTAGTTTCTTCGATCAAGACGTGAACGCTGTTATCGTCCAGTTCTTTTGCAAGATCCTGAGGGGATTAAATAAAATTAAACACAAACTTTAACTCTTGTTTTTTGGCTAGATGACGAAGATGTTTGCAGAGAAATGCAGGGAATTATTGAGAAAAATATATGTATGTTTTTACTTTTTAGAGTAGATATGTCTTAACACGAAGCATTCTTTGTATTTTCGGCGGAACTGAGAAACATTACTGTACCTTATTTCGAAAATATACGATTTTAAATTCGCTGAAATCTTTAAAGTCAACTTTACTTCTGATGATTTCTTCTTCATTTGCATCCAGCCATTGTTCACGTTTCTCAATTTCTCTTTGAAGAAGTTCGATGTAACGTTTTATGAGCCTAAAATTGATTGATATATTTCAAGACAAAGGCTTCAAAAACCGCGGCTGCTGCAAACCAAATCTAGTTTGTTTACTAAATAATTGTTCACATACTTTGGTTCGGCATCTTCAATAACATCAGCAATGTTTTTTATTTTTTCTTTCTCATCCGACATCCCAGCAGAATCGCCTTCGGTCATGACACCTGTATCCACCATTTTCTTCACCTTTCCTTCTGTATCTTGAATTATAGCAACGCTCGTTGAATGTTGTTGCTCCAATGACTTAAAAAATAGACATAAGTTATTCATTCATCAGCCGTCACCGTTTAAATTAAACAAGTTGAATTTTTGACTGTTGTGATGAAGACAAGGAAAATGTATATTCCTGCTACAAGCATCATATAAAAAACTGTAAACTTTCATGGCGAAAAAATTTAGCCTTGCAAAGCTCTGGATTTGGAATTCTACTAAAAAAATGAGTTTATTACCAGCTTTTGACGGAAAAGAGTAAGAATTTCTACATTTAGTTAAAAAATATACAACATTTGCAACTTTGCCAAGTTGTATTTTCCACATTATCAAAAAATTTGCAACCAATTTTTACGACTAATTTTGCAACCAATTTTTACGACAATACGACTAATTTTAGAAGCTCTTTTTGGCTGTTTGATTAATGGATATGCACCAGCCGTTGATGGATATGCACCATCTTGTCTAGACAAAAAAATTTACACAAAAACGCCCATTTTGTCTACCATTACAACTTTCATCATCAAAATTACCATCGTTAACAATGTCATCATCGCTAAGCAAACCAATATCATCACCAATAACCACCCATTAACAGCACAATCACTATAACCGATCATTATCACCGTCATAATCACAATTATAACCACCGTCATCATCAACATCACCTTCAATGTTGTTATTTGCACTCGGACCCTGGGCAGATTATTCGCAGGAGGATTTAAAGAACTGGATGTTTCTTGCATTACTTTCACTTCAACGGACAGTTCGTTCAGGGTTTTAACGATGTATTCTAGAACTGCTTCACGAACTCTAGAAAAATCGCAACAGTATTATGTTTAAAACGATTTCTGGTGAATTCAATTTCAGAAGATACGAGTTTTCAATCTGCTTTTAAAATTCAATTTTCAAAAATCATACCTTTCTCTGGTTTCTCTCACAGCTGTGTCAAGACGTTGGATCCTGTCTGTCAGTTCGTCTATTTTCTTTGCAATATTTTTATCATCGGATGGATCGAGTTCTTTGCTGTCAATGAGTTCCTTCCCAACTGACGAAATCGTGGCTAACTTCGGCTTACAGACAGATTCCACAATTTCGCCAGAATCCTTAAAATATAGGAATATGGTTCAATAAAATAACCTTCTTTTTGCCATTCCAATTTAAACTGCAATGGCTTATTGAAGAATTCTGCTCGTAAACAACTTCAATCCAAGAACACACAGGAATCTGTACAATATTACCTTTGTTTCTTGTGCAAGTCTTTCCAAGTTTGAGAACTCTTTTTTGATATCCGAATTTGGAACAAATTTCGCCTCTTCTCTGTCAAGGATTCTTTCCAATTCCGCTACACTTTCCTTCCATTCATCGTAATTTGGGCATTTTAGGGTTACACGTAACTAGTGCAATAAAAGTTGGCCTTTAGTTTGGCTAAAAAAAACTCAGGTAGTGAAGATTTCAAACACAAACCACGTCAGCTTATTGTAGAATACTACCTACACTGGACCACCACGTTTGAGATATATTTCTCAGGTAGTTCAGACACAAACCACGACAGCTTATTGTAGAATACTACCTACACTGGATCATCACGTTTGAGATATCTTTCTCAGGTAGTTCAGACACAAACCACGACAGCTTATTTTAGAATACTACCTACACTGGATCATCACGTTTGAGATATCTTTCTCAGGTAGTTCAGACACAAACCACGACAGCTTATTGTAGAATACTACATACCTAAACTGGACCACCACGTTTGAGATATCTTTCTCAGGTAGTTCAGACACAAACCACGACAGCTTATTGTAGAATACTACCTAAACTGGACCACCGCGTTTGAGATATCTTTCTCAGGTAGTTCAGACACAAACAATTGTAGAAAAAAACTAACACTGGGCCACAACGTTTTGCAGAACTATGACTTACTGGTTTGAGGTTTATCAATACTTCATATAATGCAGACAGGTAAATCAGCATAGAATTCTCTTTTAAATTTCTTTGTTCAACATCTGTCAAAATGAAAGCATTGTGTTCCTGTTCGCCTTGAGGAAGACGGCTAGGAAAATATTTCCAAAATTGTCGTTCAAAGCTTACCTACTAGGTCGAAAAACCTATCAACACCAAACTCTTTTTCAGCGACTAAGAAAGCATACTCCATTCTGGCTGCAACGCTCATCTTTCGAGCTTTGGCAATGTCAACAACGTTTGGTCTGTAAAACATTTATAATATACAACTGCTTTAGTCCAAATGATTCAGTTAGTTATTTATCAGTTCTAAACTGTTCTTCCTAGAGCTCCAGTAAGGATCATCTCTTATTGATCCAGTGTTACTACAGAAGGAAACCTAAACTAAACTAACTTTATTTATATTGGATAGCTCTATCAGTTCTAAACTGTTCTTCCTAGAGGTCCAGTAAGGATCATCTCTTATTGATCCAGTGTTACTACAGGAGGAAACCTAAACTAAACTAACTTTATTTATACTGGATAACTCTATCAGTTCTAAACTGTTCTTCCTAGAGGTCCAGTAAGGATCATCTCTTATTGATCCAGTGTTACTACAGGAGGAAACTTAAACTAAACTAACTCTATTTCGTCTTTTACCTGTACACAAACATAAGCAATATAAATGCTAAACCATTTTGCCAACTTTCCAAGATATCTTCGACAATTACTATGTCGGAATATCTTAAAAAAGTAATAATCAACTATTACCAAAGGATCTGTCTCGACCGTCTAAATTAGGTTTAAAATAAACATTAAAGAATGACCATTTACCCTTGGAGTACATCTTGAACCCATTTAAGTAGACGTTCTTTGATCATATTATTATCCCCTGGGATCTATTAAAAAAGGCTTAAGAAATCAATTCCTGTAAAGATGTTGCATTGGATTGAGTTTCTCTCTCGGAAGATGTGTCTAACCAACTTGTACGAAGTGGAGGAACTATGTTGTTATTTCGTCAAGTTGCAAAGGCGTTGTAACTCGCGACTTGTTGACATGTTTACGAATTTCAGGACGATAACAAGTTGTTAAAACAACTTTGAATGATTGGCCCGAATTTATACTAGATCTTTTTGGATAAATGATCCGTCTGACAGATCATTCCTCTGAGTATGAACGCACGACAAACTATCTAGACGAACTATGTTGACGAATATGCAAAACAAAACTGACGGGGCGTCGGAGCAAGTGCACGGAACTAGATTACGAACTATCTTTTGCTTGCCCAAGTTCGATCAGACGATGATCCGTCTCTAGTTTATAAATTGGGCCATTATTTACAGTTTGATTCTAGTATAGAACGGGCCATTATCAGTTTAGTGCAAAAACTTTTCATGAATTATGAGACAAACTATTAAAATTACCTGGAAGCGAAGAATAATGTTCCAGACAAGAGCAAGAATTGTTGCTTGATCACCGCTGACGATTCTCGAAGCATGAATGGCAACCAGTTTGACCTGAAAATTTAAACATCGTTATTTTTAAATCAAAATGAACAAACACCATGTTAAACCTCAATAAATCTCACCCTGTGTTTCATGAATACATCTAGAGCTTTTTGAACATTGATTCTTCGGTGAATCATCGTTTCAGAACTCTCTGCATTCTAAAATACGAAAGGAATTAACAGAACGTGGCAACGTTTAAACTGAACAGCATCTGAATTTCATCAGAACAAAACCATGATGAAACAAAAATACAAAGCAATGAACTGAGCTTACAATTTTTACGTTCAACAGAACACGGGCAAGTGATATTAAGACACGACCATCTTGTAAATCTTCGATCAAATTCTTGACAACAGGTCCTGCCTAAGTGATGAAATATGAAACGGGGAATATGTAAATGCAACTTAGACCTTTGAAATAAGCTCCGAAGTTACATTAGAACTTTATCTTGCCAGAAATGATGAAGGGGGAAGGTGAACGTCTAGGTAGGTCCCATTAATTTCAAGATACACGATTGCAATGGGCAAAAAGATGTAAGTCTCACTCTCATTATCAACTCAAGTGGTCTTCAGTTGCGACAGGCTCCAGGAGTTTGTTGCAATACGGTATTTCCATTCCAGAGTTGTTCATATAACATCCTTACCTTACCGAGTTTCCAGTTTAACCACCTGGTGTATGTTTTGATGTGAATATCGTCATGATCTTCTGAAAATACCGTGACATGAATTGTTATTTAACTGCATGGCCAGTAAGGATCATCTCTTATTGATCCAGTGTTACTATAGGAGGAAACCTAAACTAAACTAACTTTATTTATACTGGATAGTTCTATCAGTTCTAAACTGTTCTTCCTAGAGGTCCAGTAAGGATCATCTCTTATTGATCCAGTGTTACTACAGGAGGAAACCTAAACTAAACTAACTTTATTTATACTGGATAGCTCTATCAGTTCTAAACTGTTCTTCCTAGAGGTCCAGTAAGGATCATCTCTTATTGATCCAGTGTTACTACAGGAGGAAACCTAAACTAAACTAACTTTATTTATACTGGATAGCTCTATCAGTTCTAAACTGTTCTTCCTAGAGGTCCAGTAAGGATTATCTCTTCTTGATCCAGTGTGACTGCAGGAGGCTAGCCTTTTAATAACTAGCGATAGCGTCAGGGGGGCGGACACTCGAAGCGAAGACAGGGGGGAGTATTTCAGAGACACTACACCAATTCATCATTAAGACATTAAGCGTGCGTGATTGAAGATCATATCTCGTAACGTCCTTAACGGAAGAACTTGTGACAAATACTTCCCACAGCTCCTTAATGCATACAAAGGCTTTTGCATAAATTTGAAATTATCACAAGGACATAGGCGACGTTTTAATTACTTGTTAAAAAGCTCACGCGATCACTTTCCAAACACTTTACGGCCATTTTCAAACGTTTCCAATCTGGTAGAAGAGCTCTACATTAACGAACCTGCTTACATTAATCTAAACCCTCAAAAGTACCAGCATTTTTCATACAAGCGATGTTTAAATTCAACTATCAAATGCATTCAACCATTACATTATAAAGCGTTTGAAAACATTACAAATTCTAGAAACCTATACAACCGAATAGCAGGTTATAATGTGAACGCTAGATTGTCGATTTGTCATAGGAAAAACACGGGTGAATCTTGTATAGGAACACTGAAAACATCATTGAGATTTCGGGATTTCAATCTTTTCTGAGCGTTCGTGTTGTAATGTAATTTGGGATACAACGTATCAACACGTATGATGTACAGATTGTTTTGCTTTTGTCGATAATGAATACATATAACAAGGAACTTACTTCGGATTTGAGTTATCAGCGTGGCGGACATTTTACCAGCCAGAAATGAACTGTTTACATCAACATACGATGCAGGTATTCGTCGCAAGCTTTGGAACGCAAAATGACAATCACTTTGATAACAACAAAGTATGTTTGCAGCAATTAATTATACGCCTGATTTGATGACGGAATTGAATCTTTCAGACGACTAACTCAGCATTATAAAAGGTAAATAGAATAGCCATTAGTCATTACTGAAAATCGTCAATTTTCCGCGCATGCAGAGATTGAGACTTTCCATTTTAGAACCAGCGGCTTGAACCAGCTTAAACAAACCTTATCGTTTCATACTTCAATGATTGCATATTTTGATGGAGACAAAACATATATATGCTCAAAAACCAGCCAAGCGTTCATAATCTTAGGTTACTTAATAGAAATAATGCACAACAGCATACGAAGCTTTCTCTGAAGATAAAAGGCTTGATTAGGAACTTTCCGTCCCGGCAAAGCAGAATCCTATTTCAAATCTCTGACCTTTCACTTTTAAGGTTTCATTCTTTGGAGGCTTGTGTTTAATTTGCGTGCGCTCAATTTCCTTGGAAACAAAACAAGTATTAGTTCGAGATCAAAAGTAGACGCGCGCTGTTTCATTTCCGCATTTTTAAGAGCGCGCAAGTTAACAGAGATTTGCATTTTTAGCGATAAAAATCGCTGAAACACCCCATAAGCCAGTTTAAAAAAGACAAAACCACATCACTTTGGAATATAAATTGAAAATAATTATGAAACTAAAGCTTACAAAACCATATCTTATACAACGATTAATTTATCGTTAGTTAAACAAAATTGGTTTAACACATACCTCATATTTAGTGCTTAAGGAAAAACTAAACTTAATATAAAGATATAAATCGATAACACAAATCAGTCTTGACACAAATTGATTTACCTATATAATACTAATTTCTACGTGTGTTTATATTTATGAAGTTTTGTTGCTAACGTGCTTTGAAATTACTTTAAAGATTACTAAACAATCCACTTGTTTCTCAGTGAGATTTAATTGATTGAAGCTCGAAACATCTTTCGTCGCATGAATCGTACAAACCAGCAACCAGAGCCTTCAGGAAGATCTCTGTTTTCCATATCTTTGAGCCGTTGACTGACAGAATTGAACCGCTCGTTGAAAGCTTCGAGTTCTGTATTCACAGCATCTTTTGCTTCGTCGGATATTTCTCCTTTCAATTCATTCCCCAACGTGTTGACGTGTTTTACCTTTAAGTCGGTTGCTGGCAGCTTTTCAAACTTTTTCTAAAGTAGAAAATGAATAAGGACTCTCTTATTTGAAATTTGATAACTCTATCAGTTCTAAACTGTTCTTTCTAGAGGTCCAGTAAGGATCATCTCTTATTGATTGAGGAAACCTAAACACTCACAGCGAGATTTTCAACATTCTGAATCATTTCTTCTCTCAGTTCTGCTTTTTCTTCTTTGATTCGAGCGCGTTTTTCTCTCTTGGTTTCAGTCTTTTCTGTCTGCTCCCCGGTCACTGGAGGTGGATCAGACTTGCCCACATTGAGATCTTGCAACCGCTTTTCCATGACGTCATACTCATTCAGAAGCAGTTCAGTTTCGTTACACCAAGTTTTTACGATGGTCATCTCCGCAGACATGGATCGCAGTCTCTCCAGCGCTGATTCCAACTACAGGGAAATAAATTTGAGTATATTTAATACTCAACTAGGAAACAATGTCTTCTGGGTCCGGTTGTATCAAGCCCGTTTAGCTTAAACGGTGGATAAGTCAAAATTAAATAACACTCTTACATCTCTCTTGAATGAGTCAACTTGAATATTATGCACTGAAAATGTAGTTGTAAACAGTATCTTTGTATTAAGGTTAAAAACATTCAGTTTGCTTGTTGAATGACACGTTAGACTCGCTTTCAATTTTGACCTTATCCACCGTTTGAGCTAAACGGGCTTGATACAACCGGCCCCTGGTTTGTCTACCTTCATGAAACATGGCTAGGAAACAATGTTTCCTGGTTTTTCTACCTTCATGAAACATGGCTAGGAAACAATGTCTCATGGTTTGTCTACCTTCATGAAACATGGCTAGGAAACAAAGTCTCCTGGTTTGTCTACCTTCACGAAAGATGCATCTAAAAATATCCCACCTGAACATTCTTCTGAATTATTTGCTTTATTAGTTCATTGAACACTTGATCGAGATCGACAAGTTGTTTTTGAATGAAATCCCCAGCTCTTGTATTGTCTCCGACGATTCTCTTCAATTCATGACCCATATCTTCAACTTCTGTCGAACGCTTCACGAATTCTTCTCGTTCTGGTGTCAAAGCCTAAAAAACGGGATTCAAATAAATAAATTATATGCGAGGAAGAAGTCTAAATATTTTTACAAAAGAAGGGAAACTCGCGCTGGAAACGCAAAGAAGATTTGGCCGAGTTGAAGTCATAGACAACACGATTCGATTTTAGTTCATATAGATGAAGTTTTTAAAACATTTCACTAGAGATTGGTTTAGCCGTGAGGCTAATCTTGATAAGATGTTCATGATTCATGGATAAATAAATAATCTAACACGACGTACAAAACCTAAAATGCCTTCTGAGAAACTTACCTTAAATATATGCAATTGTTCCTGAAGGGCTTCCTCGTCAGCAAGATTCACTTGATCAGCGACCTTTAGCTCTTCGCCTTTTTCATCAATCCAGTTTAATACTAAGATCTCCTCTTCACGGAATTTCGACCAGAGTGAAACGATCTTTGATAAGCGAAGGCTTCTCTCTTCAGACCATCTCAACAACTTCTTCCAACGCTTTTCCAAAGCGGCAAGTTCTTGTTTAACAGAAGGTTCAAGCTCGTCGATTTTGCCCACCTCTTTGAGCAACATATTAAGATCATAGACCTTTAAGTCTTCTTCGAAATGCTAAAAGAACAAAACTTGCTTTAGCGGCACTAACAATGGAAAATTTAACCATTTTAAAAACTGCACTAGAAAAATGCCTACAATATGATCTTCCTTGAGTTGTTTGTATCCTTGATAGTCCTCGGCTTCGGCAGCTGATTTCTCCACTCTTAACTCCAGGAAAGTAATCCATTGACTACATCTTTGTAACTCTGTCTTGAACGTCATCACATATTCCGCACGCATTCTGCAATAAAAACGATAAGCTTCATCAGTTCTAAACTGCTCTTCCTATCCAGTGTTACTACAGGAGGAAAGCTAAACTAAACTAACTTTATCTAAACTGGATAGCTCTATCAGTTCTAAACTGTTCTTCCTAGAGGTCCAGTAAGGATCATCTCTTATTGATCCAGTGTTACTACAGGAGGAAACCTAAACTAAACTAACTTTATTTATACTGGATAGCTCTATCAGTTCTAAACTGTTCTTCCTAGAGGTCCAGTAAGGATCATGTCTTATTGATCCAGTGTTACTACAGGAGGAAACCTAAACTAAACTTACTTTATTTATACTGGATAGCTCTATCAGTTCTAAACTGTTTTTCCTAGAGATCCAGTAAGGATCATCTCTTATTGATCCAGTGTTACTACAGGAGGAAACCTAAACTAAACTAACTTTATTTATACTGGATAGCTCTATCAGTTCTAAACTGTTCTTCCTAGAGGTCCAGTAAGGATCATCTCCAACCTACCTAAGGTCTTTATTCTGAGCAGCTTCTTGCAAGTCAGCTGATTTTTTCGTCAAATCACTGAGCCTCAGTTCTATGGTGTCAGCATCTTCTGGTCCAAGAAGCTTAGCCTTCTTGACGTCATCTCCTAGCTCCAACTGTTTGTTCGTAGTCAAGTGAATCACTTGAATATCGCGGGCCATTGTCTAAATATGACAACGATATATTGAAATTTCAGACTATATACTATCATACTTCATGTTAAACAGCACAACGAGGACGAGTTCAAGGACCCGGTTATATTTCATGGTAAAGATTGTGAATAGATTATCGTTTAGGAAAGTCTGAAAGCCAAGTGCTTCATTTTGTCCCTTCAAAACTGAAGATAAATTTTTTAGGTTGTGAATTTGGTAATAGATTCTTCGGTTTGACCTACCTTTGTCTCATCCATCTGTTTTTTCGCTGTTTTGAAGTAGGTTGAAATTGCTTCATCAGGTTTAATTCTTCCTCGAGCGTCGCTCAATGTCGCCTCGATCGAGTCCAAGAGAACCGTCAATGTTGATAACAATGTCGTGTAGAGCCTTGAAAAGAAACGAAATATAAAATAAGTAAAGACTATGAACAGTTTAGAACTGATAGAGATATCCAGTATAAATAAGTTAGTTTAGTTTAGGTTTCCTCTTGTAGTAACACTGGATCAATAAGAGATGATTCTTACTGGACCTCTAGGAAGAACAGTTTAGAACTGATAGAGTTATCCAGTATAAATAAAGTTAGTTTAGTTTAGGTTTCCTCCTGTAGTAACACTGGATCAATAAGAGATGATCCTTACTGGATCTTTAGGAAGAACAGTTTAGAACTGATAGAGCTATCCAGTGTAAATAAAGTTAGTTTAATTCTGCTTTTATGAAGTGAAATTTTAGAACAGCAACCCATACTTTGTTTCCTGTTCATGTAAGATCTTGTCAACTTGTTCCACTCTGCCAGAAATGGAGTTCACGTCTCTTTCCACTTCGATAGTCTTCTTCTCATCAGTCACCTCATCAGCGACGATAAGTTTGTGCACTTCAATAAAGGCGACAAAGTTCTGGCGTCCTTGATCAAACTCGGAGCGAACTTCCTGCGAATAAACGATACAAAAGATGTTTCCCAAGAAAATTGACCACGAGCTAGACTAACGAGCCCCTTTAATTTGCCTGTGTATTTTGTAATTAGTCCTTAATTAAACCTCGTAATTAAGTAATAATTGGCCCAGTGAAGTTGTATTCAATCTGAGCTTAATCCAGCTGGAAGCCTATGACACTAGAAAATTATTTGCATGAAACTGGAAATGATTGTCAATACCTTGACTTTGATGTACTCGTTTTTGCTGTCTTTTAGCTCCTTCACGTCGGGTTTAATTTGTCGTTCCTTCTTTTCACAACTGCCTAACCATTTCAGCGTCACCTTTTTTCGTTGGTCAAAAAAGTTCACCATTGATCGATAAAGCCTGTGGAAACGAATTAGAAGTGAAAAAAAAAATTCATTCGGTGACAGTTACTGAGTTAACAAAACTATCTGTCAGTGTCTCTTGTTAACCCATTAACTTGCAATGCACCCAGATGTGACCTACTTTAGTATTTTACTTTGTCTAATGTCAGATGATTTTACTCATCAGTGGAAGAATACTGTCAGTTAATAAGTTAACAAAACTATCTGTCAGTGTCTCTTGTTAACCCATTAGCTTGCAGGGGTTCTTATACCTTCCATGACTTTCTTTCTTTTGTTTTTCCACATCGCTTCGTCTCTTTTCAACCAGTTTGCAAGTCTTTTCCAATTCTTCTTGGGTCTCAGATGTGATAAAACCAGGTTCTCGTGTCTCCAGTATGTACGTTTGAATTTCCACAAATTCTTCTTCGTGTTTCGGAATTTCAACTTCACAGATCTACAAGTCAAATCGGCACTCAATAATCTAAACTGGATAGCTCTATCAGTTTTAAGCTGTTCGGATGACTAACTTCATCCATGCAACAAACCTTTAAGAGGACGATTTGTTCATGAACAGCGTCAGGAGTTGAACCAGAAGGTGTTAATTGGTTCATGTTGACCTCATCGCGTTCAACAGACGACTCACAGATGACCAGTTTCTCTTTACAATAATCTACGATTGTCTCGACCGTTCTAAAGATTGCATAAACCGTATCAATAGATTTCAAAACTCTTCCACGATGGTAAATGATTAGTGAACATAGAAAGGAGATAGACATTCAAAGAGACTTAACCTAAAGGACAACTAAAAGGACAACTGAAGGACAACTAAAAGGACAACTAAAAAGACAACTAAAAAGACAACTAAAAAGACAACTAAAAGGACAACGAAAAGGACAACGAAAAGGACAAGGAAAAGGACAACTAAAAAGAACAACTAAAAGACAACTAAAGGACAACAAAAGGACAACTAAAGGGGCAACTAAAAGGACAACTAAAAGGACAACGAACAGAAGGTTGAACTAACCTTATCCTATGAAGCTCGACAACTCGTTCCAATTCAATCATTCTTTTGGTGAACTTTGTGATGGTAACGGTGATCACTTGCTCTTCTTCAGGAGTCTGGGATTTAGCATCGATCAACTTCCGTCCCAGGACTATAATCTTATTGAAACGCGGTTTCCCTTCGTCGTTGAACTCTGCTACGATTACCTGGAAGAAGGTTCGAAAAAAAACGGGAAATCAAGGCTGTGGGACATTTCACTTGCTTTAAGGTTCTTAAATAACTACAAACTCGAGGACACAAGAACCTAATATCAAGCAGAGATCACCTATGTCCATATTTATACCTTAGTGTCCTGTTCACCCTTCTTGAGACTGTCAGTATCACGTGATATGTTAACTTGACTACATTTTTCATCCATTGCATCGAACCAAACTTCCATACTGGAAATTTCTGATTTCCATTCTTCAAACGTTATGGCCTCTGGAAGCACTTCAGTCTTTTGCTCTGCCAGCTGGAATTCGATGAACTCGATTTCCTAAACAAAAGAAATGTTAGTATTAAGAAGTAATTCTTGAAGTGCTCTTCCTAGAGGTCCAGTAAGGATCATCTCCTATTGATCTGGTGTTACTACAGGAGGAAACCCAAACTAAACTAACTTTATTTATACTGGATAGCTCTATCAGTTCTAAACTGTTCTTCCTAGAGGCCCAGTAAGGATCATCTCTTATTGATCCAGTGTTACTACAGGAGGAAACCTAAACTAACTAACTTTATTTATACTGGATAGTCTATCAGTTCTAAACTGTTCTTCCTAGAGGTCCAGTAAGGATCATCTCTTATTGATCCAGTGTTACTACAGGAGGAAACCTAAACTGAAAACTAACTTTATTTACACTGGATAGTTCTATCAGTTCTAAACTGTTCTTCCTAGAAGTCCAGTAAGGATCATCTCTTATTGATCCAGTGTTACTACAGGAGGAAACCTAAACTAAACTAACTTTATTTACACTGGATAGCTCTATCAGTTCTAAACTGTTCTTCCTAGAGGTCCAGTAAGGATCATCTCTTACAGGTGAAATATTACCTCCAAATTCTCTTGGGAGAAGTCCTCGATCTTGTTCATGAAAACGTCCCAAGAAGAATTGAATTTCTCAATTCGTATTTTCAGGACATCTTTGGAGGCATCGTCGAGATCTTCAGTGACTTGCTTCTCCAGTTCTCCGGCCCAGTCCACGAATGCTTGGCATGTCGCGCAATTTTGACGTTTTTCCTGTGAAGACAAAACCAATATCACTCTGGAACCTCTCACACAACGAACTGGTTAGTCCTAAAAACTCGTGAGGAATTCTAAATCTTTAAACTTACGACAAAGGCTTTCATTAGACTTTTATTTTTCTCTCGCAATTCTTCTTTTCCATCTTCGTCAAGTTCTTTCAATTCCGCTTCAACTTCGGAAACCTCCGTCATTTCAACTGGCTGCTCTCCCGAGGGGTCCTTCGGCTCGCCTCCGGACACATCCGGCTGTTCTTCGGAAACTTTCGCTTCTTCTTCGGAAACATTCGGCTCCTCTCCAGTAACCTTCGGTTCATCGTCGGAAATTTCTGTTTCGCCTACGGATTCTTTCGGCTTATCCTCGGGAGGCAGACCCTGCAGTCGTCGTTGATTGGCTTCGTACTGGTCAAGTATTTCCGTGACATCATCCATCCAGTCTTGAGTGTTGTCCATGTACCTGTGCATAGTGGTCAGTTGACGCTCTGACGATTCAAGCTGGTAACGAGAAGACAAAATTCTCAAAACCAAACAATATTAGCTCTAAAATTACAACTATAAATTGTTGTTTCGCTTGAAGCGAATACATATTTCTTCTTCATTGCAAACCTTTCTTATTTTGTCGTCAATATCTTTGCCCAAGTTATTCCAACAGTCTATGAAATCTTTAATTTGCTCGTCCACAAGAGCATTAGCATCTGATTGCTCTCCCAGGATATTCTTCAGACCTTCGGCTATCTTTTTTAAGTTCACAACTTCAGGATGTTCATCCTCCATTTGAGTTTGCATTAACTTAAAAGAAATATGAGACAACTTTAGGACTATTATAACTATAGTTTTAAACTGTTCTTCCTAGAGGTCCAGTAAAGATCATCTCTTATTGATCCAGTGTTACTACAGGAGGAAACCTAAACTAAACTAACTTTATTTATACTGGATAGTTCTATCAGTTCTAAACTGTTCTTCCTAGAGATCCAGTAAGGATCATCTCTTATTGATCCAGTGTTACTACAGGAGGAAACCTAAACTAAACTAACTTAAAACGGAAATCTTGTAGAGAATTACCTTCAATTCACCAAGTTCACCTTTCACCTCATCTTCATCGCCGAGATCAACTTGTTCTTTCAACTCTTTCAGTTTCAAATCCTTCATATCGATCCAGTCTAATAGTTCCCTGAGCTTTTGTCTCAAGGCTTCCCATTGGTTGAGAATTGACAACAAAACCAGCTGTCGTTCTTCAGCGGATTTCTCGATGGCAGCCAACCGACTCTGCAAGTCTTTAGACGTTGCCTTGAGTTTGAAATCAGGATCGCTCATCTTCTCAAGTTCCACTAGAACAGGCGCCATGTCGTGCTTTTTTATCTCAAGGATGAATTCCTAAATAAAGATACCATTAAATTCGGTTAAAAAGAAACCACAGCAATAAAATACTATCTTCAAACGGACCGAAGAATTTCTAAACAAGGAGCTAGGATTTTTGGCCAAATAAAACATGAAAAAAACAATAAGACGTTGTATATTTCAAAGCATACGATTTTCAAAGCAGTGTGAACCGTTTCACTCAAGATAAATGGTCCTGTCTTAACCAACCGACCTCGCAACTTTATGCAGTGTTTGAAAAACATTGCATTAAATATTGAATCTTTTAGAATACAGGTTTGTGTCGGTTTGCATTGAACATGATGTAATTTTGAGAAGTATTGATTAATTTTGAAATATAAACATGAATTAATCGGTAATTGGGTAGGGGATTACTTTGTTATCCTGTATCTTCGACTTTACATCATCCAAACTAGCGACGGAGACAAACGAGACCATCACGTTTGCCTCATTCTGAGAGATCCATTCTTCTCGCGAGTCTACGACCTCATGAAGAAGAACTGTGAACGCTTCGAACAAACTAGAAAGAACATTCAACGTTTATTAATTCATCCACAACAGCAAACAAAGATCTCAATTTATATTTCCGCTGGTATAACATGAAATAAAAACAAATTCATGTCTTTAATTCATTGGAAATTGTTGAGTGTTAACAGAAAGATATTCACCTTTTATGGTTCTTAAGAACAACAGAGGGAAGACGTCCAACTCTCTTCGTGAGATCCCGACATCTTCCGTCAATATCCGAGCTGACGTCAGCAGGGAGGATTTCAGATTGCGCGATTTCTTGAGGACGTTTCAAAGCTTGCATTGTTTGTGTGTACATGTTGTTCACATTTGTCACGTTTTCCTAAAATATATGTGGAGTGAATAAGTTATATGTTTAGTTTAGGTTTCCTCCTGTGGTAACACTGGATCGATAAGAGATGATCCTCACTGGACCTCTAGGAAGAACAGTTTAGAACTGATAGAGCTATCCAGTATAAATAAAGTATGTTTAGTTTAGGTTTCCTCCTTTAGTAACACTGGATCAATAGGAGATGATCCTTACAGGACCTCTAGGAAGAAGAGTTTAGAACTGATAGAGCTATCCAGTATAAATAAAGTTAGTTTAGTTTAGGTTTCCTCCTGTAGTAACACTGGATCAATAAGAGATGATTCTTACTGGATCTCTAGGATAAACAATTCAAAGCCTAAAACCGATAAGATGTATTTACCATTGATTGCTGAATTTGCGCCGTGGCTTGTTCCAGCTCGTTGTCAAGGGTGCTTGGTTTATCCCAGGCCTCTGCATCAGAGATTGACTTCTCGGCAATACCAAGTGTTTGCTCAAGACCTTCTTTGATTTTTGCTTGTAGCCTTCAAATACAAACAAACATTTTATCACAAATCAAGAACAATAAAAGCGCAACACTCCAGTATTACAATAGATGTGTGTGAAACGAAATCCACAGATCTTTAATTCTCTTTACGATCAAATGTACTTACAAGGTCCGTTTCTCTTCCATGCTTTTTGTCAAGATTGAGTGTCGATCTCTGAACGAGTTCACTTCAGTGTTGGACGCTTCTTGATCTGCCTGGCTCCAAATATGTTCAATATCGATTTGTATGACAAGTTTATTCAGAAGTTTCATCATTTCTTCACCTTCAGGCAAAGCCTCTGCCATACTCTGAAAGATAAAGATATTCAAACATTAATTCCAGTATGATTTGATGATTTGGTCCTTCCTAGAGGTCCAGTAAGGATCATCTTTTATTGATCCAGTGTTACTACAGGAGGAAACCTAAACTAAACTAACTTTATTGATACTGGATAGTTCTATCAGTTCTAAACTGTTCTTCCTAGAGGTCCAGTAAGGATCATCTCTTATTGATCCAGTGTTACTACAGGAGGAAACCTAAACTAAACTAACTTTATTTATACTGGATAGCTCTATCAGTTCTAAACTGTTCTTCCTAGAGGTCCAGTAAGGATCATCTCTTATTGATCCAGTGCTACTACAGGAGGAAACCTAAACTAAACCATATTTCATTACCTCCAACTTCGTGCATTCTATAAACGCCTTCTCAACTCCCTCGACATTTATGTCAATCGTTTTCTCTCGTTTCTCAGCATTCTTCAACCATTTGCTAAATTTCGATTTATTGCTGTTGTACTTGTTCAAAAGGCTACGACGAAGCCTAGAACACATCGAATAAATCGCGTTGTAAAAACGATAAACAACAGCATATGCTAAAATTCAAAATGATAAATCATAAATCACAGGAAAATTTGAAGATACATACTTTCCTTCAATGTCTGTAAATAGATTTCCTAAGGTGACTCTTTGGATTTCGATATTTTTTATTTTGGACGTGACGAAGGTGACAAGATCTTTATCGTTGATTAGGTTTTTCTCGTCCAGTTGATTGAACTGTTTTTGCGATTCTTTGAATTTCTTTTCGTTCTTATAGAACCTGTCTTCGCTTTGCTGAAACAAAAAAAAACAACGCTGTATTTATGTATTGAACTAGAACCACAACCACTAAACAAGGACAAAACTACATGCAATTAAACGACATTTAAGAAATTTGGCGGACAAACCGCCGAAAGAATTGCAAGAATCAATGAACCTTGATGATTTCTAAATGCAAGATGATAGTATCAACGTCATCTCTTAGTGGTAACAACCGTTTATATTCTGTCTGTTCTTGGGCGAGATCACTTTGGTCAGACCTAACGCGTTGGTGAAAATAGTCATAGATAACATCTTCAAGCCTGCGAAAAATATAAAATAACATTCAGTTAGAGCCTAAACAAGCTTTTTTCAACGAAACCGGCTGTTAAATTGTCGCTAAATTCGACAACAATTAGACTTTCTTGGACATAAAACTCTGTGTTCTATCAACGCGGTTTTTAACAAGATGGATTCTTAGTTCTTGCAAAGACAAGCAGGATTTCTTTGTCAAAGAGTTTAGTTCAAAAGCTTGTCATGAAAATCCTTCATTTACAAGGGCAAAAGGAAGAAATAAATTGGTTACGACACGGCAAATTAACCGTAAGACTTTGCCAAGAAAAAATCCTTGCCTGAAAGACTTAAGATTCTGTGTATTGCACCGACATAAACAAATATATAACGTAATTCTCGAGTGGTTTAGTAAAGCGGTTAGGGTCTGTTCCTTCAGCCTGGTTACCTGAGATTAACCGAAGTGTAAGATACTTTTGAGGCATGAAAATAAGTCTTCGTTGAAACCAAACAAACACATGCAATTGTTAGGATGACTTTACGACTACCATGATCATGTTATTTACTAATTTCAATACCTCGAAATCATCTTACGCTTCGTTAAATGTCGTTAAACCGTGGGCTCATGTGAACAACCCCTTTAGTCACTGACCTAACACTTACCTGAGTATCTGGAGTGATATCGCAGATCGCAAATTCTCAATTCTTTCATGGAGCGAGAGAACTGTCGTTAGGACTTCAGTTTTTATTTCCTCTGGGACGGGCTCGGCTGTTGCATCTGGAGGAGAGCAAAGATTTACTCCAGCCAGCCGAATCACTTCGAGTTTAGGCAAAACGTTACTGTCAATTTCGTCTTGACATTCCTAGAGTTAAACAAAGATAAATATTGAACTTCCATGTAACGAAGCATCGATTTAATGAATCAAAGATCAATACATTGACTGTCCAGAAAGATTAGCACAAAACATTAATCTTAAAGACAATATAAAGTTTGAAATCTTACCTGGATATTGCGATCGACGGCCTCAATCGCTTCATAGCTTTTGTCGATATTATTCTCAGCTTTGAACTTGGATTCAACTTCACTAACGGAGGTTTCTAAGTCTAAAGCTTTCTCCTTCCATTGTTTAAACGTTTCCACACCAGCGACACCATCTTCTTTCTTGTCAACTTTCATATCGTGAAGAATATATGTCACGGCTTGGAGTGAATCAAGACCCTGGAAATTTGAAAGAATTTCTTCAATTTCTGTATCAGTTCTAAACTGTTCTTCCTAGAGTTCCAGTAAGAATCATCTCTTATTGATCCAGTGTTACTACAGGAGGAAACCTAAACTAAACTAACTTTATTTATACTGGATAGCTCTATCAGTTCTAAACTGTTCTTCCTAGAGGTCCAGTAAGGATCATCTCTTATTGATCCAGTGTTACTACAGGAGGAAACCTAATCTAAACTAACCGGTATTTTCACCCAAGCCACTTTATCGATATCTGTATTGAAGTTCTTCCATTTTGTGTTTAACTGTTCAACTTGCACACTCTGTTCGGAGGTCTGATCGGGATCCCTCGGAAGTTCCTCGTGAAGTTCATTGACGCGATCTACGAGAGCCTGGTACTCGCCGATGTCAACGCGACGATACTGAAGAAGGAATTAAGCAGACAAAAAGATATAAAACATTTCAAAAAACCTTCCGAAATATTATCCACAGTAAGTTTTAAAGACTTTATCAGTTATTTAACGGCAAATTTAGGAACAGGTTCCTGATAAAACGATCATTAGATTTTGGAAACTACTTCAGAACTATTTTCAGAAGATTTTTAAAGAAACCCTTCAGGATTTGGTGGATATTTTGTGGAATTTTTATCGATTTCATTATAACTTCGTTGTATTTTTTGAGTTATTTCTGTTATAAATTGATTTCTGAACGGATCTTTAGAGATTTCTTAGCCTCAGGCAAGGTAATTCAGTTAAAACAACCCCGGCTTTCGAATAACAAAGGATAAAAGCAAAAAAGTTATTTTATCTCAGTAGAACTAAGGCATTCCCAAAGACACGCACAAGACATTATCATAACTTACAGCTATTTTATGTATGAGTTCGTTCGCCGTTTTTAACTTTTCAATACGTCCTTCATCAACTTTTTCCAAATCTTGTTCGGACTTTTCGCCTTTGTCGTTTATTTTATCGGATCCATCGCCATCTTCTTCGGCTGCCTTGTCAACAACAACGTCGCTTGGTTTAAGTTGAACTGCGATTTCATTAAATTCGTCAAGAAAGGCACTCGTGTCATCTGCCCAATCGTTCACAGACTCCAACAACTGCTGCACTTTCAAGGCTTTGTGTTGGTTCGCTTCAAGCTTAAAAAGTTTAAAATATAATTCAAAATCTCACGATTTTAAAACTGTATTACCTCAAATTTCACCTTCAAATCTTGTAAACTACAAGGGTATATTTAAACAGCCAATATATATGATCGAATTCAGAAACACCTTCGACTAAATTTGGCCTAAACAATACAATTCTACGTGCGATGAATTAATTTTAAAATAGTTTGACTTCGGCCAGGCAAATCTAAGGATCAAAGTTGACCTAAATTTACACGTAATAAAGTATTAAGAAGGATTTTTTATTATGTCGCGTATTTTGGCGGGAAAACGCTCAAAACCTAAAATCTTTTCGGCGTACCACTCAAAATCCATTAATTTTACCTTTATTCTTTAGATAATGTTGTGAACTAAGTTTTGAACTGTATTTGGTGGATGCAAAACACCAAACAAAGGAGTTATTACAAAATATAATGCGGCGGCTATCAACAATGTTATAATGTCAACGCCATTATAACTGAAATGAATACAAAAGAAGCTTTGATTCAAGTGTCATTTTCTTCTCGGCGTATCCCGAGAAATCTTTTCCTTTTCACAATATTTTGAGATTATACAGTAAACATACTTTGTGGATGCTTTTCAGGCTTGCAAAACATTTTTAATGCTGAAAATTTTTATTGCTGTTGCATGAAGATATAACTGAGGTTTTGAGCATATATTACGCGACATAAAAAAATATCTCCTCTTAAATACCTTATTTAGCCGAAAACGTTTGCCTAAATCTTCAAACTAATATACATACCTCGTTAATTTCGATCGAAATATCTTGTGAAAGCTTCCTATTTCGTTCAACAAGATCGTTTGTGTGTTTTTGAATGTTTTTGCTGGACGGAGCTTCTTCACCGATGTTTTTCGTAAGTGCGGAAGATTCTTGTTGTAGTTTCCAAATATCTAAAGAATTTTCCCGCGTCTCTGCCTGCATATTCTAGAGAAAGAGTTTAGTTTATCAAACAAGGAAGAATTTCGTAAACAAACACTGTTTTGTTGACATATTTTATGAAGATTTGCACTGTTAAATGTTTTAGTACGAGTTGAAAATCTACTTTGGCTTTTTAAAAGCGATCAAGCACTTTGAGATTTCAGGTAAATTTAAAACTCGCGCGTTTAAACGGACTTCTCAAACTTGAGACAGCGTAAACATTTAAAATGTGTCGTTTCAAATTAGTGTCAAGTCTGTGAAAACTTTGAGTTTCAAAAGGAAATAAATTTCGACTGTTTTGTTGGCAATTTCGAGTAAAATTCACAAATCAAATATCAATCCATACACGATTCAAATTGAAATAAAAGAATCTATATTCTCTAGCTATATTCGTCCAGAAATTAAGACTATTATCCCTTGGAGACTATTTCAAAAGTTCTGGTACTTTCCCTCCGATTTCAAAACACTGGTGAGACAAAGAAAATACAACGAAATCTCGTTTAAAAACATATTTATTGATATATCAGAAGATGTCAAATGCAATAAAATGTGACAGAAATTATTACAATTATGATTTGTTTACAGTAATCATACACATTGATTGATCAGCACTATTGTTTATTAACCTATTTTTTTACATTGTTCACACAACAACAGCAGTGTGCCACCATCTTGCTTGAGACATTTCTGGAAGTTCTTCCCAAGAATACCTTTCAAAGTTGAAACCTTCAACTGACTTCAGGTCGCCTGCCTCACCCCTCCCTCCCAGGACTACAATGTTGTTTTCAAAAACAACTGCAGAACATCCCCTCCTCTTACATCTCATTGATGGCAGCATGTGACTTTGTCCTGTCTTGACATTGTAAATGATAACTGTATCTAATGGCTTGCCATGTTTGTCAGCACCACCAATAACAACAATGTTGTCTCCCCATCTCACAGTTGCCATATTACTCACTTCATACGGCAGTGGTGACAACTGTTTCAGCTCATTCTTTTTTATATCGTACAGTACGACACTGCTGAGGTTGTCTTTGTAACAGCCAGTTGTACTTCCACCAACTATCAACAAATTATCATCAAATATCTCCATGCTGTGACCTTGTCTTGGTTCTGGCATTCTTGATAAGGTCTTCACAGTATAGGGAGGAACAAGCTGGACTGCTCTGATCAAGTCAGATGAACCATTTCCATTATCACCTCCAGAGACTATCAACTGATCATTATACAGCACACTGCTGTGGCCTCTCAACTTATCAGGTAGTTTAACAGGACAGTCACTCCAGTGTGTTGGGAGATCAGGGTTTGGGTCAATATTCATTCTAATCATATCATCAACAATGTCAGACTCACCACACCAACCCCCAGCTATAGTCATATGATTGTTATAAATAAATGAAGTCGCTCCACAACGATTCTTTGGCATTGATTGTAATGGCGACCATGTTCTTTGACGCCAGTTAAACATCTCTACAGAGTTAATACATACACCTCCAGCAACAATTATATTTTCCTTATCACCACTTGGTCTATTTCTTACTTTTCTTGTGTTTTCCTCTTTCTTGCCCTCCATCGTGATAAGAACGTCCTTCATTTCATCAAAAGCTCTGACCAAAGCTGTTTTCAATCCATCGACTTTGTTGTTAACCGCTTCGAGTTTTCCTTCCATATCTGCTTTTATATCTGCCGTGTTTTTGTCCAAATTTGTTATTTTAGTTCCAATTGTTACATTATTTTTCTCGATATTCGCCATTCTTTCCTCCATATCCGTTAAAGTTTTCGTGATTTCTCCGCACGAGTGACACTTTAACTTTCGGAATTCACAGACTTCACTTTCATGGTGAATAAGATCACGCTTGTTGACAATTAAACCACAGCCTTGGTTTGTACAAACGGCTGGTGTATATCCACATGTATCTTCATGGCGGTCAAGATGCTGCACTTCTACAACTTCTTGACAACCTCTGTCGATGTAAACGCAACGAATTTTCGATTCATTTAAAAAATCTTGTACAATTCGTGGTGCTTCGGCCAAAGTCTCTACGGTCAGTTCATCAGCACACGTTGGACATGTTTGGGAATTTTCCAGATGTTTCGTGATACAACAACGGCAAAAAGAATGCTGGTTTCTCGAACACATAACCGGCTCTTTCAAGACGTTGAAGCAAATCTGACAAAGAAAATTCCGATCGATTTGGTTCACAAACCTTTCTTCATCGTAGCCTTGTATATATGAAGCCATATTTCACGTCGTTCTTGTGTCGTAATAATAAAGCAAGTTCTGTGTTGTTTGTCGCTCTGTAGTATAAACCTCGCTGTATAGACTCAATATAGATACAGTGTTCGCTTTTTGAAAAGTGAGTCTAAATTTTCTGTTTGAAACATCCAACAAAAAAGCCACGTTTTGAACAGACAAATATCGCTTCCTCATGAAGTAAAAAGCGTCAAAAGAGTAATTTGATCTTAGCCAAAACCTCTCAGGAAATACCTAAGATATTTCAGGTCTTGCTACAGAAGGTCATCACCTGCAATTGGCAATAATTTCGCAATTGAAATATGGAAATGACTCAAATAAGTTCCTAGAAAAACACGATACTTTCTACCAGGAAAAATCACTCTTTAATACTTTTATAAAAGTTTTTATACTGAAGCCTGAACAAGCCGATGAACTTTCATGAAAATATTTCGAAATAATGAAACGTGTGATGGCTTGTCATGAGTTGTCCAGACGAGCTTTCAAGCATTACTAATCATAAAGTGTATAAATGCAATGAGAATTTCGATTTTCAGGTTTTTAAATAATATAAAAATTTAATCTTTCCGGATCATTTCAATCCCATCCTTGCCAAATAATTCCGACAAGAACTTGAAGAATTTTCGGTTTAAAATTAGGCCCAGAGAATGTGAACTAATCGAGAAACCTAGCGCGACACAAGTGCGCTCTTATATAAACACTGTAGCATGCACTGAGTTAAATTGGAATTTCTGGATAATTTACACAAGATTCAAACGAATTTGCGTTTTGTAGATGCAGTATACGAGTTAAATCAATAGAATCATGTCAAAATGCGACGATCAGTCATTCGTAATCTGTTGCAATTCAAAATTGAAAACTGAGCTGATTTAATAGTAATATAGTTTGTTATTCTTCGGGCAAACGCTTCGTTTGTCACAACACTGCATACGTCATGCACAAGCCTGAAACTCTCGGTACCAGTTTCTCAACAGTTTACGACTGAAAAAACGCGTAATTTTCATGTTATTTCGACCGTTTTGAAGACTTTCGCAGCGCTTTTACTATAAACAAAACTTATTTTTACCAAGTCAAGTGAACCAAATTCTTTCGAAATTTAACAATTTCAGAATTTCCATTTTTCCTTGCAAATACACTACAAGGGTGCTCTCGGATCTGAGTTGAAAACTAATTTTCTCTTTTTGTAAGTAATTTATGGGGCTTCTTTCGATATTAAAAGAAACATTTTTTGGCAGTGTAAGGTCTTAATTTCGAATGGAATTCACAGAGAATTCAAATTTCGAGCCAAGATTCAAATTAAAATTGATGATTTTCTCAAATTAACAGCATCAACCCACTAGAAATTGTTTCAAAAGTTCAGGTGCCCTTGCTCTGATCTTAAAACACTGGTGTGAGACAAAAAAATAAAGCGAAATATTCTTTTGAGACACGTTTATTAATATATAAGACGACATTAAATGCAATGAAATATGACAGAAAATTTAACAATTATTATTTCTTCAAAGTAATCATAAACATTGATTAATCAGCGCTATTGTTTATTAACCTATTTTTTTACATTGTTCACACAGCAACAGCAGTGTGCCTCTGTCTTGCTTCAGACATTTCTGGAAGTTCTTCCCAAGAATACCTTTCAAAGTTGAAACCTTCAACTGACTTCACGGTCTGATATTGATCACCCCACCCTCCCAGGACTACAATGTTGTTTTCAATGACAACTGCAGTACATTGCCACCTCTTACATCTCATTGATGGCAGCATGTGACTTTGTTCTGTCTTGACATTGTAAATGATAACTGTATCTAATGGTTGCCATCGTTTGTCAGCACCACCAATAACAACAATGTTGTCTCCCCATCTCACAGTTGCTATATCACTCACTTCATACGGCAATGGTGACAACTGTTTCAGCTCATTCTTCTTTATATCGTACAGTACGACACTGCTGAGGTTGTCTTTGTATCCGTCAGTTGAACGTCCACCAACTATCAACAATTTATCATCAAATATTTCCATGCTATGACTTTGTCTTGGTTCTGGCATTCTTGATAAGGTCTTCACAGTATAGGGAGGAACAAGCTGGACTGCTCTGATCAAGTCAGATGAACCATTTTCATTATCACCTCCAGAGACTATCAAGTGATCATTATACAGCACACTGCTGTGGTATCTCAACTTATCAGGTAGTTTAACAGGACAGTTACTCCAGTGTGTTGAGAGATCAGGGTTTGGGTATATATTCATTCTAATCATATCATCAACAATGCCAGACCCAACACAGTAACCCCCAGCTATAGTCATATGATTGTTATAAATAAACGAAGTCGCTCCATAACGATCCTTTGGCATTGATTGTAATGGCGACCATGTTCTTTGTCGCCAGTTAAACATCTCTACAGAGTTAATTCCTCCACCTCCAGCAACAATTATATTTTCCTTATCACCACTTGGTCTATTTCTTACTTTTCTTGTGTTTTCTTCTTTCTTGCCCTCCATCGTGATAAGAACGTCCTTCATTTCATCAAAAGCTCTGACCAAAGCTGTTTTCAATCCTTTGACTTCGTTGTTAACCACCTCGTGTTTTCCTTGCATATCTGCTTTTATATCAGCCGTGTTTTTCTCCAAATTTGTTATTTTAGTTTCAATCGTTACATTATTTTTCTCGATATTCGCCATTCTTTCCTCCATATCTGCCAAAGTTTTCGTCATTTCTCCGCACGAGTGACACTTCAACTTTCGGAATTCACAGACTTCACTTTCATGGTGAATAAGATCACGCTTGTTAACATTTAAACCACAGCCTTGGTTTGTACAAACGGCTGGTGTATATCCACATGTATCTTCATGGCGGTCAAGATGCTGTACTTCTACAACTTCTTGACAACCTCTGTCGATGTAAACGCAACGAATTCTTAACTCATTTATAAGATCTTTTACCATTCGTGGTGGTTCGGTCAAAGTCTCGACGGTCAGTTCATCAGCACACGTTGGACATGTTTGAGAACTTTGCAGATGTTTCGTAATACAACCACGGCAAAAACAATGTTGGTTTGTCGGACACAGGACAGGCTCTTTCAAAACATTGAAGCAAATCTGACAGAGGAAATTTTGACTGACTTTGGCCTCGAAGCGTCCTTTATCGTAGCCTTGTATATATGAAGCCATATTTCACGTCGTTCTTGTGTCGTAATAATAAAGCAAGTTCTGTGTTGTTTGTCGCTCTGTAGTATAAACCTCGCTGTATAGACTGAATATAGATACAGTGTTCGTTCTTGAAGAAATGATTTTGAACTTTCTTTTTGAAACATCCAACAAAAAAGCCTTGTTTTAAACAGACAAATATCGCTTCCTCATGAAGTAAAAAGCGTCAAAAGAGTAATTTGATCTTAGCCAAACAAAACCTCTCAGGAAATACCTAAGATATTTCAGGGCTTATGAGAGAAGGTCATCACCTGCAATTGGCAATAATTTCGCAATTAAAATATGGAAATGTGTTCCAAGAAAATGATACTTTTTACCAAGAAAAATCATTCTTAAATACTTTTATAAAAGTTTTTATACAGAAGCCTGAACAAGCCGATGAACTTTCATGAAAATATTTCGAATTAAACGTGTCATGGCCTGTCATGAGTTGTCCAGACGAGCTTTCAAGCATTACTAATCATAAAGTGTATATCTGCAATGGAAATTTCGATTTTCACGTTTTCAAATTATCTGAAAATTTAATCTTTCCGGATCATTTCAATACCATCCTTGCCAAATAAATCGGACAAGAACTTGAAGAATTTTCGGTTCAAAATTGGGCCCTGAGAATGCGAACTAATAATTCCTAGCGCGACACAAGCGAGCTCTTAATTTATAAACACTGCAGCATGCCCTAAGTTAAATTGGAATTTCTGGATATTTTGAACAAGATTCAAACGAGTTTGCGTTTTGTAGATGCAGTATACGAGTGAAATCAATACAATCATGTCAAAATGCGACGATCAGTCATTCGTAATCTGTTGCAATTCAAAATTAAAAACTGAGCTGATTTAACAGTAATATAGTTTGTTATTCTTCAGGTGAACGCTTCGTTTGTCACAACACTGCATACGTCATGCACAAGCCTGAAACTCTCGGTACCAGTCTTTCAACAGTTTACGACTGAAAAAACGCATAATTTTCATATTATTTCGGCCGTTTTGAAGACTTTCGCAGCGCTTTAACTATAAACAAAACTTATTTTTACCAAGTCAAGTGAACCAAATTCTTACGAAATTTAACAATCTCAGAATTTCCATTTTTCCTTGCATACACACCATAAGGGTGCTCTCGGATCTTTGAAAACTAATTTTCTTTTTTGTAAGTAATTTTTTGGCAGTGTAAGGTTTTAATTTCGAATGGAATTCACAGAGATTCAAATTTTGAGTTGCGATTCAAATTAAAATTGATGATATTCTCAAACCAACTCCATCAACCCACTAGAAATCGTTTCAAAAGTTCTGGTGCCTTCGCTCTGATCTTAAAACACTCGTGTGAGACGAGGAGAATAAAGTGAAATATTCTTTAGAGCCACGTTTATTGATATATAAGACGACAACTGCAATAAAATATGACAGAAAATTTAACAATTATGATTTGTTTACAGTAATCATAAACATTGATTGTTCTACGCTATTGTTTATTAAATTATTTTTTTACATATTGTTCACACAACAACAGCAGTGTGCCCCCATCTTCCTTCAGACATTTCTGGAAGCTCTTCCCAAGAATACCTTTCAAAGTTGAAACCTTCAACTGATTTTAGGTCTCCTTGCCCACCAGTTCCTCCCAAGACTACAATGTTGTTTTCAATAACAACTGCAGTACATCCCTGCCTCTTACATCTCATTGATGGCAGCATGTGACTTTGTTCTGTCTTGACATTGTAAATGATAACTGTATCTAATGCCTTGCCATGTTTGTCAACGCCACCAATAACAACAATGTTGTCTCCCCATCTCACAGTTGCCATGAGACTCACTTCATACGGCAGTGGTGACAACTGTTTCAGCTCATTCTTCTTTATATCGTACAGTACGACACTGCTGAGGTTGTCTTCGTCTTTGCCAGTTGCTCTTCCACCAACTATCACCAAATTATCATCAAATAATTCCATGCTGTGACAACCTCTTGGTTCTGGCATTCTTGATAAGGTCTTCACAGTATAGGGAGGAACAAGCTGGACTGATCTGATCAAGTCAAATGAACCATATCCACTATCACCTCCAGAGACTATCAACTGATCATTATACAGAACACCTCTGTGGAATCTCAACTTATCAGGTAGTTTACCACTACAGTCACACCAGTATGTTGAGAGATCACGGTTTGGGTCAATATTCATTGCAATCATATCATCAACAATGCCAGACACGCCACAGCAACCCCCAGCTATAGTCATATAATTGTTATAAATAAATGAAGTTGCTCTATCACGTATCTTTAGCATTGGTTGTAATGGCGACCATGTTCTTTGACGCCAGTTAAACATCTCTACAGAGTTACTTCCCCAACCTCCAGCAACAATTATATTTTCCTTATCACCACTTGGTTTATTTCTTACTTCTCTTGTTTTTTCTTCTCTCTTGCCCGCCATCGTGATAAGAACGTCAAGCAAGTTCTATGTTGTTTGTCGCTCTGTAGTATAAACCTCGCTGTATAGACTGAATATAGATACAGTGTTCGTTCTTGGAAAAGTGGTTCTTAGAATTTGCTGCTTGAAACATTCAACCAAACGATTCGTTTTAAACAGACAAATATCGCTTCCTCGCGAAGTGTTGAGAGCGTCTTTTCAAAACAGTGATTTGAAAAACAGGAAATACCTAAGATATTTTAGGTCTTTTGAACAAAAGTGATCACCATGCAAATTGCTCGCAATTCGTAAACGATAATTTTGCAATTAAAATATGGAAATGAGTTCCAAGAAAATGATACTTTTTACCAAGAAAAATCAATCTTAAATATGTTCATAAATGTTTTCATGCTGAAATCTGAACATAACTCGCAAGTCGCAAGTGCCATGAAAGTATTTCGAAAGAATTGAAGTATTTATTCTGAATTCATCTGAGATCTGAATTCAAGAGACAAACATACTTGCCGCTGAGATACGAAACAAAAAACCATTAAATATGATATGGTTTAATGCTTCTATTGTTGAAGTAGACAGCATTGTAATATACAATTAAGGCATGGTTTTGACCGAGCTAAACTTATCCTATCCTTCGTTATTTTTGACCATCACAGTTAAGACAAGTTTCTTCTATTCTTAAAACACTTTCGCACGTCAATTTCGCGAACAAACTCGGCTGAGATATTTGAGTATTTGAACTCATTGTTTACAAAAGCATTAGAAATCTCACCGAGAGACTGGTATTGATTGAAAACACGACAAAAACAAGCCGAATCAATAGAGCTGTTTAGCTGAGTGTATACAAAAATAACTGGAATTCGTCATTGCCAGATTTCGAATATGCTTTTAATGTGTGTCTATCAACTTTTAGAATCGATTTTGTGGTCAAAATATTAGGCAGAGAAAAAGCACCAATAATTAATCATTAATCTATTCTATGCTTTCAGACAAAACAGTTGGTAAACTGGAATAAAGATTAGAATTTACCAACTATTAACAGTTGGTCATCTATTAAAAATCTACCATAACTAATCTTTATATTTAGTATTCATATCGTATCTCAAACAATTGGAATAAAATTCTCCCAAAAACATTAAAATAACACAGGAAATTTAACAGCTCTGGCAAGTCATATTAAATCGATTTAATCAATCAGGTCTTACCTCTAGCTGTTCCACTCTTTCCTTGGTAATAGCGTCATCGCCTGGTTTAACTTCTTCGGAAACATTTTGCAAGTTTTTCTCTTTTGCATCGATAAATTCAATCGTCGTTACTTCGTGAGATCGAAATTCCTCCCAGTTGGCGATGACTGTGTTCAGATATACCGTTCTTTTCGTGGCCCAAGCGAGTAAAACTGCCCAGCGAGTTTGAAGAGCACGAACTTTAGCGATAGTTTGCTTCTTGAGGTCACTCATTCCCTCGCAGACTTTCAAAAATTCTGACATTTCGTTGCGCTTCAGTTCTCGTAAAAAATCCTAAAAGATAGTGTTCGAGACTTGAGTTATTAATCAGAACAAATACGCTTCAGTTCAGGTTTCCTCCTGTAGTAATCCTGCATGGATCAATAAGAGATGATCCTTACTGGACCTCTAGGAAGAACAGTTTAGAACTGATAGAGCTATCTAGTATAAATAAAGTTAGTTCAGTTTAGGTTTCCTCCTGTAGTAACACTGGATCAATAAGAGATGATCCTTACTGGATCTCTAGGAAGAACAGTTTAGAACTGATAGAGCTATCCAGTATAAATAAAGTTAGTTTAGTTTAGGTTTCCTCCTGTAGTAACACTGGATCAATAAGAGATGATCCTTAGTGGACTTACTTCATGAGATTGTTTCAACTGCTGGAATCCCTCAAGGTCCTGTACATCCCCAGCTTGTGGTAACGACATTCTTCCCTCATTTTTCGTGATCCAAGCATCGCGAATTTCAACCTCACTTTCGATCAAAACTAAAAACTCACGATTCATTCTGCAACAAAAATATGTCGAAGTTAACCCATTAGCTTGCAATGCACCCAGATGTGACCTACTTTTGTATTTTACACTGTCTAATGTCAGATGATTTTACTCATCAGTGGAAGAGTACTGTCAGTTAATAAGTTAACAAAACTATCTGTCAGTGTCTCTTGTTAACCCATTAGCTTGCAATGCACCCAGATGTGACCTACTTTAGTATTTTACTCTGTCTAATGTCAGTGGAAGAGCACTTGATATAAACAAAACTAATCCTATACCTCTTGTACTTATTCACTGCAGCCGCTGGTAATCCATCAGTTCTCGGAGATAGGGAATGAACGCGTTCGATAACTTCCTCTTTGTTTTCCGGACTCAGATACTCGTGTTCCAAGACAAGCGCTTCGGTTTCTTTCAAAACTTTTGCCGATCGCGTGTGTAGTGTTTCGATAACAAAGACAGACAACTAAATAAATAGAAACGATATTTCATTCCACTCATTTCCTCTTGCAGAATGGAGAAACTAAAATTAAAACATTAAAATTTCTTCTTTCAAAATCTCAATGGTAAAATCCTGGAAACCTTCATCTTATTCAACTGTTCCTTAGCTTCCTCGTAATCACTGGAGAGTTCCTCTGGTTCAACCCAGTTTTCTCCCTCTGTCACTGCCAGTTCTATCGAGTGAAGTGGTTGCCCGATTGATTTCACAACAGTTGTATACAAACTGGAATATAATAAAAAACAACATTACTTGTGAAGCTCTATCAGTTCCAAACTGTTCTTCCTAGAGATCCAGTAAGGATCATCTCTTATTGATCCAGTGTTACTACAGGAGGAAACCTATACTAAACTACCTTTATTTATACTGGATAGCTCTATCAGTTTTAAACTGTTCTTCCTAGAGGTCCAGTAAGGATCATCTCTTATTTATCTCATTCATGGGGAAGGAATATTAATTTAATCATTTATATCATGAACAAAAGGAGTAATAATCCTTCATACCGTTTATCTTTGCGTTCGGTATCGGCTCGTAAGTTGTCGTAGGTGGTCGTAAAGTTGGCGACATCTTTTTCTATCTCAGGAACTTTCTTCACAGGGAAAATGTTGTTCTCAATCATTCGTTTTGATAGTTCTTTATAATGCAGGAAGGTTGGTTCTCCAGAGGCGAGATTGCTTTTCAAATGCTTCAATAAAAAAATCCAAAATTAGCGAATGCAGGGGCAACTCTTTCCCAGAAAATTAATCGTTTCTTATCGTTTCAAGAATTTCAGCTTCTGAAATTACCTGTACTTTTTTATATTCGGCATCAGAGGCTTCCAATCCAGCAACATCTTCATTGATTTCTTTTGATTCCTTGGAACAAGAATTAATCCAACGATGGATCTTTTTCCTTTGGTCTCCTTGGTAGGAGATTAGCGCACGATACAACCTGTAATTTATTGGTAATGGTTATACTGGATAGCTCTATCAATTCTAAACTGTTCTTCCTAGAGGTACAGTAAGGATCATCTCTTATTGATCCAGTGTTACTACAGGAGGAAACCTAAATTAAACCAACTTTATTTATACTGGATAGCTCTATCAGTTCTAAACTGTTCTTCCTAGAGGTCCAGTAAGGATCATCTCTTATTGATTCAGTGTTATTACAGGAGGAAACCTAAACTAAACTAACTTTATTTATACTGGATAGCTCTATCAGTTCTAAACTGTTCTTCCTAGAGGTCCAGTAAGGATCATCCCTTATTGATCTAGTGTTACTACAAGAGGAAACCTAAACTAAACTGACTTTATTTAAACTGGGTAGCTCTATCAGTTCTAAACTCTTTTTCACAAAGGTCCAGTAAGGAACATTTTTACAACATTACCTGAATCTCTGGTCTCTGGTGTTGAAGTCAACAAACTGTGCACCAACAGTGAGTGATTCAAGAGTGGCTCTTATCTCATTCTTCTCATCTTCTGTATATTCAGGTGACTCCAGCATTCCTTGAGCTGACTTTGTAAGATCGATAAGACAAGGCCTTCCATACGCTTCCATGGCATCAATACACGCCTGACAATTCAAATATAAATACACTATCACAATCTCACAATCACCAGCTATTCACAAAACTACAGTGCCTTGCCGTAAAAGTTTGGTTATTCAGTAACAAATCCCAGAGAAAAAGATGCGGTCAAACTCAATCCAGAAACCAAGAAACCCACCTTTGTATCAGATTCACACTCCCTCATCTCTTCATAATCTTTGCTATCAACATCTCTGATGTTCATTTGCAATCTGTGCAGAAAATCTCGGAAATTTACCACGACGCTTCTCCATTGGTTCATATCCAGAGTCACGTGACCGCTGTAAGGTTCCACGGTTACCTTCAGGGTCCCCATATCAACCGTATCCACAGGTGTACCGGCCGCTGGTGTTGGTTCTGATGGTGGAGTTGATTGAAGTTCCACAGTGCGCTGAACATCAAACGTTACTAGTTCCGTCTCACTGGACGCTTGAGAAAGCTCGGGTGATTTCTACAGCGAAAAATATCCCAGTTCATTTATTTATTCCATTAAAAAAGCGATGCCAAAGCTTTAAATCGTCAAATTCATTAGGTTTTATATAATTTATCAAGAACAACATACCACTACTTCAATTATAGGACCTAAGCGGGTGTCAATCTGTTCAAATCTTTCTCCAATCTCACAGATTCTTGCTTCAATTGAGTTAACGCCATCTTCATCCACGTCTTCTTGAATATCATCCACCAGAAGTCGAACACGTTCAATACGAGCTTTGTTTAGATCTTTGACTTGAGAATTGCCCTGTGTGATGAATTGCAAATGATAAAGTTTATTGGTTAGAATGCTTCGACCAGGAATTACTACTTATCAAGTCCTGTAGTAAACTGGATCAATAAGAGATGATCCTTACTGGACCTCTAGGAAGAACAGTTTAGAACTGATAGAGCAATAGAGTTGTTTAATTTTCTACCTTGATATCATCTTTTATATGCTCCATATTGCTCTGCAGTTGTTCCCTCTCGTCCTCACTTAGCCCCTTGGATCCAGTAGTATCCTCATCAGCCTCGTCTCCAGTCTTCACTTTCTGTTCTTCGTCTTCTCTTGGTTCTTCCTCAGGCTCTTTCGCGAAGGCACCGTCAACACTGTGACGTGCGTGGCTTAATGGAGAAACGCAAGCTGGGCGCAACTGATCTTTTGTGGAATCAACTTCATTTAGTTTCCCGTCTGTGTCATCCAACCAATTGCTTACAATGTCCATATAGGAATAAATCGCTTTGATTGTTCTGTTCGACTTCTCAATCTATAGAAAATTATTAAGTATACATCAATACATTATCCAGTGTTACTACAGGAGAAAACATAAACTAAACTAACTTTATTTATACTAGATAGCTCTATCAGTTCTAAACTGTTCTTCCTAGAGGTCCAGTAAGGATCATCTCTTATTGATCCAGTGTTACTACAGGAGGAAACATAAACTAAACGAACTTTATTTATACTGGATAGTTCTATCAGTTCTAAACTGTTGTTCCTTGAAATTCTTACCTTTTCAATTTTGCTTTCAATATCTTTCTCGAGTTTTTTCCAACAATTATCGAAATCTTCAATCTGCTTATTTACTTTCTCTGCACCTTCCGACTGTGGGTTGAGATTTACAAGCAAGGCTTGCCCCGTGTTCTTGAAGTGAACTAGACTTGGAGACTGCTGGATTACATCTGACTGTAGGCTCTGAAAAAGGAATCAGACATTATAATTGTATTCCAGACGGCTCTGGTTTGATTACGCAATGATAGTTGATGAAACTCTCATGTAAACTCTCGCTTGTCAACTCTCATGCAACTCTTGTTCTCGTTTGATCAAGCAATGATAGTTGATGAAACTCTCATGTAAACTCTCGCTTGTCAACTCTCATGCAACTCTTGTTCTCGTTTGATGAAGCAATGATAGTTGATGAAACTCTCATGTAAACTCTCGCTAGTCAACTCTCATGCAACTCTTGTTCTCGTTTGATCCAGCAATGATAGTTGATGAAACTCTCATGTAAACTCTCGCTTGTCAACTCTCATGCAACTCCTGTTCTCGTTTGATCAAGCAATGATAGTTGATGAAACTCTCATGTAAACTCTCGCTTGTCAACTCTCATGCAACTCTTGTTCTCGTTTGATCAAGCAATGATAGTTGATGAAACTCTCATGTAAACTCTCGCTTGTCAACTCTCATGCAACTCTTGTTCTCGTTTGATCAAGCAATGATAGTTGATGAAACTCTCATGTAAACTCTCGCTTGTCAACTCTTGTTCAACTTTATCTCCGCATTCAACCACGGAGGAAAAGACAACCCTACCTTAACCATTTCCAATCTTTGCTGAACGGCATTTTCATCGGCTAAGTTAACTGGCGTATCTAGAACTTGCAACTCAGCATCTTTCTTGTCGATCCAGTCAACCAAAGCCAATTGTTCCTGTCGAAATGCCTTCCACTTCACAAGAGTCCCCTGAAGAAAGATCTTCCTTTGTTCCGCCCAAGCGTTAAACTCGTCCCAGCGCTTTTCCAGACTCTGTAATTCCGAAAGTGGCACATCTGGATCGATATCCCCTGTGTCACGAATTTGCCCCAGCACGGAACGGACGTTATTCGTTTTCAAATCTCTCTGAAACTCCTGAAAATCGACAGGCAAGGCGGGCGATTAGGGTTGGTAATGTTTGAAAGCAATTTAGGAGTTATTAGTATTAATCACTCACTTCGTGTTCGTCCAGTTTATTTTCGAGATCAGGGATATCAAGAGCATCAGTTGTGTCAGTCTGGTCCAAACGAGATTCGTTTGAAGTGATCCATTCCGTTCGTATTTGAATTAACTTCGTGAGATTTGTCAGATAAACGGCATACACTCTGAAAATAATGATAGATATAAACACATTCAAACACCACAATAAAACTTCGAGTAACTTCACAAAAGAGTTGTGAAAAGTATTCCTTTCTAAGCTATGAAAAATTCTTTTCAACCGTTTTGTTTTGTTGGTTAAAAAACATTTTGTAAAAGCTTTGTATTTAGAGATCACTATCAGATAACTTAATGCATATTCAGGATAGGCAACTGCGCCGCAAAATAACCCATTTTACAGCAAATATTTCCAGATAGATATCGAGTATTTACTTTTCGTATTTCTCCTTAGCAGCGTCGGGCAATTCGTACGTTCTTTTGTCCAAATCAATAACCCTCTTTCGTATTTCCCTTTTATCGTCTTGGGGGAAGATATCAGCCGATAGCAAGGTGTTTGCCGTGTCAAATAGCTTTCCGCTATCTTCCTCCAGTTTATCTGACGTGCTGACAACGCTCTAAGCAAAACCAAATGATTTAAACAGAGTTAAGTCACAGAATACCTATCAGAAGGAAAACTGTTTTTTTCCTAAGTGACTCTGCAAGTACCGTAAATGGAAGCAATCAACCCCCTGCAAATATTAAAAGATGGGCTGTTGGCAGGGGGGCGGTTTCTCCCAATGATTCATCACTCAGCAAGTACCGTAAATGGAGCCAATCACCCCCCTGCAAATATTAAAAACGGGATGTTGGCAGGGGGGTGGTTTTTCCAATGATTCATCACTAAGCAAGTACAGTAAATTGAAGCGATCATCCCCCCCTGCCCATATTGAAAATGTGCCTGTTGGCAGGGGGGTGACAAGGTGGTTATACATATAAAATCATCCTTGGAAAACACCGATATCCCAGATCATTTCAAACTTACTTGCAGATTACTCAGTTCTTCGTGTGTAGCGGCTGGATCTTCGGGTTTTGATTCGATTTGAACAATCTGTTCACCTTTCTTAATTTCTTGTTCCGTTTCATCCAGTTGCACGCTCAGGAGTTCATAGATTGTCTTGTACAAGCTGAAAAGGATTTTGAAGTTCAAAAACACCTCCAGAATCGAGTCCAAAAACAATTAGACCTTTCAAATTAACCGCACAGCTTTTCCTTTTCAGGGGCTGGTTGTATCAAGCCCGTTTATCTTAAACGGTGGATAAGTTCAAAATAGAAAGCAAGTCTATCGTTTTATTCAACAAGCAAACTAAATGTTTTTAACCTTAATACAAAGATACTGTGTTTTACATATTCAGTGCATAATATTCAAGTTGACTCATTCAAGAGAGATGTAAGAGTGTTATTTAATTTTGACTTATCCACCGTTTAAGCTAAAAGGCCTTGATACAACCAGCCCCAAAATATGAGGACTTAATTTACAACAACAAAGGTAGTCTTACCTGTTTTTTCTGTTCTGTACATCTTCCAAGATTTCGTTGTATCGTATTGAAGAATTCTTCATATCGTTCTCAGCATCTTTGGCCTTCTTATCGACCAGAACTTCCTTCTCTAGGACAGTCTTGGAAAGCTCGACCGTTTCGTGGTAATTTGGTTCCCCTTGTGCCAACACATCTTCCATTTCCTGCGAGAAAAAGCTCTTGTTTTGATCAAGTACTACCTTTTTTAATCTTAGCTTGCAATGCACCCAGACGTGACCTACTTTAGTATTTTACTCTGTCTGATGTCAGATGATTTTACTCTTCAGTGGAAGAGTACTGTCAGTTAATAAGTTAACAAAACTATCTGTCAGTGTCTCTTGTTAACCCATTAGCTTGCAAAGCACCCAGATGTGGTCTACTTTAGTATTTTACTCTGTCTAATGTCAGATGATTTTACTCATCAGTGGAAGAGTACTGTCAGTTAATAAGTTAACAAAACTATCTGTCAGTGTTTCTTGTTAATCCATTAGCTTGCAATGCAATACTTATTTACCTTTATTTTCTTCACTACAACCAAACCCTCATCAAGATCTTCTATGTCATTTGGAATTTCTTTTGATTTCTTCTCACAATTCTTTAACCATTTGGTTATTTCTTTTCTTCGGACATCAAAAATGTTTATGAGAGCACGATAGAGCCTGAAAATATTTCGAAAAAAACTTTGGTTTAAGTTTCCTCCTGCAGTAACACTGGATCAATAGGAGAGATGATCCTTACTGGACCTCTAGGAAGAACAGTTTAGAACTGATAGAGTTATCCAGTATAAATAAGGTTAGTTTAGTTTAGGTTTCCTCTTGTAGTAACATTGGATCAATAAGATATGATTCTTACTGGACCTCTAGGAAGAACAGTTTAGAACTGATAGAACTATCCAGTATAAATAAAGCATTTCAGGTTTTAGATAATGGAACATACTTGTTTTTATGATCTTTAGTTTGCTTGAGGATTTGCGCGCGTTCAATTGCAATATCTTTACAGTCATCTTGAAACTGTTCTTGGAATTCAGGAGCGGTCAAAATCTTGTTCTTTTTCAGTTCGTTCAAGTGAACTTGCACTTCCTCAAACTGCACTTGATTCGTCTGAAATGTCTCTTCGTTGTTCTGTGAGGGAAAATCATTGTCAAAATAATTTTCTTATCTTGAATATATTTAGATTACATTCTCGCACTGTTTCTACAATGCATTTACCTTTAGTGGATCTGTTGAACCGACAATTTGTCCACAAACTCAACCAGGATTGAATAACAAAAGAAACATGTAAAGGTTACCTCTAATGCTGAGAGCTGATCTAAAACGGTATCAAGATCTTTTCCTGGTGGCGTGATCAGTTGAAGTTTGACTTTTTCATCCCCAACTTTGGCATCGCACTCCAGTATCCTATCATTTATATGCTGTACAGCAGCATCACGCAATCTAGAATGACGTGAGATTTATTTCAGTGAACTTACGATTGTAAATCAATGCTGAGCTACTTTAGGTATAAATCCGTTTTGAAAGATAATTTCGCTACATTAAGCTTACATTTTGAGGCGAGTTTTGGATTGGTTCAAATTATTTAATCCACAGAGAGAAACTAAACGATCAATTTTGAACTTTTGTCTCGACTACAAGAGTCAAAACTACAGTGAAATGTGTAGAAATAAAGGTGAACTATACCTCAATTTTCGTAGTTCCAAAGCGCTTTGCAATCCTTCGAGATTTTTTTGTGAAGAGTTCACGATGTCATCAACGTCTTCTTGGGCAACTGCTGGATCTTGATCAGAGATTTTTTCACCAGACGAACGAAGAGAGATGAGTTTTGGCTTAAATTCCGTGTTCATCTTGTCGATGATGTCCTGAAAAAACGCAGAAAAAAGCGTCCTAAATAAGTCCTTTTATCGTTCGGTTTTGAATCGATTAATGAAAAGGCAATAACCTAATTTCTCGAGAGTTTCAACATATATAGCACAATTTTAATCCAGGAATGGTTATTTTCTTGAACACGCACCTGCGTTTCAGTTTCAACTTTTGTCAGACTGGAGTAATCCTTGACATCAACATCAAATTCTTGAAGAGTGTTTTGTGATTTCAGCAAAGACTCGTCAATTTCAGCTGCATCTCCCTTCCATGAACCATAGTCCACAGTTAGATCTTCAGGAAGAGACGATTCAACTTCTTCAACTTGGATTGCTTTGATTACCGCGGGCTCCTCCTGGAAGAAAACAAATGTTTGTTTAAACACGATTTTTAATAATCATTTGCTCGTTCCAATATCCAGTATGGATCCTCTCTTATTGATCCAGTGTTACTACAGGAAGAAACCTAAACTAAACTAACTTTATTTATACTGGATAGCTCTATCAGTTCTAAACTGTTCTTTCTAGAGATCCAGTAAGGACCATCTCTTATTGATCCAGTGTTACTACAGGAGGAAACCTAAACTAAACTAACTTTATTTATACTGGATAGCTCTATCAGTTCTAAACTGTTCTTCCTAGAGGTCCAGTAAGGTATTCAAGGAAGTTCTCGCAAAACCTATGGGTTACTAACAGATTCACGTTCTTTCACAACTTGGTCCATTTTCGTATTGAGATCATCCCAACGATTGTCGAACTCTTCCACTTGTTTTTGAAGAACATCCCTCGCTTCTTCGCCGAGATCTTCGTTGAGACTTGCCTCCAGTTCCTTGGCACGTTGAACGCGTGCCTTTTCCTCTGGCCGCTCACCCAAACGAAGCTACAAAGAACAGAACACGCCATCCATTATATCTTCAAAGCACCCAGTTGAAAACTACAACAATATTTCTCAGGGGCCGGTTGTATCAAGCCCGTTTAGCTTAAACGGCGGATAACTCAAAATTAAATAACACTCTTACATCTCTCTTGAATGAGTCAACTTGAATATTATGCACTGAATATGTAGTTGTAAACAGTATCTTTGTGTTAAGGTTAAATACATTTAGTTTGCTTCTTGAGTAAAACGTTAGACTTGCTTTCTATTTTGAACTTACCCGCGGTTTAAGTTTAACGGGCTTGATAAAACCGGCCCCTGGTCATCTCAAAACTATGTCCAAAATCAGACCATTGAAAGTATATATCTGTAGCAGTCTTAGACATAATTTAGTGGATTACAAAAGCATAAAATAACTTACCGAAATTTGATCAACAAACTTGTTCAAATCAGAAGCCTGTTTCTCCTTTTCTTTTTCAGGAAGTTCTTCCTCTTCATTTTCGTTTATTTCTTCCCCTTTTGCGATGTCTTTCTTCTCTTCTGCCTTCTTTATTTCATCGTTTAAAGAACTCAAAATATTCTCGCTTTCCTCCATTGTCAAGTTGATATCATCCATGTGATTGTAAAGAGTCTTCGCCTTTCGCTCTGATGAATCAAGCTGTTGTAGAAAGAAAAGAATTAGTAAACTTATGTATCTTTATATAAAGTTTTAAGAAATGAAAGTTAGCTCAGTGTGTATGACCTGTATTTGTTTATTTTTTGTTAGTTTGTAAATACTATCGATAACTCTGACGTTGCAGGATCTTAGAATGAAATCTTGCACTTTGTTTCCAAATCAGTTCCATACCTTTTTCATTCTCTCCAAGGTGTCTACGCACAGGTTATCGTAGCATTTGTTGACATCATTGAATTCATTTTCCATTCGTTTACCAGCTGGGCTGTCAGGACCAACAAGTTTAACCAAATCATTTGAGACTTTCTTCATTTTCACCACATTTAATTGAAGCTCCTGTACACTCGACTGGGCATCCTTTTTAGAAGCAAGATGTCAGTTAGTTTAGAACTGATAGAGCTATCCGGTGTAAATAAAGTTAGTTTAGTTTTGGTTTCTTTCTGTAGTAACACTGGATCAATAAGGGTGATCCTTACTGGACCTCTAGGAAGAACAGTTTAGAACTGATAGAGCTGTCCAGTATAAATAAAGTTAGTTTAGTTTAGGTTTCCTCCAGTAGTAACACTGGATCAAAAAGAGATGATCCTTACTGGACCTCTAGGAAGAACAGTTTAGAACTGATAGAGCTGTCCAGTATAAATAAAGTTAGTTTAGTTTAGGTTTCCTCCTGTAGTAACACTGGATCAAAAAGAGATGATCCTTACTGGACCTCTAGGAAGAACAGTTTAGAACTGATAGAGCTATCAAGTGTAAATAAAGTTAGTTTAGGTTTCCTATTGCTGTAAAGAAATAAACAAACCTTGAGTTCATTTCTTTGATTTTCAATGTCTTCTTTGTCTGACAAATCCACAGGAGACGAAAGCAACTTTAGTCTGGCATCATTGTCGTCAATTTCGTCTAAAAGATCTTTTTCTTGCTTGCGAAGTTTCTCCCAATCTTCATTGATCGTCGTGAGTCTGTCTAATCGTTCTTCAGACCAACTGTTCATCGTAGACCACTTGTCATCAAGGTCGTAGATCAAGAACCTCGTTTCAGGAGAAAGGTCTTCGTTATCCCTTGCTTCGTCGATCAATCCTTCCATCTTACGATGCTCGAGTTCCTCCTGGAAAATCTAAAAGGTAAAAAAGCATTTATTTTAAAATCGTCCAGACCTCTCAGTTAAGAAAACTATGCAAGCAACAAAATCTCGGATTTAAGCGGTCTTAGTACTTTGGCGGAAGATACTGATTTAGGAAAATATCAACTTGTTTCCTCAATTCAGGAGTAACGAGCACTTCCAGTACGATTTCTTTGAAATCAATCATTTAAATGAATGAAGCACTAACCGTTTGATCATCAAGTTTTTTAGCAAAGCCTGGCAGATTATCAACATCGTGGTCGGTGATGCCCATCCAAGATTCATTGGAATCAAACCACATTTTACGATTCCTTACTTCACTGTCAATGATTTTATTATACTCCTTCGCAAAACTGAAATTCGTGTAAAGTTTAACACAGTTTTGGTTAAAAAAAACACATAAATTACACTTGGTATTCTCGTCGAAGCGTAAGATGCAATGGCATGAGACTCACTTGTCGAATTTCTCGTCTGATTTTTCTGATAACTGCGAGTTTTTGTCTTTCAATTCGTTTCTTCGTTCATCCAGATTTTTCTTGTCTTCATTGTTGAAGGCATCTAGAGCTATGATTACGTGAACATCCTTTAAAGTTTCTTTTGATTTCTCGCAGAAATCATCAACTTCGTCTTTGACACTCTATGAAAATAAGAACAGTTTAGCACTGATAGAGTTATCCAGCATAAATAAAGTTAGTTTAGTTTAGGTTTCCTCCTGTAGTAACAACGGATCAATAAGAGATGATCCTTACTGGACCTCTAGAAAGAACAGTTTAGAACTGATAGATCTATCTAGTATAAATAAAGTTAGTTTAGTGTAGGTTTCCTCCTGTAGTAACACTGGGTCATCTCTTCAAAGTAATATACACAGTAAACATCATCATAATACCTTTGCGTTCTGGAAATCTTGTTTGATTTGCGGGAATCTTTCAGCCATGTTAGTTTGCTCAACTTTCTCATCCATCTCTGCGATATTGTCACCAGCTTCATCCATCGTGGTTTGAGCCAGGTTGAGAAGAATTATGTACAGCGCACCGTTCTTATCATGAACACGTTTGCCCACCACAGCAAAACGAGTAGCGAATGACTGAAGATCTTTCTCGGAGCTAGATGCTTTCCTTCCTTCAAGAACGTTGTCTGATATCAACTGTTTGTTCAACTGAAGAACGCTATCATACTTTGACTCTCCTTCGTTCAAATCTTCAAGCAAAACCTTTAAACAAAACAAATCGTAAACTAGACCAAAACATAATATGGAAATTTAATACTAGTCCTTAAAAATCAGTGTATATTCTGTTCATTTGCGTTCAAATTTCCTTGGATTTCGCTTGAGAATACATCAAAATATTGATTTGAAAACGCTTACCATTAATTTTTTGTATTCGGCAACTGGGTCGTGTGTGGGAGACGGCTCAACGTTTATAGATTTTTCTTTCTTTTCACAAGAAGCCAGCCATTTTCCAACAACCTTCTTCATCTCGGACAAATGTGATATCAAATTTCGATGTATTCTAGAATAAAATTGAACCCGAAAATATTAAAAAAAACGTTGGTGTGCAAGAAATGTGGCCTTCAACAAATGATTCAGAGAATATATGCTTTCAATTCTGCCTTGAAAACCGAGAAATCAGCAGATAAAGAAAGAGCAATGAAGATTTCATTCAAATTATATTGAACACACTATCTAGCCTACCGTGTTTTGGATTCTGATAACTTTTTCTCCACAGCATCTCGCCGTTTTTTAATGTTTTGACTTTTATCTGCTAGAGTTCCTTGAAATCCATCTTTCGTCAACAATTCCACAATCTTTTTATCTTTCAATTCGTTAACAACGTTTTCATAATCTTCTTTATTTTTGTCAAATTCTTTGCGGCCTTCTTTCAAAAGCACCATCTGCTCTTGTGTGGTTTCAATATCAGGTTTTGTTGCAAGTAATTTTTCGACGTTTTCTTCCTCGCTTTCAAGAGCAATTTCACAATGATTTAGACGATTGTTGAAGTAATCTAAAGCCAAATCTCGTACCCTGTTTAAGAAAGATGGAAAAAAAGTAAAAATGGATTTGCAAGCTCGGTTAAATGAATCAAAATGGATCGCAAATGGACGTAACGAGATCAATTTTGTAAAAATATTTTACATACTTCATTTTAAGTATGCCTGCATTATTCTCTGAGGTTTCAACTCTTTTTCTAAGTGAATCGATTGTGTCCGTTATTTCTTCCCCTCTGTCAATGTCATGAGGATCTTCGCTTATAATATTTATTCCCTGTGTTTTGATGACTTGAACTCTTGGCTTGCAGTACAAGGTAATTGTCTTTGTTGCTTCCTAGAGATGAAATACTACAGTTTAGGCCAAGATTATCTAAGTAAAGATCATCTCTTATTCATCCAGTGTTACTACAGGAGGAAACCTAAACTAAACTAACTTTATTTATACTGGATAGTTCTATCAGTTCTAAACTGTTCTTCCTAGAGGTCCAGTAAGGATCATCTCTTATTGATCCAGTGTTACTACAGGAGGAAACCTAAACTAAACTAACTTAATTTATACTGGATAGTTCTATCAGTTCTAAACTGTTCTTCCTAGAGGTCCAGTAAGGATAATCTCTTATTGATCCAGTGTTACTACAGGAGGAAACCTAAACTAAACTAACTTTATTTATACTGGATAGTTCTATCAGTTCTAAACTGTTCTTCCTAGAGGTCCAGTAAGGATCATCTCTTATTGATCCAGTGTTACTACAGGAGGAAACCTAAACTAAACTAACTTTATTTATACTGGATAGTTCTATCAGTTCTAAACTGTTCTTCCTAGAGGTCCAGTAAGGATCATCTCTTATTGATCCAGTGTTACTACAGGAGGAAACCTAAACTAAACTAACTTTATTTATACTGGATAGTTCTATCAGTTCTAAACTGTTCTTCCTAGAGGTCCAGTAAGGATCATCTCTTATTGATCCAGTGTTACTACAGGAGGAAACCTAAACTAAACTAACTTTATTTATACTGGATAGCTCTATCAGTTCTAAACTGTTCTTCCTAGAGGTCCAGTAAGGATCATCTCTTATTGATCCAGTGTTACTACAGGAGGAAACCTAAACTAAACTAACTTTATTTATACTGGATAACTCTATCAGCTCTAGACTGTTCTTCCTAGAGGTCCAGTAAGAATCATCTCTTATTGATCCAGTGTTACTACAGGAGGAAACCTAAACTAAACTAACTTTATTTATACTGGATAGCTCTATCAGTTCTAAACTGTTTTCCAAAGACAACTAGTAAGAGGATTAGGCTGAATTTACCTTCGTGTTGGATGCTAAGATTCGTATACTTGCATAATCCTCTTTTCCATCAGCATTGACACCAACCAACCGTTCAACATATTTCAACAACAAATTCACCTTTCTAACTTTCTCTCGCCATACATCCAGTGGCACAACTGATCTCATATCAGTTTCATCCAACGAATCCTCCTCAAGATGTTCCGCTTTGATCTGAGCTATCTCAATTTCCTGCAAAAAAAAGGGAAACATTAACCCATCGACAATCATTATTAAAATTAGAAGTATTGCTCTCGTAAATGTCATGACAATTGAAATGTAGTTGCTTGAAGCCCGAAAGATATTTACAGCCAAGGTTCTAGAATTTTAAAGCTTTTTTAGCGAGTTTATTTCAAACGTTAGGACGATAAAGCTGCTAATATTGCTATTAAATGCCCGAAGACGGTTGTTCAAATGCTGGATAGCGCTAGCACGGGATATGAATGTTTTAAATCGTTGTAAACATCTGTGAAAAACAATCAAATTCCAGATTTGGATCCGACAGTTTTAGAGCAATTGAAAAACACGATTCGGTAGATTGCGCTGTACAGCTTTTGTACAACCGGCCTCGGAAGAAACGAAGATTTTCAATTAGAAAACCTTCAGTTTTTGAATGAAAGAATTCACATTTTCTCTTAGCCTTGAAAATACTGCAGGTCATCTAAAATAGCACTTACAGGTATATCACGGTTGCAAAATTCATCCAGTCTTTGTGTTACAACACCCCAGCGAACTTTCATGTCTTTTACTTTAACCTGAGTATTTTCAACGGTCGATTCATCCAGCAACTGGTCATCCAAGTGTTCTGCTGATGACTCCGCGTTATCCAGACGTGCTTCGAACTCTGGGATTTCTTTGCGTTTAATCTTAAAGAAACGGCGAATGTGAAGCATTTCAAACAATAAGATAAACGAGACACTAATTTGGCAATTAAAGTGTTAGAATGCATGGGTTTTTAAGTTTTCCAATTGGATTGCTATTGAATACAATACAAAATGTGAAGAACTTTTATGGCAGAACAGAACCATTTATATCAGGTAACAAAATATTGGGTAAAATTGAAGTCCATCGATTCAGACGTACCAATAAGTCCTCCACAACGTGTACCATTTCTTCTTCAACTTCACCATCCTGTCGCACGTGCTGTTCACGTGAACTACCATCATCAGCGGTTTCTTTCTCATGGTTTTCATACTTGTCAATCAGGTTTTCCGTGGTGTCCAACCAGTTTGTTACATCGTCAATGTCATTGTACAAGTCTCGAGTTTTCTCTTCACTGCTTTCAATCTAAAGGAAAAGAATTAGAGTTGATCTTGATCAATGTCTAGCGAGAGATGATCCTTACTGGACCTTTAGGAAGAGCAGTTTAGAACTGATAGAACTATCCAGTGTAAATAAAGTTAGTTTAGTTTAGGTTTCCTCCTGTAGTAACACTGGATCAATAAGAGATGATCCTTCCTGAACCTCTAGGAAGAACAGTTTAGAACTGATAGAGCTATCCAGTATAAATAAAGTTAGTTTAGGTTTCCTTCTGTAGTAACACTGGATCAATAAGAGATGATCCTTACTGGACCTCTAGGAAGAACAGTTTAGAACTGATAGAGCTATCCAGTATAAATAAAGTTAGTTTCATTTAGGTTTCCTCCTGTAGTAACACTGGATCGATAAGAGATGATCCTTACTGGACTTCTAGGAAGAACAGTTTAGAATTGATAGAACTATCCAGTATAAATAAAGATAGTTTAGGTTTCCTCCTGTAGTAACACTGGATCAATAAGAGATGATCCTTACTGGACCTCTAGGAAGAACAGTTTAGAACTGATAGAGCTATCCAGTATAAATAAAGTTAGTTTAGGTTTTCTCCTGTAGTAACACTGGATCAACAAGGGTTGAGTAGCAAAACCTTTACCTTTTCAATGCGATCACCCATATCGTTGATGAACTTCTGTCTCACAGAATCAACTTCTTCCGTTTGTTTTTTGACCTCATCAGCGGCTGGGGAGTCTTCACCAAGATGGCGGATTAAATCTTCACTGGCTTCTTTTAATTTCTTTTCTTGTGACTCTCCTTGCCCCTCGGCTTCTTCCTTGGCATCCTGAACATCAAAAAACGTTTGAACACTTTGACGATGATTTTGTACAAGAATGCTCACCCAAGTTTTGAGAACTCGGAGCAGGCTCTTGGGCATAAACAGCCGATAAAGCTTCAAAAATATCTCAATGGAAACATTCACAAATAGCACAGAAAAACTTCTTTATTTACCTTTAATTTCTTGACATGTTCAGCGACCTCGTCTTCATCAGCAAGGTTCACTTGATCTTTTTCTTCAGCGGCTTCGGCATCTTTCTTGTCAATCCAGTTCAACAAGGTCAGTTGCTGTTCACGGAAGACAGTCCACTTTGTCATGAGATCTTCGTAGTTTTCGGTTTTGTCCTTCGCATCGTCGTGAATCGTCGCCCAACGCTCGTCCAACTGTACAAGTTCATTCTTCAATTCTGGTTCAATCCCGTCGATCTTGTCTGCCTCTTCAATCAAAACTTTGATGTTGTTATCATCCAGTTCTTTGACAAAATCCTGACAAAATAACAAGAAATAATGTTTTTCTTTATATCTTCAAGAGGTGCATTCAATATCTCAAAAAAACTTCGCAAAATTGACTTTCTTAAGCACCTTGTTTTGATCATATTTTATCTTGAATTCGCTGAAATCTTTGAAGTCGGTTTCAGGTTTAAGTTCAACTCCTTCATTTTCATCTAGCCATAATTTCCTTTTCTCTACTTCCTTTTTCAGAAGATCGCCGTAACCTTCTCTGAGCCTAAAAAAATCCCAAAATATACCTCAAAAAAAACCCCAGGAAAATTAAATTTTACCTCATTTATCTAACACTTACTTTTGTGATTTTTCTCTAGCGGTTGGTATATCTGCGTTGAATCTTGTCTTGATGTCGCCAATGCGGCGTTGAAGAGAAGTTGATTCGGGAAGGGGCAATATTTCACCTGTGGAAATCTTTTCAATTGGTCCAAGTTGAATAATGATGTCTTTTGTTCGTTGTTTTATTATGGATTCACGTTCCTTGAAATGAAATATGAATGAATACAGCTTCACAAATAGTTCTATCAGTTCTAAACTGTTCTTCAGTAAGAGATCCAGTAAGGATCATCTCCTATTGATCCAGTGTTACTACAGGAGGAAACCTAAACTAAACTAACTGTATTTATACATGATAGTTCTATCAGTTCTAAACTGTTCTTCCTAGAGGTCAAGTGAGGATCATCTCCAAGCTCACCTTCATGGTATCCTGCTGTTCTTTGGCGTCTGTGAAGTTATCAGCAGGCTCTTCTGGTTGAAGCCACGTCTTTTGCTCATCAAGTTTCTCATCAGAAGACTTCAACACACCTTCTGTGGTCTGTCTCACATAAGTAAGAAGTCTAAAAGACATATTGGATAATTTTAGATTCGGTCTTTCCAAGTAAAAACACTCAGGGTAATCTTACTCGTTGTCTTTATCTTGTAAGCGTTGTTTAAGGTCATCATGTCGTGTTCCTAATGTTTCCATTTGTTTGGCAAAATCAACGGCTTTCTTCTCAACCAAAATTTCATCATCGACAGCTTCTTTATGGACTTCATTTAAGGTGATATACAGAGGCTCTCCTTTGTAAAATTCAGCTTTAACTTGCTACAAAATAAAGTCAGTTGTACAGCGATTTTCTTTGGAAAACAATAGTCTGTCTGTTGCATGCAAATTACCTTCAGTTTTAAGCATTCTTGATGCGCTTTGTTAAGATCTTTCACGTTTGCCATGTCGATATTTCTCTCTTTCTTTTCGCAAGATTTCAACCAATTGTTGACAGATTTTTGTGTTCGATTTAACTGGTTTACTAAAGCACGATGCAATCTAGAAAAAGTGTGATTTTGGTTAGTTTAGTTTAGGTTTCCTCCTGTAGTAACATTGGATCAATAAGAGATGATCCTTACTGCACCTCTAGGAAGAACAGCTTAGAAGTGATAGAGCTATCCAGTATAAATAAAGTTAGTTTAGTTTAGGTTTCCTCCTGTAGTAACACTGGATTAATAAGAGATGATCGTTACTGGACCTCTAGGAAGAACAGTTTAGAACTGATAGAGCATACTTTGGTTTGGCTTCATCGATAACAACAAAGACATTCTTTTGTTCCTTCTTTACTTCGTTACATCTGTCATTTAAAGTCCCAGCGAAGCCATCCCGTGGCAAAACGCCTGCATCTTCCATGTTATTTACTTTTTCCTCGGTATCCTGAACTTTCTCGCCATCAGATGAAAGCCGTTTCTCTAAAGACTTTTAAAAGAGACGAATACCAGAGTTAACAGAAAGCAAATCGACAGCTTACTAACATAATTGCCTAAGTCACTTTTCGGCCATTTCGAGAAAAGTGATAAATAAGTCTGAAGAGCGGTGGAAATTGCGGTGAAGAGCGGTGGACATTGCGGTGAAGAGCGGTGGACATTGCGGTGAAGAGCGGTGGACATTGCGGTGAAGAGCGGTGGACATTGCGGTGAAGAGCGGTGGACATTGCGGTGAAGAGCGGTGGACATTGCGGTGAAGAGCGGTGGACATTGCGGTGAAGAGCGGTGGACATTGCGGTGAAGAGCGGTGGACATTGCGGTGATGAGCGGTGGACATTGCGGTGAAGAGCGGTGGACATTGCGGTGAAGAGCGGTGGACATTGCGGTGAAGAGCGGTGGACATTGCGGTGAAAAGCGGTGGACATTGCGGTGAAGAGCGGTGGACATTGCGGTGAAGAGCGGTGGACATTGCGGTGAAGAGCGGTGGACATTGCGGTGAAGAGCGGTGGACATTGCGGTGAAAAGCGGTGGAAATTGCGGTGAAGAGTGGTGGACATTGCGGTGAAGAGCGGTGGAAATTGCGGTGAAGAGTGGTGGACATTGCGGTGAAGAGCGGTGGAAATTGCGGTGAAGAGTGGTGGACATTGCGGTGAAGAGCGGTGGACATTGCGGTGAAAAGCGGTGGAAATTGCGGTGAAGAGTGGTGGACATTGCGGTGAAGAGCGGTGGACATTGCGGTGAAAAGCGTGGAAATTGCGGTGAAGAGTGGTGGACATTGCGGTGAAGAGCGGTGGAAATTGCGGTGAAGAGTGGTGGACATTGCGGTGAAGAGCGGTGGAAATTGCGGTGAAGAGGTGGACATTGCGGTGAAGAGCGGTGGAAATTGCGGTGAAGAGGTGGACATTGCGGTGAAGAGCGGTGGAAATTGCGGTGAAGAGTGGTGGACATTGCGGTGAAGAGCGGTGGAAATTGCGGTGAAGAGTGGTGGACATTGCGGTGAAGAGCGGTGGAAATTGCGGTGAAGAGTGGTGGACATTGCGGTGAAGAGCGTGGAAATTGCGGTGAAGTGTGGACATTGCGGTGAAGAGCGGTGGAAATTGCGGTGAAGAGTGGTGGAAATTGCGGTGAAGAGCGGTGGAAATTGCGGTGAAGAGTGGTGGACATTGCGGTGAAGAGCGGTGGAAATTGCGGTGAAGAGTGGTGGAAATTGCGGTGAAGAGCGGTGGAAATTGCGGTGAAGAGTGGTGGAAATTGCGGTGAAGAGCGGTGGAAATTGCAGTGAAGAGAGGTGGAAATTGCGGTGAAGAGCGGTGGAAATTGCAGTGAAGAGCGGTGGAAATTGCGGTGAAGAGCGGTGGACATTGCGAGAGAGTGTTATTTAATTTTGAACTTATCCACCGTTTAAGCTAAACGGGCTTGACACAACCAGCCCCTGGTGGAAAACGAGCTTATAATTGTTTGAAACGGAAACTGTTTAAGCTATTACTCGCTATAAACAAACGAGGAAGGTTACCTTCATCGAAGCAATCTGTACTCGAAGATCAGGTAGGTTATCTGAAGGAGGTCTCAAGGACTTTCCTGTTTCCTGCATTTTATTCACATCGACAGAACATTTGTTCAGCGTTTCGTTAAAGTACTCAAGCGCTGCATCGCGAACTCTAGAAAAACACGATTAAACAATTTGTAAAACATCTGGCCAGGCCTTGAAGATGATAAGTGGAAATTTATAGAAAACGATAGATCTGAAATTTGTGGATAAAAAAGCTGTGAATCAATTGAGGAACTCACTTCATTCTGGTTATTCTCACAGCCATATCAATACGCTGGGTCCTGTCTTTCAAAGATATCATCTTTTCTGTGACGAATGCTTGGTCTTCTGGTTGAAGTTCTTTGTTGTTTACAAGCGCATTTCCATCTGACAAAATGGTGGCTAGCTTCGGCTTACATTGGTCATCAACTGTAGCACCAGAGTCCTTAATATACGAAGATATATTAAGATAAATCATTTATGCATTAGCTTGCAATGCACCCAGATGTGACCTACTTTAGTATTTTACTCTGTCTAATGTCAGATGATTTTACTCATCAGTGGAAGAGTACTGTCAGTTAATAAGTTAACAAAACTATCTGTCAGTGTCTCTTGTCAACCCATTAGCTTGCAATGCACCCAGATGTGGCCTGTTTTAGTATTTTACTCTGTCTAATGTCAGATGATTTTATTTATCAGTGGAAGAATATTTATCAGTGGAAGAATCATTGACATTGAATATATTTATATAATGGTTACCTTTGTTTCTTGTGCAAGCTTCTCCAAGTTTGAATATTCTTTCTCGATAGGCGCCTTTGGATCAAACTTTCCATCTTCTTTGTCAAGAATTCCTTCCAGTTCTTCAACGCTGTTCTTCCACTCACCGTAATCGACAGTTGCTGGTGGTTCTGGCGCTTTGGGCTCTTGTGCAAACAACTCATCAATATCCTAAACAGAAAACCACATCCTGAGCTTTTGCACAGACTTGGCTAACAACAACAAACTCGACAATCCTATCCTGACTAAATCTTCTTCAGTAACTACCAATATCCAGCGAGGATGAAACCTTATGAGCACTGGCTTATCACTTCAAACTTTGTTAAATCGATTTAGGAGTTTTTAAACATTATAAGTTTGAAAAACCTCGAAAGTTCCTTCCACAACCAAATCGTCTTCTTTCTTCTCAACCACTACGAATTCGGTTACAACTTCAAGTTGAGGCTGAGCATCGAAACTAGAAGTAGTTAAATTAAACATATTTCATAACTTTGCCATTCCATTTTTCTCAAATACAAACAAAGAACCTTTGCTGAAAAGCGGTTCAATATCTCTGTATTTCACCCCTCAAATCTTCAAGGCACAAGATCTTCGGGGGAAAACCGTTTCAAGGGCAGTTTTAGTGCGTTAAAATGCTTCTGTTCACCTTTCCTTAGCTGTTTTTTCTTCGTTTTTATAATTATTCCAGGTATTCTTTAAATTGTTCATATCTTTAGACACCTTATCCTTATCTTTGGGAGAAATTGTGGACACTGTTACGAGGTATTCAGCCCGTTCAGAAAGGCTATCAATCCTGTCGGGATTGCCATCCATTTCAGCGGAAATAACCTAAAATTAAATTAAAAGTTACGTCCATTGAGCTCTTTCAACTTATACAAACGTCCTTGTAGGTAGAACCACGTAAGTATTTAATACTGCAAAGCTTTCGGTCCGTTAACCTTGCAGTATTAAATACTTGTATAAAATACTGCAAGCTAATTTACCTGTATTTTCATATCACCATGCAAAATTGCAAGAATATTATCACCAACGTCCATTCAAGAATTATTATTTCTACGTTATTATTTTCTATACTCCTAACAGTCATTACCTCGAAAGCTTTTAGGGAGCTGTTGTTTATAAAATGGTCGGAACTTACTTCAAAGTCGTCTTTCTGCTTTTCCATCCTTGCTCGATCTTTGGAAGGCTTCTTCAAGTTGCGAACCTGCTGTCTGGCATTGTCGATAGATTTGTTCATTTCACTACAATCGTTCCGCCATTCGTCAAGCTTGACAATGTCTTGAGTTCCAGATATCACACTGAAATCATAGGCGAACAAACCACTTTGAATCACAGCATGTTTTCAACAAGAATATCAAGAAATATTGTGGCTCTTCGCGGGTAAATCGGTCAGGATTGAATACGCAAACTATAGCAGTTTAAACTCGGAGTATATCTACTTAAAAAACAGGGCCGGTTGTATCAAGCCCGTTTAGCTTAAACGGTGAATAAGTCGAAATTAAATAACACTCTTACATCTCTCTTGAATGAGTCAACTTGAATATTATGCACTGAATATGTAGTTGTAAACAGTATCTTTGTATTAAAGTTAAAAATATTTAGTTCGCTTGTTGAATAAAACGATAGACTTGCTTTCTATTTTGAACTTATCCACCGTTTAAGCTAAACGGGCTTGATACAACCCCAGTATAGTTGTTGTAGAACTTCTGTAGAAGACAACAAACATATAAACTGATTTCAAAATTAACTTACATTGGTTGGACAACGTCAAATCTTTGCACAATTGTACTCCAAGAGTTCTGTGTGTTCTCGATTTTGTCTTGAATTTCTTTCTTATCTTTCTGAGCGACAGGATTTTCTTTCAACAGAAGATTACCTCCGTCAACAACTTTGTCAACACGAGCTTGATTCTTTTCCTTATCTTCCAGAAATACCTTGAACAAAGAGAAAGTGATATGGATAATGGATATGTTTTGATTTCAATATACAAGATATTTTGCCAGATATTTTAACAAAGGATATGTTTTGATTTCAATATACAAGATATTTTGCCAGCCTACCTTCACGAAGTTCGCTTGTTTTTCTCTGACGCTGTTGTCACTTGTTGGTAATTCGCACGCATCAATTTCTTTCTTCGTGTTTTCCATCCAAGGCTTCAAGTCGTCCACATCATCTTTCCATTCCTGGTAATCTTCAACAAAACTTTTTTGATTATCAAACCTACGAGAGAGCAGATTATTATCACGTAAGAAAGGACAATACAGGATTGGTAGATCTATCCATGTATAAATAAAGTTAGTTTAGTTTAGGTTTCCTCCTGTAGTAACACTGGATCAATAAGAGATGATCCTTACTGGACCTCTAGGAAGAACAGTTTAGAACTGGTAAAACGTCTCACCTGTTCTTTTTATCTTCCTCATCTTGCTTTAATTTATCCCATCGTTCTCGTAAAGCCTTCGTATCATCTTCGGTCTTTTTTCGGTCGCTTTCATCTATTGACGGTTCGTTGGCCAATTGGTCGCCTTTTTGAAGTAGTATAGTAATTCTTGTCTCGTATGTGGATAATACGTTCACCATTTCCTGCGATGATAATAAAGTTAGTTTAGTTTAGGTTTCACTGGTAACACTGGAACAATAAGAGATGATCCTTACTGGACCTCTAGGAAGAACAGTTTAGAACTGATAGGCCTATCCAGTATAAATAAAGTTAGTTTAGTTTAGGTTTCCTCCTGTAGTAACACTGGATCAATAAGAGATGATCCTTACTGGACCTCTAGGAAGAACAGTTTAGAACTGGTAGTGCTATCCAGTATAAATAAAGTTAGTTTAGTTTAGGTTTCCTCCTGTAGTAACACTGGATCAATAAGAGATGATCCTTACTGGACCTCTAGGAAGAACAGTTTAGAACTGATAGTGCTATCCAGTATAAATAAAGTTAGTTTAGTTTAGGTTTCCTCCTGTAGTAACACTGGATCAATAAGAGATGATCCTTACTGGACCTCTAGGAAGAACAGTTTAGAACTGATAGAGCTATCCAGTATATATAAAGTTAGTTTAGTTTAGGTTTCCTCCTGTAGTAACACTGGATCAATAAGAGATGATCCTTACTGGACCTCTAGGAAGAACAGTTTAGAACTGATAGAGTATCCAGTATAAATAAAGTTAGTTTAGTTTGGTTTCCTCCTGTAGTAACACTGGATCAATAGAGATGATCCTTACTGGACCTCTAGGAAGAAAGTTTAGAACTGATAGCTATCCAGTATGATAAAGTTAGTTTAGTTTAGGTTTTCCTTAGTAACACTGGATCAATAAGAGATATCCTTACTGGACCTCTAGGAAGAACAGTTTAGAATGATGCAGAGTTATCCATATAAATAAGTTAGTTTAGTTTAGGTTTCCTCCTGTAGTAACACTGGATCAATAAGAGATGATCCTTACTGGACCTCTAGGAAGACAGTTTAGAATGATAGAGTATCCAGTATAAATAAAGTTAGTTTAGTTTAGGTTTCCTCCTGTAGTAACACTGGATCAATAAGAGATGATCCTTACTGGACCTCTAGGAAGAACAGTTTAGAACTGATAGAGCTATCCAGTATAAATAAAGTTAGTTTAGTTTAGGTTTCCTCCTGTAGTAACACTGAATCAATAAGAGATGATCCTTACTGGACCTCTAGGAAGAGCAGTTTAGAACTGATAGAGCTATCCAATATAAATAATATACTCACATCAAGAGTGGTGCATTTATTAGCGAGATCTTTAGCCTGGTCCCCAGGTTCCCCTTGCGCGGCAAGCTTCTTCTCGTTCGTCTCAATCCATTTAATAACGGTGGTATATTCCTTCCTCCAATCACTTAACTCCGTGATATTTTGAATACCAGAACGAACACTGTAAATAAAAGTTAAAACAACTATATCATACTATTGTTATGTCAGAGCCACTGTCCATCTTCGCCCCCTTGTCTAAAATCTTAAATACAAGAACTCGAACTAAAACTTGGACCAATTCTTTCTAGGATGGAATTTTTCAAAATATAATACAATCCATATCGCATGAAAAGGTTCATCTAAGGTTGAAAGAGTTACCTTGTATTAATCAGACTTACATTTTTTGCAGTTCTTCAACTTTTAGCACAATTATCCTCCATGTATCCCCTATAGTCTTCGTCTCTTCTTTGATATCATCCCCCTTATCCTCAGGTACCCCTGGAGCATCAGCCAACTTGCTACCAAACTGTACAACTGTTTCAACGCGTTTATCGTTTGCAGGTTGGTCTTTGTTGAATTTCTAGAAAGAAAATCACAAGGACAATGTAGTTCACTTATCTATTGCCCACTAAATTGAATCCTTTGCAAACCCAACAAAAACTTACATTCAGAAACGCGGCTTGTCTGTCTCTCTCTGTCTTGTTGCTGGTTGGTTTTTCATACGATTCTAACTTGTGTTGACAATCGTCAAGCATCGAGTTCAGACCATCGTAGTCTGTTCTGTACTGCTTGTATTCCGTTATCCATTGAATTTTATCATCAAGCCTGTTGTATTAACAAGAGAATGACTTTTAAAGTGTTTTAACTGAATGGAACAGAATGAAGAAGGTGAAACAAAAGATTGGACCATAAACAAAATAAAATAACCAGAAACGAAACTATTTAAAGCTGAGTAAAAGAAGATAGTTTAAATTATTGAAATAGAATCGAAATAGTTTTGAATTCAATTGAACAGAAATGAGATGAAATCGAGCGAAACAAAGCAACTTACCTTTGTTTACGATCAGTTTCTTCATTCTTCAATTTATCAAATCTTTCTTTCAAAGTTTTCGTGTCATTATCTGCTTTCGACTTATCATCAGGAGTTATGAAGTTGCTTTGTGATATCGTCTCTCCTCTTGCCAATAATGGAGCAATCTTGGCCTCGTATTTCGCAATATCTTTCACATCAACCTGAACAAAACACGGTTCATTTGTGCACAGTTTGTTGCGAGAACAAAGAATTAATGTATTACAACTAAAAATGCCTAGTATTTTGTACAGGTGAATCACTCACCTCTAGTTTCTTTCGCTGTTTCTTTAACTTGTCAAGATCATCGCTGTCTTCTTCCCGTTGATTTTGCTTGTCTTCAGCTTTCTCAATCCAGAGCAATACAACATTGTAGTCATTCTGCCATTTGCTTAGCTGTACAGCATCTTGAAGACTAGAGTCGACACTGCAAAGAGAAGAATCAATGCCTTTGAATAAAGGTTTCATTCCATAGCATCTATTACAGTGTTACTGCAGGAGGAAACCTAAACTAAACTAACTTTATTTATACTGGATAGCTCTGTCAGTTCTAAACTGTTCTTCCTAGAGGTCCAGTAAGGATCATCTCTTATTGATCCAGTGTTACTACAGGAGGAAACCTAAACTAAACTAACTTTATTCATACTGGATAGCTCTATCAGTTCTAAACTGTTCTTCCTAGAGGTCCAGTAAGGATCATCTCTTATTGATTCAGTGTTACTACAGGAGGAAACCTAAACTAAACTAACTTTATTTATTCTGGATAGCTCTATCAGTTCTAACCTGTTCTTCCTAGAGATCCAGTAGGGATGATCTCTTATTGATCCAGTGTTACTACAGGAGGAAGCCTAAACTAAATTAACTTTTCTTCCTCTATTATAAACAACATACGTTTTTTTATTCTCATCAGCCTTGCCAACAATTCCCTCCCAAGTTTCAGGCAACGATTGAAGATCCAGTTCAATCTTTTCACGTTTATCACTCGGAGCGATGTTTTCATCCACAAGTTTCCTACCATCACTAACAACATCATTAATCAACTTCTCTTGAGCACCCTTTCTTTTATTGAAGTCCTGAAAAAATAAAAATGATTTTCAATAAAATCTCGGCCTCTTCGAGCGAAAAAGCTTTGGTCAAAACGATAATTATCAACAATATACCAAAAGAAAGAACACTCACATTCAGGAATCTTTTTTGTTTTTCTCGTTCGCTGACGTCGCTGGTTGGTGTGTCGAATTTATCTAATTCATCTTTCGTCTCGTCGAGTTTTTCTTTGACATCGTCTGCTCTCTGTTGCCAGACTTCATACTTGTCTATGTTCTCCAAATTCTTCTCAAGTCTAAAGAAAAAATCAAATGTTATTTAACATAATGAACTGAAGAGGGCTTCGAAAAACATTTCAAAGTGTGAAAGAAGTTGAGATTTAATCTATTACCTCTGGTCTTCATCATTAACGTCGTTTTCCAAGGTGTTAAACTTATTTTCCAATTCATTTGACTGTTTATCTATTTCTTCTCTATCGCAATTTGGAAGCGATGGCGTATTAGAAAGATGGCGTCCTTTTGAAATTACTTCGTTGAGTTTGACTTTGTATTCAGGGAATTCGCCAATGATGCTCTGAATTAAAACAGCGAACGATTAAACTTATTTGAGCGGGCATGTTTAGTTTAGGTTTTCTCCTGTAGTAACACTGGATCAATAAGAGATGATCCTTACTGGACCTCTAGGAAGAACAGTTTAGAACTGATAGAGCTATCCAGTATAAATAAAGTTAGTTTAGTTAAGGTTTCCTCCTGTAGTAATACTGGATCAATAAGAGATGATCTTTTCTGGACCTCTAGGAAGAACAGTTTAGAACTGATAGAGCTATCCAGTATAAATAAAGTTAGTTTAGTTTAGGTTTCCTCCCGTAGTAACACTCGATCAATAAGAGATGATCCTTTCTGGACCTCTAGGAAGAACAGTTTTGAACTGATAGAGCTATCCAGTATCAATAAAGTTAGTTTAGTAGTAGTAGTACATACCTTAAGAATGACTTGTTGTTTCTGAATACTTTCTTTGTCGTTGCTGTCGTCATCCTTAACATCGCGAAGTCGCTTCTCATTCGTGATAATCCACGTGATGATGACGTCATAGTCCACACGATATTTGGCCAAATCTTGCAAGTCCTTTTTACCAGACTCGGCACTAAATATCAAAGAAATAATCCCCGCTTAGACACATCACAAAACACTGATACAAAGGTAGCCACGAAATCATTAATACCTCTTTTTAGCATCGTCAAGTTGGTTTGAGAAATCATTCCAATTGTTTTCAATATCTTTCGTCTCCCGGCTGATGTGTTCTTTTTGTTCTGGTGTAAGATATTCGCTATCTTCCAAATCTTTCCCGCGGTAAATAATTTGATAAAGTCGCTCTTTTTCCCCAGGTTTGTCTGCCATGATTTTCTAGAAATCCCAGAGAAATTCCATTTAACATCTTCCATTTGTGATATAATTCCTACGCCTGCAAGCTCTATAATCTAGCAATAAAACTAACTAAAATAAACTAACTTTATTTTTACTGGATAGTTCTATCAGTTCTAAACTGTTCTTCCTAGAGGTCCAGTAAGGACCATCTCTTATTGATCCAGTGTTACTACAGGAGGAAACCTGAACTAAACTAACTTTATTTATACTGGATAGCTCTATCAGTTCTAAACTGTTCTTCCTAGAGGTACAGTAAGGATCATCTCTTATTGATCCAGTGTTACTACAGAAAGAAAGAAACAAGCATGCAACCTCTATAATCTTGCAAATGCAACTCACAGTCATGGTAGTGATTTGACTCTTCCGTTCCTCGGGATCACTGGTTGGTTTGGAAGCTTCTTCAACATCTTTCTTGTTATTTTCCACAATTTCTTTCGCTTGAGTTGCATCCTTACGCCACACGTCATAATCGTCCGACGCTTTCTCAGCCTTCTCCAAACTAAAGGAGAAACAAATTTCCATTTCAAAACTCCAAAAGAAAGACTTCTATTAATCTCAACCCACCAACAGAAAAAACCCCCTGAATTGTTCGATATTTCCCCAGACAATATTGCCTAATCTGCTTTGTCTCAACTAAATAAATTTAGAGTTTCAAATTCCAAAGCTGAATTCCTATTAATCCCAATGGAATCCGGGACAAAATCCTGAAATAGGCAACCTTGTTTTGGGCATTTTTTTAACTTACTTTTCTGACGAGTCGTCAGCCATTTCAATGACGCTGTCCCACGTTCCAGAGATACTCTCGAGGTCAACTTCAAACTGTTCGCGTTTCTCAGAAGGAATAACGCCTTCATTCACCAGAGAACGACCGCCAGAAACAATCTCGTTCACGCGTTTATCACATGCAGGCTTCTGCTTCGCAAAGTCCTAGAAGCAAAGATACAGATTTACTTATAATTTTCAGCGAAAGATTTCACTAAAGTGCCTTCATGTAACAGATGAGAGCTTCACAAACCTCCAAATATTTATCCTGTCTCGCTTTATCGTGTTCATCCAAAGGTGGGACATTGAATGATGTAATTTCTGTTTTTGTTGTAATAAACCATTTGTCGAGATCATCTGCTTTCGTTTGCCACTCGTCCAGTCTCGCAGTATTATTTGTATCTATTTGATCATTGATACTGAAAAAAATTGACAGAAATATCGATTAAACTACTCGGTAACTTTATTTATACTGGATAACTCTATCAGTTCTAAACTGTTCTTCCTAGAAAAACTAAATGCCAATGTACCTCGATTCTTCTTTCTTTGTACCATCATCAAGGGCATCTAATCTTTTCTCCAATTCTTTCGTATCATTGACAAATTTATCCCTTTCATCAGGAGGAAGAGTGTCTTTGTTTGCAAGCTTGTCATTCTCTCCAATCAGTCGGCGAAGACGGACCCTGTAGATGGTAATCTCTTCAATGATTTCCTGTTAAAAAAGAGATGAAAATAAGTAATAAAATCCTGCAACCAGACAAAGACGAGAGGGAATCTCAGGCGCAAAGTTGAAGGAAAAACAAGAATTAAAGGTAGGAGAAGTTTTTAATGAATTACTGTGAACTAAATGTAGTTTCAATGAAATGAAAAAGAAGATTCACATAGCTTGGAAGATCAGATGTATTTGATAGTTACCAGTATGACAACGCGTCTTCTCTTCAATGCTTCCTCATCACCGCTGGTGTCATCTTTCAGCTCTTGTAAACGTTTTTCATTTTTGATAATCCACGTTGTTATCACATCGTATTCAACTCTATTGTCCTCCAGCTGTTTGAGATCTTTCTTACCAGTTGTTAGTCTGAAAAAGTGGCAGAAAGCTAGATAAGTATCACTCGATCAAAAAGAGATGATCCTTACTAGACCTCTAGGAAAAACAGTTTAGAACTGATAGAGCTATCCAGTATAAATAAAGTTAGTTTAGTTTAGGTTTCCTCCTGTAGTAACACTGGATCAATAAGAGATGATCCTTACTGGACCTCTAGGAAGAACAGTTTAGAACTGATAGAGCTATCCAGTATAAATAAAGTTAGTTTAGTTTAGGTTTCCTCCTGTAGTAACACTGGATCAATAAGAGATGATCCTTACTGGACCTCTAGAAAGAACAGTTTAGAACTGACAGAACTATCCAGTATAAATAAAGTTAGTTTAGTTTAGGTTTCCTCCTGTAGTAACACTGGATCAATAAGAGATGATCTTTACTGGACCTCTAGGAAGAACAGTTTAGAACTGACAGAACTATCCAGTATAAATAAAGCTAGTCAATCTCCTTACCTTTCTTGAACGTCTTCTGCTTTCTTCAAAAGCTTGTCCCATTGATCGCGGTAATTATTAAGGTCTTCTTTAATCTTGCTAAGATGCTGGTCTGGAACCAAGTTTTTCTTCACGACCAAATTTCCATGGCTGAGAACATCGTCCACGCTTTCTTGATTCTGCCCGCGTTCTTTCAAGAATTTCTGTGGATGGAAAAGAAAAAATATGTGAATAAAACCTCAGGTATTCAAGTATCATTTGGTTGAACTAAGTGTTTAACTCGGAGGTGAAGGTTTGTGGAAATTCAGCACCTCAAGGAAGAGAGTTTGTTTTCCTCTTTCCACAGGATCGCTGCTTGGTATGGCACAAGAATCCAAACTTCGCTCAGTATCTTCCAACCATCCAGACAACGCTTCGGACTTTTGAGTCCAGTTTAAATACTCTTGAAGTTTATTCACTTGCTCGTAAAGACTAAATAACAAGGTTGAAATCAATACGATTAGACCCTAAAACTGATAGAGTTATAAAGTATGAATAAAGTTAGTTTAGTTTAGGTTTCCTCCTGTAGTAACACTGGATCAATAAGAGATGATCCTTACTGGATCTCTGGGAAGAACGGTTTAGAACTAATAGAGCTATCCAGTATAAATAAAGTTAGTTTAGTTTAGGTTTCCTCCTGTAGTAACACTGGATCAATAAGAGATGATCCTTACTGGACCTCTAGGAAGAACAGTTTAGAACTGATAGAACTATCCAGTATAAATAAAGTTAGTTTAGTTTAGGTTTCCTCCTGTAGTAACACTGGATCAATAAGAGATGATCCTTACTGGACCTCTAGGAAGAACAGTTTAGAACTGATAGAACTATCCAGTATAAATAAAGTTAGTTTAGGTTTCCTATGAGTTAAGACTTACACTCTCTCAACATTGAAAGCTCTTTCTTTCAAACTATCCCATTTTTTCTTCACAGTTTTGATTTCAACGTCAATGTTTTGACCATCTTCGCTTTTCGTCACAGGATCACTGACAATGGCGTTAGCTTTGTTCTCAAGCAAAGTCACATTTGTCTCGTAAACTCCAATTTCCTGTGTCATTCTCTCAATATTTGCATGCTGTCTTCTTGTGGTGGTAAGATCTAATGTGGATGGTTCCTTTTCGGCGACTTTAACTTGGCTATCTACCCTTTCAATCCAGCTTACAACTTTGCGGTCATCGCCCCACCAAGCGTCTATCTCTTCACTATTACCAGGAACTTCTGGTTCGCTGAATAATGCATCTGGTGCGCTAAGAATCAGAGTTAAAATACTCATTAGTAAACTATTAAATATCTATCACGAATGATTTCTTATTGATCCAATGTTACTACAGGAGGAAACCTAAACTAAACTAACTTTATTTATACTGGATAGCTCTATCAGTTCTAAACTGTTCTTCCTAGAGATCCAGTAAGGATCATCTCTTATTGATCCAGTGTTACTGCAGGAGGAAACCTAAACTAAACTAACTTTATTTATACTGGATAGTTCTATCAGTTCTAAACTGTTCTTCCTAGAGGTCCAGTAAGGATCATCTCTTATTGATCCAGTGTTACTACAGGAAGAAACCTAAACTAAACTAACTTTATTTATACTGGATAGCTCTATCAGTTCTAAACTGTCCTTCCTAGAGGTCCAGTAAGGATCATCTCTTATTGATCCAGTATAACTCTAGTTGCAATCTTAAACGACGTACACTAACCTCTCTTCGACAGTTAGTATTTCAGGCACAATAATTTCTGCCGATTTTCTTTCAGTAACATAATTTTCTGTGACAACAACAGTAGATTTCGGTGGTTCTTGACGCTTTATTCTAAACATTCAAAGCATTAAAGTTATTCACAAAAGATTAAACGTGAATCAATGACATCTCTCCAAGGTAATACTTACGTTTCTTCTCTCTCAGAAACCAACTTCGTGAGATCATCAAACCGGATCTTGTACGAACCCAAATCTTCTTGGATTTTCTGACGATCATCCTGGACTAGTTTTGGATCATCGAGAAGTAGCTTTGCGTATTCTGGCAAGTCATTGTACTCTTTCTCGACCTTTTTTAAACCTTCACGGATTACCTGGCAAGATTATTTTTGTATTTTATACGCAATCAAACTTAAAAATTAGTTAATCCTTTGAAGATTCTACCGTTTCTAATAGCATTCTTTCCAGTGCTCGTTGTTTGTAATGTTTTCAAAAACTGTAATCTTTAAAACGTTGTTTGAACTAAACGTTGTTTTGATAAACTAAACTTCAACTTAGATCCAACTAAACCTACCTGCATTTTCGCATTTTTCATTGCTGTTTTGTTCGGTTCATCAATGATTTCGCCAAGTTCTGAGCTTTCTTTTTCAACGTCTGACAAAGCTTCGTCCACCTCTCTGCATTCTCGTTTCCATTTTGTCATCAGTCGTTCTCGATAAATCTCCTCATCAACTGCACCTTCATCATGTCTGGAAAATTTAAGTTGAGAAAGTGTTTACATGAGAGTTTCATCAACTATCATTGCTTGATCAAACGAGAACAAGAGTTGCATGAGAGTTGACAAGCGAGAGTTTACATGAGAGTTTCATCAACCATCATTGCTTCATCAAACGAGAACAAGAGTTGCATGAGAGTTGACAAGCGAGAGTTTACATGAGAGTTTCATCAACTATCATTGCTTGATCAAACGAGAACATGACTTACTCTCCAGGAGCACCAAACAGATCATGATGCATCTTCCAGTCGAGATTATAATCATGGCGACGATTTTCAACAATTATTAACTCCTCGAGCACACCGCCCTGGGGTAACCCCGAGATGAAACGCTTTGCTCTAAACGAAAAAAAAACACGCAAAAAATCACGAATTTGCTTAGAAAAAGCGTTTCCAAGTGATTAACAATTGGTAAACAAGTTGTAAGACATATCCAGACTACAATTTATGCAAGACAGCTGGGGCCGGTTGTATCAAGCCCGTTTAGCTTAAATGGTGGATAAGTCAAAATTAAATAACACTCTTACACCTCTCTTGAATGAGTCAATTTGAATATTATGCACTGAATATGTAGTTGCAAACAGTATCTTTGTATTAAGGTTAAAAACATTTAATTTGCTTGTTGAATAAAACGAGAGACTTGCTTTCTATGTTGAACTTATCCACCGTTCAAGCTAAACGGGCTTGTACACCCGACCCCTGGACGTTTGGCGCTCTATGTGTGAAAGTTTCGAGTGGAATTCCGTCTCTCAACAGATTTCCAGTGAGAGTTTTCGTCTCTCAACGGATTTCCAGTGAAGTTTTACTGCAGGAAACTTACGCTTCGCTTCTTGAGTAAACAGATCGTATGAGGGTCCCCCAGCGTTCCTCCGATGACGTCACTTGCTTCTGGAGTCTGTCCTTTTGTGATTGGTCGATTGTCGGATCCTCCAAGACCTCCCAGGATGTTTGCCGAAATTCGTCAAAACGAGGCTGGAACACGTGGATATCAGAGACGAGCAACTATGGACAAGACAATTCATATTAATCGGAGCTATGACGTTACCTTGTATAGGTGAGACAATGGAATACGCATGTCTAAATATTAAAAACCGCTGTACCTCAATCTGCGTTTCTTTGGCTCGCACTTCGGCTGGATTACCCTCAACTGCGCCAATCTTATCATCTTTTTGTATCAAAACATCGATTTCTTTATCCAATTCCTGATAGGTCTTATTTAGATCAACTAGTTTTTGTTTTCTGTCAGCTTCAAGCTTGTCTACCGCACGTTTGTATCTATGAAGAAAGATGTTATAATTTCTCATAGTTAAAACGCAAAAAGCACTAAATGAAATCGAAAACAGCTCGAAAACAAACCTGTGTTTGGCATCACCAGCTCTGTCGGATAGTTTTTTAATCTCCTTTTTCATTTCAGTCATTTGTAGTCTGATTTTGGACTTTTGATCTGAATTAAGACTGGGTTCGTTTGTAATTTCTTCGCCATAAGCAAACGTTGATCTTGGAACTTCGTCTGATTTGATCTTCTCTTCTAAACCCTGGGAAAAACACACAAAGCACTAGTCTAGAAACTTTCAAATTTATATAAACAAAGAGATTAAGAGATATAGGATAAACCCTTCGACAATACTCCCAGCTTTACTCTGTCTAATGTCAGATGATTTTACTCATCAGTGGAAGAGTACTGTCAGTTAATAAGTTAACAAAACTATCTGTCAATGTCTCTTGTTAACCCATTAGCTTGCAATGCACCCAGATGTGACCTACTTTAGTATTTTACGTCTAATGTCAGATGATTTACATAACGTATTGACAATCTTACATCACATTCATTCATTTGTTGTTTTGCCCTGAAGATATCACTCGATGGCTTTCTATTTTCCAGAACCTCAACGCTGTCTTCGACAGAGTCCATCCAATCGCCGATTTTCTCACATTTTTTACGCCATTCGTCCAGCGATGTTTTCTGTTTACCACTGCTGTCTAAGTGACTTGTGATCCTAAGAAATATAAGTAAGGATCATCTCTTATTGATCCAGTGTTACTGCAGGAGGAAACCTAAACAATATTATGATACCTTTCATCCTCTGTTTCAATATCATGCGTCACAATTGTCCATCGTGAAACGAGCGATTCCAAACCATTGTGAAGTTGCTTCAGTTCCTCTGGGTCAACACCATCTTCTCCGTCCATATTCTTTCTTATTCCTTGAAGCTCGTTTATTTTCGCCTGAATTTCCGCCATCTGATCTTTACTTTGCTGCAAAGAAAATGTACCGAGTTTTACTGAGTTTACATGAGAGTTTTATCAACAATCATTGCTTGATCAAACGAGAACAAGAGTTGCATGAGAGTTGACAAGCGAGAGTTGACATAAGAGTTTTAGCAACTATCATTGCTTGATCAAACGAGAACAACAGTTGCACGAGAGTTGACAAGCGAGAGCTTATACATGAGAGTTGACAAGCGAGAGTTTACATGAGAGTTTCATCAACTATCATTGCTTGATCAAACGAGAACAAGAGTTGCATGAGAGTTGACAAGCGAGAGTTTACATGAGAGTTTCATCAACTATCATTGCTTTATCAAACGAGAACAAGAGTTAGTCTTACCTTCAACATAACTGAGGTAGTATTGCTTGGTGGAGCATCTTTTATTTGCGCTATGTCTTTTTCTAATTGCATTACGAGTGTCATGATTTCATAGTAGAGAACCTTGTAGCGAACGACAATTTCATTTGTCGATATTGTAGTGATTTCAAAGACGCTATCTCCATATTTCACAGTTGTTCGCCTAGCAGGAGCTTCAGGGGTTGACTAAGGAAACAAGAAAAATATTTCGAAACTGTTCTGGATAGTTCTATCAGTTCTAAATTGTTCTTCCTAGAGGTCCAGTAAGGATCAGCTCTTATTGATCCAGTGTTACTACAGGAGGAAACCTAAACTAAACTAACTTTATTTATACTGGATAGTTCTATCAGTTCTAAATTGTTCTTCCTAGAGCTCCAGTAAGGATCAGCTCTTATTGATCCAGTGTTACTACAGGAGGAAACCTAAACTAAACTAACTTTATACTGGATAGTTCTATCAGTTCTAAATTGTTCTTCCTAGAGGTCCAGTAAGGATCATCTCTTATTGATCTAGTGTTACTACAGGAGGAAACCTAAACTAAACTAACTTTATTCATACTGCATACCTGAACAGTGGTAGTTGTTGTCCTGGAAATCGTTTCACCTTGAATAGGCGGTTGTCTGAAAGGAAAGAACAACAGAGGGTGAATATAGTGCTGTGGTTTCACTCCAGAAACATTTTGGACATTGATTCTGACCCTGTAGTTTCCATATTACAAAAGTACTGAGAATTTCATGATTTTCATCATATCCATTGGGGCTGCATCGGTTAGCAGAAGTTAATTTTTTTCTCAAAAGTCGCAAAACGTCTGAATTTGGGAACCTCAGGAAGTTATGATTTTAAAAAACCTATTTGGTCAATGTGGGTTAACCTTTTCTCTTCATTTTTGATATCTTCGTTCAATGTTCCCATTCTTGAGTCAAATTCAGACATTTCGTATTGAAGTTGCGATAGTTCATCAGCGTCAACGCCATCGGCATTTTTCATTTCTGCCATTAGTTTATTCAACTCAGTTATCTTCGGTTGCAACTGTTCCATCTTGTACTTATTCTCCTGTGAACGATTATTATGATCAGAAACGCGCATTTGTAACACTGTCGATACATCGTGCAATTAATCGATAAATCGATCAACAAAGTATTGTAAATATCAATCAAGTTATCAAGTAGTCGAGTAATCAATAGTTCAATCAAGGAACTACGGAATTCAATAAAACAATCGTTATTACATTCAAGCAATCATTTTTCAAATGAAGTAATCAATATTTTAATCAAGCAATCAATAATCAAATGCATCAATCTTTATTCAATCAAGCAATCATCGTCAAAATGAAGCAATCAATATTTCAATCAAGCAATCAATACTCCATTCAAAAAATCGATGATTCAATCACGCCATCAATAACGAAATCAATCAATATTCCAATCAATCAATAACTAAATCATGCAATCAATAATTCAACCAAGGAATCAATAACTCGATCAAGCAATCATTACTCGAAACAAACAAGCAATAATTGATCAATGAAGTAATCGATAAATCAATAAAGCATGATAATCATACCAGAAGAAGTCTCGCAGTTTCCTGGCTTGGTTGTCCCTCTCTGATTGTGGTAGTGTTTGAATCAATCACTTCCATAATAGTGATGATTTGATAGTAAAGGATCTTGTAACGCATCACGATCTCGTTTGTTGAAACGGTTTTAATTTCAATCACTTTATCTCCATCACGCAACTGGTACGTGCGACCACCCTGGATGAAAACAAAGACGTCAATAAATATCACACATTACTTTACTTTACGAGTGAAAATCTCATTTTTAACCACAAGATGTGTTCGGAAATACGAACTAGCTTCCCGACAAATCGATTGAAAGACTAGTAAACAAGTCATTTGAGTTAATAAACTTGCAGCAAGGTTATCAGCTAAAATGTAAACACGCAATGCAAACACATTTTGATCAGAATTGAAGACACGGCGTCGCTCTAAACACTTACATCAACAACTCTTGTTTCGGTTGTATAAGTTATTCTGGTTGTCAGCTGCGGTTGCCTGAAACAAGAGAGCAAAAACGATTTATCAAAAGCAGAATAACCAGGTGATCAAGCTCTTATATTTCAGCAAATATACGCTCAAAAGTTTGGTCAAAATAGAAATACATTCTTCAGCATTTAATCGTTTAAATCTTTTGTTATTCTTTAGGAAACTAGTCGAGACTTTAGGATTATGTTTAGTTATACGAACTATAGCTTTAATATAGCCAAGATAAAGTATATTTCATACTAACTCTCCTGACGAAGGCCCTCAGGTCGAAACATCGAGAAGTGTTTTGTCTATTTTAGGCAGTTGTTATATCACATTTGATATTTCAAGAGGTATCAAGTTCTTTCAACCGAGAAATAGATTTTTACTTGGCATATAGTCACAGTCATTTTCGCAATTCCAGAGCACCTGGAAACTATAAACACAACAGAAACTTATCCTTCATATTCTCACCTCTTTTCTTCATTTTTAATGTCCTCATTTAAAGTTTCCAGTTTGGAGTCGAAATCTGACAGTTCAGACTGTAGCTGAGCCAGTTCATCTGCATCCACACCATCAGCGTCTTTCATTTGTGACATCAATTCGTTCAATTCTGTGATCTTCGGTTTAAGCTGTTCCATTCTCTGTCTGTTTTCCTACAAGAACAAAGATTTATGATCAGAAAACGCACAAAAAGGTGACTTCCTAGTGTAATAACACTGGATCAATTAGAGATGATTCTTACTGGACCTCTAGGAAGAACAGTTTAGAACTGATAGAGCTATCCAGTATAAATAAAGTTAGTTTAGTTTAGGTTTCCTCCTGTAGTAACACTGGATCAATAAGAGATGATCCTTACTGGACCTCTAGGAAGAACAGTTTAGAACTGATAGAACTATCCAGTATAAATAAAGTTAGTTTAGTTTAGGTTTCCTTCCTGTAGTAACACTGGATCAATAAGAGATGATCCTTACTGAACCTCTAGAAAGAACAGTTTAGAACTGATAGAGCTATCCAGTATAAATAAAATTAGTTTAGTTTAGGTTTCCTTCCTGTAGTAACACTGGATGAATAAGAGATGATCCTTACTGGACCTCTAGGAAGAACAGTTTAGAACTGATAGAGCTATCCAGTATAAAAAAAGTTATTTTAGTTGTATGAAAGAAAAAGAACAAAAAGCTTCAACTTACATCAAGAAGTATTGCAGTTTTCTGACTTGGTTCTTCTTCGTTGATGACTTTCATATTGGATTCGATGATTTTCATAATTGTGATGATTTGATAGTAAACAATCTTGTATTTAATCACAATTTCATTCGTAGAAACACAGGTAATCTCGATCACCTCATCGCCAATTGTAAGACGAGCTTTATGCCTCTGCAATGATTGGAAAGAAAAACAGTGTCAATAACAAAACAAACTCTACTGAAATCTTTCACTAGACATGCAGTAAACATATTTCAGACATCGCTTACCGGAACAACAGTCGTGGTAGTTTTGTACGTGACAATTCTTGGTTGCCTAAAACGTGATGATTCGATATGAAACAATGATAATCCTTAAGTTATAAAGAAAACTGAAGTGACTATATGATTTTCGACATGGCCGGTCGAATTGAAGCTAAACAAAGCAGCTATAGGGCAATTAAAATGACTATACTTTATGTTTGTGTTGCTTCTGGTGTGTCAAGACCTCTTCCTTACCTTTTGTTTTCATCGTTACAGTGTTGAATCAAAGCCGACCAACGGCTGCCAAGTTGTCCTAGTTCTGTTTGGATTTCTGAGAATTCCTGACGATCAACTCCTTCAGCTTTTGACATTTCTCTGTTTGTCTCGTTTAGTTCCTTAATCTTCACCTGAAGCTCTTGCATTTCCTTGTTGATTTCCTGAGATGAAAGAATAAGTTGTTAGTGACAAAGTCATTCAGTTTAGGTAAACTAAGTTTAGGTTTCCTCCTGTAGTAACACTGGATCAATAAGAGATGATCCTTACTGGACCTTTAGGAAGAACAGTATAGAACTGATAGAGCTATCCAGTATAAATAAAGTTAGTTTAGTTTAGGTTTCCTCCTGTAGTAACACTGGATCAATAAGAGATGATTCTTACTGGACCTCTAGGAAGAACAGTTTAGAACTGATAGAGCTATCCAGTATAAATAAAGTTAGTTTAGTTTAGGTTTCCTCCTGTAGTAACACTGGATCAATAAGAGACGATCCTTACTGGACCTCTAGGAAGAACAGTTTAGAACTGATAGAGCTATCCAGCATAAATAAAGTCACTTTAGTTGACCTACCCGCAAAGCCTTTGCGTTTTCCTGACTGGGTTCTTCGTTTCTGATCTTCTCCATTCTTGCCTCAAGTCCCTTAATGGTATAAAGAACTGTGTAGTATATCGTCTTGTATTGCAGGACAATTTCATTGCTTGACACTGTGGTTATGTCAATATCTTCATCACCAATTCTCAATGTGGTTGTGGTTGGAACAGAACTCTATGAAAGAAAAAGAAATTGAATTTATATATAGTTCTCTCAAACGTGGTGGTCTAGTGCAGATAGTATTCTACAATAAGCTGTCGTGATTTGTGTCTGAACTACCTGAGAAAGATATCTCAAACGTTGTGGTCCAGTGCAGATAGTATTCTACAATAAGTTGTCGTGGTTTGTGTCTGAACTACCTGAGAAAGATATCTCAAACGTGGTGGTCCAGTGTAGGTAGTATTCTACAATAAGTTGTCGTGGTTTGTGTCTGAACTACCTGAGAAAGATATCTCAAACGTTGTGGTCCAGTGTAGGTAGTATTCTACAATAAGTTGTCGTGGTTTGTGTCTGAACTGCCTGAGAAAGATATCTCAAACGTTGTGGTCCAGTGCAGATAGTATTCTACAATAAGCTGCCGTGGTTTGTGTCTGAACTACCTGAGAAAGATATCTCAAACGTTGTGGTCCAGTGTAGGTAGTATTCTACAATAACCTGCCGTGGTTTGTGTCTGAACTACCTGAGAAAGATATCTCAAACGTGGTGATCCAGTGTAGGTAGTATTCTACAATAAGCTGCCGTGGTTTGTGTCTGAACTACCTGAGAAAGATATCTCAAACGTTGTGGTCCAGTGTAGGTAGTATTCTACAATAACCTGCCGTGGTTTGTGTCTGAACTACCTGAGAAAGATATCTCAAACGTGGTGATCCAGTGTAGGTAGTATTCTACAATAAGCTGTCGTGGTTTGTGTCTGAACTACCTGAGAAAGATATCTCAAACGTTGTGGTCCAGTGCAGATAGTATTCTACAATAAGCTGCCGTGGTTTGTGTCTGAACTACCTGAGAAAGATATCTCAAACGTTGTGGTCCAGTGTAGGTAGTATTCTACAATAAGCTGCCGTGGTTTGTGTCTGAACTACCTGAGAAAGATATCTCAAACGTTGTGGTCCAGTGTAGGTAGTATTCTACAATAAGCTGTCGTGGTTTGTGTCTGAACTACCTGAGAAAGATATCTCAAACGTTGTGGTCCAGTGTAGGTAGTATTCTACAATAAGTTGTCGTGGTTTGTGTCTGAACTGCCTGAGAAAGATATCTCAAACGTTGTGGTCCAGTGCAGATAGTATTCTACAATAAGCTGCCGTGGTTTGTGTCTGAACTACCTGAGAAAGATATCTCAAACGTTGTGGTCCAGTGTAGGTATTCTACAATAACCTGCCGTGGTTTGTGTCTGAACTACCTGAGAAAGATATCTCAAACGTGGTGATCCAGTGTAGGTAGTATTCTACAATAAGCTGCCGTGGTTTGTGTCTGAACTACCTGAGAAAGATATCTCAAACGTTGTGGTCCAGTGTAGGTAGTATTCTACAATAACCTGCCGTGGTTTGTGTCTGAACTACCTGAGAAAGATATCTCAAACGTGGTGATCCAGTGTAGGTAGTATTCTACAATAAGCTGTCGTGGTTTGTGTCTGAACTACCTGAGAAAGATATCTCAAACGTTGTGGTCCAGTGCAGATAGTATTCTACAATAAGCTGCCGTGGTTTGTGTCTGAACTACCTGAGAAAGATATCTCAAACGTTGTGGTCCAGTGTAGGTAGTATTCTACAATAAGCTGCCGTGGTTTGTGTCTGAACTACCTGAGAAAGATATCTCAAACGTTGTGGTCCAGTGTAGGTAGTATTCTACAATAAGCTGTCGTGGTTTGTGTCTGAACTACCTGAGAAAGATATCTCAAACGTGGTGGTCCAGTGTAGGTAGTATTCTACAATAAGCTGCCGTGGTTTGTGTCTGAACTACCTGAGAAAGATATCTCAAACGTGGTGATCCAGTGTAGGTAGTATTCTACAATAAGCTGTCGTGGTTTGTGTCTGAACTACCTGAAAAAGATATGGATACTTGCCTCGGACTCAACAATTGTAGTTGTTCTGTAAACAGTCTCCGTAGCCAGCGATGGTTGTCTAAAAGTAATCGTAAATCGTTAGGATTTTACTCTGTCTAATGTCAGATGATTTTACTCAACAGTGGAAGAGTACTGTCAGTTAATGAGTTTACAAAACTATCTGTCAGTGTCTCTTGTTAACCCATTAGCTTGCAATGCACCCAGATGTGACCTACTTTAGTATTTTACTCTGTCTAATGCCAGATGATCTTACTCATCAGTGGAAGAGTACTGTCAGTTAATAAGTTAACAAAACTATCTGTCAGTGTCTCTTGTTAACCCATTAGCTTGCAATGCACCCAGATGTGGCCTACTTTAGTATTTTATAGTTGAAATCAAAAGAGATTCTCATCAATGGCGGTCGTTACGGGATTGGAAAAAGATTTTTTTACAATTCACCTTTTCTCTTCTTCGTTAATATCCTCCGTGGCTGAGGACAAGCGGGAATCGAAGTCTGATAGTTCAGACTGTAGTTGAGCAAGTTCGTCTGCATCAACGCCATCAGCGTCTCTCATTTCTGACATGAGTTCCTTCAGCTCAGCAATCTGAGGCTTCAATTGTTCCATCCTTTGTTTATTCTCCTACAAAAGAGACCGCAGTTGTCATGACCATCAGAAAACAAACAAACACACAAACAGGTAAACAACAAATAAAGAAACATGAGTTTTGAAGAGTTCTAAATATCGCAAGGCAGAATCCATATAAACTTTAGACAGCCGGATTTTCCGTTGAGTGAAGGGTACTTGACTTGGGTATATAGGAAGAATTATTTTGTATATATTCTTTACCAGGGGCCGGTTGTATCAAGCCCGTTTAGCCTAAACGGTGGATAAGTTCAAAATAGAAAGCAAGTTTATCGTTTTATTCAACAAGCAAACTAAATGTTTTTTACCTTAATACAAAGATACTGTTTACAACTACATATTCAGTGCATAATATTCAAGTTGATTCATTCAAGAGAGATGTAAGAGTGTTATTTAATTTTGACTTATCCACCGTTTAAGCTAAACGAGCTTGATACAACCGGCCCCTGTTCTATAACGTTTCAAGCAAATACGAAAGTTATTCTTTATGAAAAAACTCACATCAAGCAATCTTGCAGTTTCCTGGCTTGGTGGGCTGTCTTTGATGATCCTCATGTTCGATTCAATCCTTTCGATGATGTAAATTATTTTGTAATAAACAATCTTGTATCTTATCACTATTTCGTTGGTTGAAACAGATGTAATCTCGATAACTTTATCTCCGATTGTAAGTCGAGCAGTCTATATGAACACAAATAAAAAATCACGGGAATTAAGAGGAAAAATTATTGGATTTTTTTTTAAAAAACATGGATTAATTCCGACTCAAACTAGAATAATTGGCGATTACCTGGTATGTTGTTGAGGTTCTAATTTCTCTCACGACTGCTGGTTGCCTTTGGGAAGGAAATATTTTATTATTTTAGAGAATTCGATGTTTAAAAATCGATGAATTTCTGAGTATTTAGACACAGTTTATCGCTAATCGATGAATTTCTGAGTATTTAGACACAGTTTATTGTTTGGCAAAGATAGTAATGATCGTTTAGTAGCGATTTCTATAGCCTTTTGAAAGAAACGAACGAACGGTAGACATTCGTTGAAAAGAGTTTAAAAGCCGTAAATCTATGGAAATGAATAATTATCTTATGTTATTGCTAGCCAGCGCTGAATGAAAAATTCACGAAAGGTTCAAAAAATTTTAAAAATTTATGTCAAGGTCCGTGCGATTTTTTCTTCTTTTGATAGATGTGAACGAGTACTTAGTTACAGATGCTGTGATGTATAAGAGCTCTTATTCAAACATCAGTAACTACTTCACTCGTTCCCATCCACCAAAAGGAGAAACTCGCGGATTAAAATCGCAGTAAAAATATACAATAAAAATAGCCACTTATGCTTCTGCAAAAGGACATTGTTAGTTCTACCTCTTCGATTCTTCATTACTGTGTTGTATCAGCGTTGACCAGCGACTGCTGAGTTCCCGTAACTCTTTTTGAATGTCCGAGAATTCTTGACGATCAACTCCGTCAGCTTTGGACATTTCTTTATTTGTTTCGTTCAGTTCCTTGACTTTAGCCTGGAGTTCGTGCATTTCTTTCTGAATTTCCTAAAATGAATGAAATCGCTTCCCTATAACACCATGGATATTTGACATCAATTTGAAATCACCTCTCATCTTCTTTACCACGCCATTCTATATCCCTGGGGTCCCCCCATCTTAATACCCCCTCAATCCGTCCGATTCCCCTCTTACGAAGCCAACAGCCCGTCAAAAACGTACCCGCAAAGCCCTCGCGTTTTCCTGACTGGGTTCTTCGTTTCTGATCTTCTCCATTCTTTTCTCCAGTCCCTTGATCGTATAGAGAACTGTGTAGTATATCGTCTTGTATTGCAGGACAATTTCGTTGCTGGACACTGTGGTTATGTCAATATCTTCATCACCAATTCTCAATGTCGTTGACTCACTACCAGGAGCACTCTGAGAAAGATACGTTGAGATGTTAAATTTTACCAGATTATTGTAGAATACTACCTACACTGGACCACCACGTTTGAGATATGTTTCTCAGGTAGTTCAGACACAAACCACGACAGATTATTGTAGAATACTACCTACACTGGACCACCACGTTTGAGATATCTTTCTCAGGTAGTTCAGACACAAACCACGACAGATTATTGTAGAATACTACCTACACTGGACCACAACGTTTGAGATATCTTTCTCAGGTAGTTCAGACACAAACCACGACAGCTTATTGTAGAATACTACCTACACTGGATCACCACGTTTGAGATATCTTTCTCAGGTAGTTCAGACACAAACCACGACCGCTTATTGTAGAATACTACCTTCACTGGACCACCACGTTTGAGATATCGTTCTCAGGTAGTTCAAACACAAACCACGACAGCTTATTGTAGAATACTACCTACACTGGACCACCACGTTTGAGATATCTTTCTCAGGTAGCTCAAACACAAACCACGACAGCTTATTGTAGAATACTACCTACACTAGACCACCACGTTTGAGATATCTTTCTGAGGTAGTTCAGACGCAAACCACGACAGCTTATTGTAGAATACTACCTACACTAGACTTGTCTGAAATGTTAAAAAGGGTAACGTACCTCTACAACAAATGATGTGGTGGACTTAACGATTCCCTCTTCACCAGGCTCTTCGCTAACCTCTTGGGTTGTGGTTGTGGTTTCGACAACAGCTGGCTCAAGGTTACGTAATACTTCATATAACGCGGAAAGATACATCAGCATCGCTTTCTTGTCAACGTTTCCCTGTTCGACATCTGCAAAATGCAGGGGGGGGCAATCAATTTATTTCCATATCTACAAAGACACCCAAGAAAACAACATACCAGAAGGGTCGAGCAAGCGATGAACATCGAATTCCTTCTCAGCGACATCAAAAGCGTATTCCAATCTTTCCAACACCGCCATTTTCTGAGCTTTGTCAATATCAACAGCAGTTGGCCTGAAATATATTTGCGCTCTCGATAAATATACATAGATTTATCAGTTCTAAAATGTTCTTCCTAGAGGTCCAGTAAGGATCGTCTCTTATTGATCCAGTGTTACTACAGGAGAAAACCTAAACTTAACTAACTTTATTTATACTGGATAGCTCCATCAGTTCTAAACTGTTTTTAGTAGAGGTCCAGTAAGGATCATCTCTTATTGATCCAGTGTTACTACAGGAGGAAACCTAAACTAAACTATCTTTATTTATACTGGATAGTTCTATCAGTTCTAAACTGTTCTTCCTAGAGGTCCAGTAAGGATCATCTCTTATTGATCCAGAGTTACTACAGGAGGAAACATAGACACGATTTAGACACGATTGGGCGCTGGGGGAACAATATTTCAAGCATTACTCCTTACCTGTACACAAACATCAGCAATATAAAGGCCAGACCATTCTGCCAACTTTTCAAAATATCTTCGATTGTTACGACATCGGAAAATCTAATAAAACAAAGACTCATTTTTAGCACTACTGCTTCATCTGAGAGGTAAATCTCAAAAGATATCTTCAGAAGGTTACAAGAATCACAAATAAACAACGAACCCTTTTAAGACATCTTGAATCCATTTTAAAAGAAGTCTTTCAACGTCTGCCTGACTTGCTACAGACTTTTTCCGTTGAGCTGCATCAGTCTTTTCTTCAGAGCTTTGAGTATCTTCCTCGAACATTATACCTTGTACCTGTAGAGCAAGTTTTGATGGTTACCTTAGACGCGTTCGTTTAAAACGTAACGAAAATATCCATTGATGACGCTCAAATGTTCTTGCAAAATATATTCACGAATCTCTCGCCAACGAGACGTGTCTGTAGTCCTTAGCAACTTACTAGAAAGCTCTTAAGGGAGCTAGATCTGCATGCATAGGGCTTTGAATTGAATTGCTACCTTACGAGGTTTTCTCGGCAGCAAATATTTCAAACATCACTAAAGTACACGCGTTCTTGCAACCAATTTTACGACGGAATAGCCGAAAAGCTCTTCAGAAAATCTTACTGTTACTTCCTAATCCCTTTCTAGTTCTTTGTTCGAGATATTCGACTTTGCTTGCTATGCAAATTTAAAGTCAGCCATGTAACAAATTCTGGTTAGAAGAACTCCCCGTTCTTTCTATACCAATGATAATTCCTACTGAAAACAAGGGCTCTGCACAATTTAAAACCTAATATATTATTCTATTTCGACTGCAAATTTGGTCAAGTGATAGTTTACAGTTTTCGGCGAACCATAATATTAATGTATTTTGCTGATAATCGTCAACTTTCAGGCGAATATATCTTTCCATAAAAGAAAAGATTACAAAATTTCTAGAAAGGTTCTATTGTAACAAAATTGTCGCGGTTTAATGAAAATATTTATCGTGAGGAAAGTATATGGTTGAATTTTACCTGGAAATGAAGGATTATTATCCATACTAAACCCAGAATTGAGATTTTGTTTCCATCAACGATTGCTTCGGGGCTGATGCCATGAAGTTTTAACTGAAATTTAAATATTAGGGTTTAAATACGAGTTTTGTAGGTGAATGCAGAACGAATATCATCGGGTAATTTGGTCTTAGTGCAAAATATATTCACATTTAAAATATATGATAAACTACAAAATTTGCGCTAAATTTTGCAACATGACAGCTTGATAAAAGTATGAAATTGAATCTTATTTGATAACGCTAAACTTCGAGGTATAATTGTATTTTTTAATAAACTACACGTCAAAATGTCAAGAACATAACTAGCGCTATAAGGTCTGTTAACAAGATCTAATTTTGCAAAATATATAATTCACTCCTGACAGATGTTTTATAGTCTGTCGACGTGCAATGTATCTTGGAAGGAAATCTACTGAAACCGATGGAGTACTGCTTGATCAGTAACACACTACATTCCATACGCCAGAAGAATTATTTTCGACGAAATTGGATATTGTGAAACAAGATTTAGTCTAATTTTGTTCAGAAATTAAATTGCCATCTATTAAATGCCAACTTATATATTTTGTACTAAATCTAAGCTGTAATAAATATATAAAAGGTCTGGTTTATACAGAACACATAGAAAATGATGTAACCTTGCCCTTGGTATTTGTAAAGAAATCAATTTGGTTCGTGAAGTACAAAAGATTTCATAGTTTCGTATGAATGCTAAATAGACTCCAATTTCTTTCCAGAAGTATAAAACGTGACAAACTACTAATCATTATGCACTTCTCATTAAAATAAATGAATAATTTTGATTGAATTTGCCCGAAACGCACTCAAGCATGAAAAAAGTCGAAAATTACCCGCATGATTTTGCATGAATTACAATCGAAAGTTTCCGGCAAAATTTCTAGGAAACCGTAAAAGAACTTTAGGGACAAAGTTCATTTCTCCAAAGTTGCCTTGTTAAATTGTGGTGTAATTTATGAAGTGTAATGTCATTTTGTGTACCATCAAAGCTGGTATATCATTATACCAAGCGAGCCTAGCTATAGGCTGGTAGATTTAAATAAAAGACGGTCAATACTATACTATACTCTACAGTTTCATTCAAATATAAGATGTCACAAGACCGCAGAGATTCGAAACATTTCGAAAAGCTTTTAGACTCATCTTGTCATATAATATTCCTGAAGATTACTTAACGATAGTAAATTTTTTTACAACTCTGGTATCGATTTCTTCCAAAATATCGGCTTTCAGATATCAAAATTAAATCTATCTACTTCTAAAACCTGCTAAACCGGTACGTTGCCGGTCATATTCTTACCCCTTCGTCTTCCAAAGTCTTCAAAACTTTATTGACATTGTTGATTTTGTGAAACTTCAATTTGCCTTTTTCAGCGCGCTGAAATTTTTCAGTAAAACTCAATGTAAATAGGGTTGAGAGCTTCAAAAACTGCCGCCAAAACACACACAGCAACGGGTGAAAATAATACTTACAAGTTTGACTTTTAGCAGAACTTCTAAGAGCGACAAAAGAACGCGACCATCTTGCAAATCTTTGATCAGATTTTTTACGGCTGGCTGTTCCTAAAGAGAAGAAGCCCAAAGTTCATTTAAAAACCGTGTCCTTTTATGTCAATACCAGTATGAATAACGAAGGAATTCTTACTCCGCCAAGCTTTGAGTTTATCCATTTCGTAAATGTTCGAATGTTAATCTCTTCCAGAGATTCTGAAAGAAAGGTAATGTAAATAATTATCGCTTCGTTGGCGCGTTCAACGACGCATATAGTCGTGGATTTAATATAACATAACCATGCATTAGCTTGCAATGCACCCAGATGTGACCTACTTTAGTATTTTAATCTGTCTAATGTCAGATGATTTTACTCATCTGTGGAAGAGTACTGTCAGTTAATAAGTTAACAAAACTATCTGTCAGTGTCTCTTGTTAACCCATTAGCTTGCAATGCACCCAGATGTGACCTACTTTAGTATTTTACTCTAATGCCAGATGATTTTACTCAATTTTACAGCGCTATATATCCTCTAACGGGAGGAATTTTACCAAAAATCCTTATATATAAATGTAAATACGAAAGATATAGACCCCCCAAGGTAGCCAGGTTAGCTTGTTATATAATAAGGCTAATGTTTTACAAAAGTCTAACTTTCTACCGCGGATATAGTAATTACAGGTATCTTCAAATTGACATTAGTTGCCTCAAACATATTCGGCATACAAAAAGCTTTATACGTTAAAAAAATGATCCAAATATTCTTCTAGAAGGAATTGATCAGATATGCAAATAATTTCAACAATATGAATTCAGTTCAGACGCTAAAATAATCATGTCAACCTTTTGAAAATTTCAATCTGATATCTTGGTCAAATCTTATCGAGTCTGTGGAGAATAATTTCGTTGTGGAAACGTTTGAAGATTTTGAGAGTTATTTCTTGCATTTTAAACACAAACAACAAGGCGTAAATGAAGCATTACCGGTGTTAAAATTGCCAGCCATTGTTTGCTATTAAAAATGAGTTGTTATTCACCTTTTAAATGGAACCGTTTTGTGCACATTAATCCCCGCTCTCCATTTGACGAACGAGAGCTATTCTCTGGTGTTAGAGCAAAATAACATAAGAATTGAATTGAATTTTGTTTTCAAATGCAACAGCGGGGTGCATTGTTGAAAGGTCTCTCCTGTTTTCAAACACAATGAAGGGTGTTGAATGGGGGGAAGGCCGGGGAAGATCTAGGGTGGGGCTCTACCCACTCGCTTTACTAATCGCCTAGATGTGGCCTACTTTAGTATTTTACTCTACTGCAGATGATTTACTCTACTTGCAGATTATTTTACTCTATTGCTGGATGATTTCTAACCAAAACCAGGTGTTTACCGTGGACACATTTGCCGGATAAAAGCCTGTTTGTACCGAAACACGGCAATCATAACAATTGCAAGTTTAACTTTTTCAGAATCGACTACATCAACGCCCAACAATGTTTCCTAATGTAAAAAGCTGCAGGAAGCTTGCGTATTTATATACACAATTTCAAATCCCCATTGTTTATTCAAGTTCACAAATCAAACCATTACAGCCTTATAGTTTAATCCAGAACCAACCATCGGTGTATTGTAAAAGAAAGCTTTAAATACACATTCAAATTACGTCTCATTTCGGCTGTAAACTAAACCTTTATTCTTCCAAAATTTACAAAATATTTCTCAAGAATTACGGCTTGTTGAACGTCTGAACGCTCAAGTTTAGCTTGCAATGAATCGGAAGGAAGATTTGTACAAAGATTTGTACAAATCAATTGCTTTAGTAAGACGATAAACAAACATCATTATCCATTACATTGCGAAGTATGACGTTTATACGGTTCAATTTATTGTAGGATTCTTTGTTAATTCTTTTACAATTGATCTGCGTCTCTCAGCAGCAGACGAGACGGACTAAAGCCTTCCACGTCTTCCCAGAACTACATCGCATATTATCCGGTTATATGTGAACTGATATCGTTCAAAAAACCACGAGATTTTACAAACGAAAGTCGTCTCGAACTTGCATATTCATTCAGCCATGATAATATAATTCATCGCGAACTCTTTGAACAAACAAACAGTCAAGAAGATCTAGCGAAATCTAGCGAAATCTAGCGAAAAGCAAGCTTGCAAATGGTTCGTTCGTATAAGCAAAAGAACAGCACACTCCCTTGCAAATGCTCAAAGCGAAAGCTTGAGAAATATAGCGAGCGAATGAGGTGTACTTTGTCCGTCAACTTGACGCACTTCGCTGCCATCAAGCAGCATGGCTTTGCAAATATTTTAAACACGTACACATTTGTTTAAACAGGTCGATATGAAAGACGACAACTCACCCACATTGCTGCGAATTATATGGCTTATCGCCGAGTCTTGAGCAGCCATGGTTGCAACGAGAGATGAACAAGTTTCACTTCATATCTTCGCCACGAGCTTCTCGAGACAAAACGACAGCGAATATTTTGCAGTTTTTTATAACCTCTGACACGATTCGCTTGGATGAAGCAATGTTAAGACACTTCAAATTTAAATATCACATCGCATATTGAAAGAAAGAAATGATTTACATAACAAAAACAACAGCGGCATTTCAGACATAACTTGTACATCAGCATAGCCACAAAGCATCGAAGGTCGGCATGAGTAATTTGACCTACCAACCGATATTTCCTGTTTGTTTTTGAGCAAATATTTTGACATTTTGCAGCGAGAAATACATGCTAAAATATTTGTCCTTTAACGCTTTAAAAGGCTTTTTAAATTAGAAATGATTATCACTCAAATTATAGGAAATAGAAGCCAATATTTAAAGTGTCAACCCTTACAAAAGTGAACCTGTAGAAGCCTGTTTATAGACCATGGCTTGCCTGTTTTAGGAGATAATATCTCGAAAACAGAGGGTTGTATTTCAGAAATTATACCTTAAAAGGCATTGGATATCCTGGGTTTTATTTCATACCCGGGTGAAATACAAACCTTTTGCAGTTTTTGCCTTTGTAAAGTCGTGTTTTTTGAAAAATATTTATCGTGTTATTTAAAATTTAAAGGCCAGAAAATTGAGACATTTTAGAATTTTCAATTTTGCAACAATTACAAAACGGGTTTTCTGGCACGAGTCTTTTAATAATAGTAGAATTTCCTTCTTCCGTTGAGTTTTTTAACCCGCTTTGTTGTAAAAATATACTGTTTTTAATACTGGATAAGCCCTATCAGTTCTAGACTGTTCCTCCTAGAGGTCCAGTAAGGATCACCTCTTATTGATCCAGTGTTACTACAGGAGGAAACTTAAACTAAACTAACTTTATTTATACTGGATAGCTCTATCAGTTCTAAACTGTTCTTCCTAGAGGTCCAGTAAGGATCATCTTTTATTGATCCAGTGTTACTACAGGAGGAAACCTAAACTAAACTAACTTTATTTATACTGGATAGCTCTATCAGTTCTAAACTGTTCTTCCTAGAGGTCCAGTAAGGATCATCTTTTATTGATCCAGTGTTACTACAGGAGGAAACCTAAACTAAACTAACTTTATTTATACTGGATAGCTCTATCAGTTCTAAACTGTTCTTTCTAGAGGTCCAGTAAGGATCATCTTTTATTGATCCAGTGTTACTACAGGAGGAAACCTAAACTAAACTAACTTTATTTATACTGGATAGCTCTATCAGTTCTAAACTGTTCTTCCTAGAATTCTAGTAAGGTCATTTTATCCAAACTTAATCTAAACTAAATTTATCTAAAATATCAGATAATATTTCACTTAACCAATATAACATTACAGGTAGAAAAGCGTAGAATTCACTGGAATTTTTGGAATGGCATATATAGATAAGGTATATATTGTTGCTATATTACATGAGCAGGTTATGCAATATAGCTCACGTGACCATAATATTGACCTGCAAGTCTCGTGATCGGATGCAAATATTGAAAATAACTAAATAAGTTCAATAACAACTGGTCAATAACTGGTTATTTTGATTCTTCGAAGGGGAATATTTTGAGAAACAAGATCGCTTTTTATCGCCTCGTAAGTAAAACAAAAGGATAATGGCTCAAAGGTGCGGAGGATTGTCAGCTGTTCAGAAAGCAACCGAAGAGACCCAAAAACTCATCGATTCTGTATGATAAAGTTTGTTTTAAATGTATTATATTTTTTAAAAATTGCATTCCTTTAGTGTTTGAGAATTATCATCGATTATATTGTAAACAATTTACTTAAACGCTTCGAGTTCAAACTGGATAATTGATCTTTCTCAATAGACGATTTATTGCCAATCATTAGATCTCCATTTAAGGAATTTGATCTAGTTTTTATATAAAATAGTTGATACTTCAGACTGGGTGAAATACTGAAAGGGAAAGTGAACTTTCTTTATGATGTAATGTACATTGCTTGTGATTTTGCTTTTGACTTACAACAGTCTTTAGAGAAAGCTTAGATTTGATCATGAAAATGTAAATAAACTGTCTGTCAGTGTCTCTTGTTAACTCATAGTTACCTTGCAGTATGGATCCAGATCTACCATTTATATTGTTTTAAACCTTGCCATTTTAGGTTCGTTCTGAAGCAGAAGCGCAAGCAGGGTCGAAATTTGACAAGTACGAGGCTATTTCGTTTAGGCCGCAAGTTGTCGCAGGGACGAATTACTTTGTTAAGGTGCGTCGAGGTCCAACTTTCATGCTGGAGATTGGTCTATCAGTTCTAAACTGTTCTTCCTAGAGGTCCAGTAAGGATCATCTCTTATTGATTCAGTGTTACTACAGGAGGAAACCTAAACTAAACTAACTTTATTTATACTGGATAGTTCTATCAGTTCTAAACTGTTCTTCCTAGAGATCCAGTAAGGATAATCTCTTATTGATTCAGTGTTACTACAGGAGGAAACCTAAACTAAACTAACTTTATTTATACTGGATAGCTCTATCAGTTCTAGACTGTTCTTCCTAGAGATCCAGTAAGGATCATCTCTTATTGATCCAGTGTTACTACAGGTGGAAACCTAAACTAAACTAACTTTATTTATACTGGATAGCTCTATCAGTTCTAAACTATTCTTCCTAGAGGTCCAGTGAGGATCATGTCTTATTAATACAGTGTTACTACAGGAGGAAACCTAAACTAAACTAACGGAAGTTAATATGACCAATTTTTTTCAGGTTGACATAGGTGATGGTAAATACGTGCATCTTCGTGTGTTTCAACCTCTTCCAAACACTGGTCAAGGTCCAGAACTCAGTGGAATAGAATTGAACAAAAGCCTTTATGACGAGATTGATTATTTTAACAACTAAGCAGCAGCTTACAAACATTCGTTGGTTCATATTTAAAATGGGAAATAAAAATACATATTAACATACAAGGATGTAAAGATGATTGCTTGTAATAAATGCCATTAAACAAACTTAGCAGCTTGCAAACATTCGTTGGCTCACATTTAAAATTGGAAATAATAATATATATTAACATACAAGGATGTAAAAGATGATTGCTGGTAATAAATGCCATAAAAAAAACTTGAAGCAGATTTGTTCAAGTGTTGATCCAACTATTTTTCATCAGGACATATTTTCACTGTTTGTTCCCAGCTTTTTACCAAATTACAAGTAACAGTTAGGAGTTTAAAGCATTCTTTTTTGCATTAGTTTACATATTGCATCATATTATTGAGGAGAATAGTGTTATGTAATATGCAAAAATATTTAAAACCATGACTCAAACTCTTTCAAAGCAATAATGCACTGTAAATGAGGTGTTTCTTTTCAATGGAAATCATTTATAAGTTCCTATCAAATAGTTGTATCCAACCAGGGGTGTTAGGATGATGGCGGTTTGAAAACCTTCCAGCATTTTTCATTAAATACCTTAAAAATATTAAAATTATAATAATAGAGCATTTGAAAGTACTGATATATTTGCCAGTGTCTCTTGTTAACCCATTAGGCTGATTAGCTTGCAATGCACCCAGATGTGGCATACTTTAGTATTTTACTCTGTCTAATGTCAGATGATTTTACTCATCAGTGGAAGAATACTGTCAGATAATGAGTTAACAAAACTATGTTAATATTTCCTAGTTTTAGTTCCATTTACCTTTAAACTACGTTGTTGTACAACTTCTTCTACATTTAATTCAGATCTCATTAGCCTCAGCTGTAAAATTAAAGAAGGTCTGATTAAAACTTAAAAATGATAAAATAATTGAGATATGAGAAAGTTGTTGCAATGTAGCACCTTGGTCTGTTCCTTTCTAAGATGTCTTAGAATTTCTGGATTATCTTCATCAACTTGACGTCTTTCTTGTAGTTTTTGTATTGATGAAGACACTTGCGTGACACATTTCTTGATAGCGTTTTCTCTTGTTGAATAAGCACCTAGTAGCTAAGAGTTGAATAATCACATTAGCTTTCAATGCACCCAGATGTGACCTACATTAGTATTTTACTCTGTCTAATGTCAGATTATTTTACTCATCAGTGGAAGAGTACTGTCAGTTAATAAGTTAACAAAACTATCTGTCAGTGTCTCTTGTTAACCCATTAGCTTGTAATGCACCCAGATGTGACCTACTTTAATATTTTACTCTGTCTAATGTCACATGATTTTACTCATCAGTGGAAGAGTACTGTCAGTTAATAAGTTAACAAAACTATCTGTCAGTGTCTCTTGTTAACCCATTAGCTTGTAATGCACCCAGATGTGACCTACTTTAATATTTTACTCTGTCTAATGTCACATGATTTTACTCATCAGTGGAAGAGTACTGTCAGTTAATAAGTTAACAAAACTATCTGTCAGTGTCTCTTGTTAACCCATTAGCTTGTAATGCACCCAGATGTGACCTACTTTAATATTTTACTCTGTCTAATGTCAGATGATTTTACTCATCAGTGGAAGAGTACTGTCAGTTAATAAGTTAACAAAACTATCTGTCAGTGTTTCTTGTTAACCCATTAGCTTGCAATGCACCCAGATGTGACCTACTTTAGTATTTTACTCTGTCTAATGTCAGATGATTTTATTCATCAGTGGAAGAGTACTGTCAGTTAATAAGTTAACAAAACTATCTGTCAGTGTCTCTTGCTCAGTATAATAGTCAACAACAAGAAGTCAAGGCATACAAAAGGAAATACAGTGAAAAATAACCTCACCTCTGTATATAATTCTTTACACTTATTTTCAGCGTTTATTTCCCCAGCAAACGATGTGGTTGGTACACTTTTATTAAGACTATAAATAATTTTATCATCGAGTAATCTTAAAACCTTCAAAGCTTCCTAGAAAGTAAACAGAAATACGCTTTCAGGTCGTGTGAATATCAGAAACACTCAAATATCTTCCTTCCTCTTAAAAGATTTATATGAACATTTCCAGGCAAACGACGAATATATTTGAGCATATTATGCAACAATTTAGACAATCATATTATGAATTTTATCGGCTCGTTTTTAAGGATCAAAAGAAAACAAACAATAAAATTTAAGTTATAACATGTAATCGAAGAATTGGTCTTTAGGAAAATGCATTTTGTTTAGCGATCGTGTCATTTTCTGACCTTGAATTCAGTGAAATCTTCGCAAGACATTTGAGATAATTCTTGTTCCCCTGCACCAGCCATGTTGTCCACGTGCCTTGGAATTGCATGGTACGTCAAGTAACAATGAAGATTGTGGATTCACAGGTTGGGTTAGGTTTCCTCCTGTAGTAACACTGGATCAAAAAAGATGATCCTTACTGGACCTCTAGGAAGAACAGTTTAGAACTGATAGAGCTATCCAGTATCAATAAAGTTAGTTTAGTTTAGGTTTCCTCCTGTAGTAACACTGGATCAATAAGAGATGATCCTTACTGGACCTCTAGGAAGAACAGTTTAGAACTGATAGAGCTATCCAGTATAAATAAAGTTAGTTTAGTTTAGGTTTCCTCCTGTAGTAACACTGGATCAATAAGAGATGATCCTTACTGGACCTCTAGGAAGAACAGTTTAGAACTGATAGAGCTATCCAGTATAAATAAAGTTAGTTTAGTTTAGGTTTCCTCCTGTAGTAACACTGGATCAATAAGAGATGATCCTTACTGGACCTCTAGGAAGAATCGCATCTGGGTGCATTGCAAGCTAATGGGTTAACAAGAGACACTGACAGATAGTTTTGTTAACTTATTAACTGACAGTACTCTTCCAATGATGAGTAAAATCATCTGACACGATTAGGAAAAATCTATGTTCATAATGCTGGACAATGCAGTTTGACCCATTCACTTAGCATACATAGCTCAGTGCGTTATACTCTAGTCCCAGTTCTCTCTCTCAGCTCGCAATATGTTTTAATTTATTTGTGGAAACACCGCAGCAAATTCCAAGAATTCCTGACAGCAAATGATGCATTTTATGCAAACACTTTATAAGGAAGAGATATTTGTCTTTATAAACTGATCATTTTGCAGAAGATTTTGAGAAAATACAAACACAGACATCTTCAAGAACGAACACTGTATCTATATTCAGTCTATACAGCGAGGTTTATACTACAGAGCGAAAACAACACAGAACTTGCTTTATTATTACGACACAAGAACGACGTGAAATATGGCTTCATATATACAAGGCTACGATGAAGAAAGGTTTGTGAACCAAATCGATCGAAATTTCCTCTGTCAGATTTGCTTCAACGTCTTGAAAGAGCCGGTTATGTGTTCGAGAAACCAGCATTCTTTTTGCCGTTGTTGTATTACGAAACATCTGGAAAATTCTCAAACATGCCCAACGTGTGCTGATGAACTGACCGTAGAGACTTTGGCCGAAGCACCGCGAATTGTAAAAGATTTTTTAAATGAATCAAAAATTCGTTGCGTTTACATCGACAGAGGTTGTCAAGAAGTTGTAGAAGTGCAGCATCTTGACCGCCATGAAGATACATGTGGATATACACCAGCCGTTTGTACAAACCAAGGCTGTGGTTTAATTGTCAACAAGCGTGATCTTATTCACCATGAAAGTGAAGTCTGCGAATTCCGAAAGTTGAAGTGTCACTCGTGCGGAGAAATCACGAAAACTTTGGCAGATATCGAGGGTAGAATGGCGAAGAATAATGTAACGATTGAAACTAAAATAACAAATTTAGAGAAAAATATGGCGAGAAATACCACAATCGCAGATTTAAAAGCAGATATAAAAGCAGATATGGAAGGAAAACTCGAAGCGGTTAACAACAAAGTCGATGGATTGAAAACAGCTTTGGTCAGAACTTTTGATGAAATGAAGGACGTTCTTATCACGATGGAGGGAAAAATAGAAGAAAACACAAGAAAAGTAAGAAATAGACCAAGTGGTGATAAAGAAAATATAATTGTTGCTGGAAGTCTTTGGATTAACTCTGTAGAGATGTTTAACTGGCGTCAAAGAACGTGGTCGTTATTACAATCAATGCCAAAGAATCGTTGGGCAGCGACTTCATTTATTTATAACAATCATATGACTATAGCTGGGGGTTGGTATGGTGGGTCTGGCATTCTTGATGATATGATTAGAATGAATATTGACCCAAACCCTGATCTCTCAAAACACTGGAGTGACTGTCCTGTTAAACTACCTGATAAGCTGAGATTCCACAGCAGTGTGCTGTATAATGATCAGTTGATAGTCTCTGGAGGTGAAAATAGAAATGGTTCATCTGACTTGATCAGATCAGTCCAGCTTGTTCCTCCCTATACTGTGAAGACCTTATCAAGAGTGCCAGAACCAAGACTATATCACAGCATGGAAATATTTGATGATAATTTGTTCATAGTTGGTGGAAGTACAAATGACAGTTACAAAGACAACCTCAGCAGTGTCGTACTGTACGATATGAAGAAGAATGAGCTGAAAAAGTTGTCACCACTGCCGTATGAAGTGAGTGATATGGCAACTGTGAGATGGGGAGACAACATTGTTGTTATTGGTGGTGTTGACAAACATGGCAAGACATTAGATACAGTTATCATTTACAATGTCAAGACAGAACAAAGTCACATGCTGCCATCAATGAGATGTAAGAGGCGGGGATGTACTGCAGTTGTTATTGAAAACAACATTGTAGTCCTGGGAGGGTGGGGTGAGGACGAATGCCTGAACTCAGTTGAAGGTTTCAACTTTGAAAGGTATTCTTGGGAAGAACTTCCAGAAATGTCTGAAGCAAGATGGTGGCACACTGCTGTTGTTGTGTGAACAATATGTAAGGTATTAAGTGAAAACTCCTAACATATTATGAACATTTGAAATGAACTATAAGATTTTCACAAAGTTATAGAAATAGATTGTAGCATTCTAAGTTGTTTGTCAGACTCAGACATATACTGATTTGTATTTTTGTGACTGAATTTCAATTGAGTCAGTTCTTGGAATTATATATTAAAGAACAATGACAAATGTATGAAATAGATATTTCCATTGAGGAAGGTTTAAAATGAAACATCAAATAAAAGAATTCAAACAATAGGTAGGTGCATGAGTGAATAAAATTTGATTAAATATTGACCATGTTGGATCAGAGTTATTAGTTTCTATTAACTGCAGTTTGAATTAAAAAATTCAACTTTTCTAGAAACATAAATATTTCTGGGAGGAGACATAAAATGAAAGGGTAAACTTACGATGTTTCAGAGCATGTGATGCAGGGGATATTTCTGATGTTAGATTTCAACATTGATAATGGCGCCTGTTCATCTCTACCATGATGTTCCCCACATTTGAAATAAAATTCCTATGAAAGAACAAGAAGTTTTTAATTTTTATCAACAACCTGGTATGAATTGTCTGCATTCATGATTTTACTCATCAGTGGAAGAGTACTGTCAGTTAATGAGTTAACAAAACTATCTGTCAGTGTCTCTTGTTAACCCATTAGCTTGCAATGCACCCAGATGTGACCTACTTTAGTATTTTACTCTCTAATGTAGATGATTTTAGTCATCAGTGGAAGAGTACTGTCAGTTGATAAGTTAACAAAACTATCTGTCAGTGTCTCTTGTTAACCCATTAGCTTGCAATGCACCCAGATGTGACCTACTTTAGTATTTTACTCTATCTAATGTTAGATGATTTTAGTCATCAGTGGAAGAGTACTGTCAGGTAATAAGTTAACAAAACTATCTGTCAGTGTCTCTTGTTAACCCATTAGCTTGCAATGCACCCAGATGTGGCCCACTATTGTATTTTAGGTGTGATAGGTGAATAACTTACAGCTGTTTTTTTCCTGACAGTTTGTATTGGATTCACATTGTCGCTGCATGCGACCTTTGGTCAATACATCGTCCCAACCATTTGGACCCTTGCAAGAAACTATAAATATTGTGTAAACAAGATGTTTGTTGACATTCAAAAGCTTTCACAGCAAGCTTGTAAACAAGTTGTAACAATGTCAACATTTTATAAAGTCTAAATATAAATCTACTGCAGATTTTTTACAAGTTGTTTATAAGCAAACAGTAAATACCTGTGATAAAACAAAGCTTCCTTCCTTGCAATTTGAACATCGACATCGCAATTTTCCTCGTGTTAGTTTCTTGCAAGTTTTACAATAAACAAAGAAGAAACTTTGCTTGCCTGAGATGAGAGAGTATGAAAAATATGGATTATTAAAGAAACCCTGGTGTTAGAAAGAGCAGGGTTTTATATTGATGCAGTGCAGTATAATATAAGATTAGGAGGGTAAGATATATTATAAGACATGTAGTGAGGGTTGTATGGAGAAGGGGGGGACTATCAGAAGGCTAAATCTGTGGTTTCAGGCTTGTGCATGACGTATGCAGTGTTGTGACAAACGGAGCGTTTGCCTGAAGAAAAACAAACTATATTACTATGAAATCAGCTCAGTTTTCAATTTTGAATTTCAACAGATTACGAATGACTGATCGTCGCATTTTGACATGATTCTATTCATTTAACTCATATGCTGAAGCCCGGTTTACACTACACTCAATTTATTGGTACGGCACGGCTAAAATGGGCAGTGGGCACCCGTACCCATTACATCTGTACTCAGCCTTTGTTTTGGTAGCCTGAACACTAATAAAATTGGGCACGGGTGCCCATTTTAGCCGTGCTGTGCTGATAAATTCAGTGTAGTGTAAACGGGGCTTGAACGTCTACAAAACGCAAATTCGTTTGAATCTTGTCCAAATGATCCAGTAAACTTAGTGCATGCTGCAGTGTTTATAAATTAAGAGCGCACTTGTGTCGCGAGGAATTTATTAGTTCACATTCTCAGGGCGCAACTTTGAACCGAAAATTCTTCAAGTTCTTGTCGGAATTATTTGACAAGAATGGTATTGGAATGATCCGGAAAGATTAAATTTTCAGATTATTTAAAAACCTGAAAATCGAAATTCTCATTGCAAGATATACACTTTATGATTAGTAATGCTTGAAAGCTCGTCTGCACAACTCATGACAGGCCATCACACGTTTAATTATTTTGAAATATTTTCATGAAAGTTCATCGGCTTGTTCAAGCTTCGGTATAAAAACTTTTATAAAAGTATTTAAGAATGATTTTTCTTGGTAAAAGTATCATTTTCTTGGAACTCATTTCCATATTTTATTTGCGAAATTATTGTTTACGAATTGCGACCAATTGCAGGTGATGAAATTTCATGTTTGCAAATTGCGGTTTTGAAAAGACGCTTTCAACACTTCGCGAAGAAGCGATATTTGTCTGTTTAAAAGGAATCGTTTTGTTGAATGTTTCAAGCAGCAAATTCTAAGAATGACTTCTCCAAGAACGAACACTGTATCTATATTCAGTCTATACAGCGAGGTTTATACTACAGAGCGACAAACAACACAGAACTTGCTTTATTATTACGACACAAGAACGACGTGAAATATGGCTTCATATATACAAGGCTACGATGAAGAAAGGTTTGTGGACAAAATCGATCGAAATTTCCTCTGTCAGATTTGCTTCAACGTCTTGAAAGAGCCGGTTATGTGTTCGAGAAACCAGCATTCTTTTTGCCGTTGTTGTATTACGAAACATCTGGAAAATTCTCAAACATGTCCAACGTGTGCTGATGAACTGACCGTAGAGACTTTGGCCGAAGCACAGCGAATTGTACAAGATTTTTTAAATGAATCGAAAATTCGTTGCGTTTACATCAACAGAGGTTGTCAAGAAGTTGTAGAAGTTCAGCATCTTGACCGCCATGAAGATACATGTGGATATACACCAGCCGTTTGTACAAACCAAGGCTGTGGTTTAATTGTCAACAAGCGTGATCTTATTCACCATGAAAGTGAAGTCTGCGAATTCCGAAAGTTGAAGTGTCACTCGTGCGGAGAAATGACCAAAACTTTGGCAGATATGGAGGAAAGAATGGCGAATATCGACGTAACAATTGCAACTAAAATAACAAATTTGGAGCAAAATGTTGCCACTGTTGCGAATAATATGGAGAAAAACACGGCAGATATAAAAGCAGATATGGAAGGAAAACTCGAAGCGGTTAACAGCAAAGTCGATGGATTGAAAACAGCTTTGGTCAGAGCTTTTGATGAAATGAAGGACGTTCTTATCACGATGGAGGGCAAGAAAGAAGAAAACACAAGAAAAGTAAGAAATAGACCAAGTGGTGATAAGGAAAATATAATTGTTGCTGGAGGTTATGGAACTAACTCTGTAGAGATGTTTAACTGGCGTCAAAGAACATGGTCGCCATTACAATCAATGCCAAAGAAACGTTGGGGAGCGACTTCATTTATTTATAACAATCATATGACTATAGCTGGGGGTTGGTGTGGTGGGTCTGGCATTGTTGATGATATGATTAGAATGAATATTGACCCAAACCCTGATCTCTCAACACACTGGAGTGACTGTCCTTTTAAACTACCTGATAAGTTGAGATACCACAGCAGTGTGCTGTATAATGATCACTTGATAGTCTCTGGAGGTGAAAATGGAAATGGTTCATCTGACTTGATCAGAGCAGTCCAGCTTGTTCCTCCGTATACTGTGAAGACCTTATCAAGAATGCCAGAACCAAGACAATGTCACAGCATGGAAATATTTGATGATAATTTGTTGATAGTTGGTGGAAATACAACTGGCAGTCCCAATGGTAACCTCAGCAGTGTCATACTGTACGATATAAAGAAGAATGAGCTGAAACAGTTGTCACCACTGCCGTATCAAGTGAGTGAGATGGCAACTGTGAGATGGGGAGACAACATTGTTGTTATTGGTGGCGTTGACAAATATGGCAACACATTAGATACAGTTATCATTTACAATGTCAAGACAGAACAAAGTCACAAGCTGCCATCAATGAGATGTAAGAGGAGGGTATGTACTGCAGTTGTTATTGAAAACAACATTGTAGTCCAGGGAGGGTGTGATGAGCAATATCAATCTGTGAAGTCAGTTGAAGGTTTCAACTTTGAAAGGTATTCTTGGGAAGAACTTCCAGAAATGTCTGAAGCAAGATTGTGGCACACTGCTGTTGTTGTGTGAACAATATGTAAGGTATTAAGTGAAAACTCCTAACATATTATGAACAATTGAAATGAACTATAAGATTTTCACAAAGTTATAGAAATAGATTGTAGCATTCTAAGTTGATTGTCAGACATATATACTGATTTGTATTTTTTTGATTGAATTTAAATTCAGTCAGTTCTGAGATTTATATATTAAAGAGCAATGACAAATGTGTGAAATAGATATTTCCATTCAGGAAAGTTTAAAATGAAACATCAAATAAAATAATTCAAACAATAGATAGGTGCATGAGTGAAAAAATTGATTAAATATTGACCATGTTGGATCAGAGTTATTAGTTTCTATTCACTGCAGTTTGGATTTAAAAAATTCAACTTTCCTAGAAGGATAAATATTTCTGAGAGGAGACATAAAATGAAAGGGTAAACTTACGATGTTTCAGAGCATGTGATGCAGGGAATATTTCTTATGTTAGATTTCAACATTGATAATGGCGCTTGTTCATCTCTTCCATGATGTTTCCTCAAGTAACAATGAAGATTGTGGATTCACACTTTAGTTAAGTTTCCTCCTGTAGTAACACTGGATCAATAAGAGATGATCCTTACTGGACCTCTAGGAAGAACATTTTAGAACTGATAGAGCTATAGGAGCAATTAAATATGCAAACATTTATTATAAAAACAAGATTATAAAGGAGTTACATCTCAAAACATTGAAAATTTTATACGTGTTACATCTTAAGCAGGTTATATGAGAACATTAACACCAGAATATCTATATATTGTTAGTACAAACATTGAACAGAGTCAGACAGATAACGTAAGGTTAAAAATCGCGTATTGCCTTAAATCCTAACTAAACTGTGTAAATATTTTCCAAAGTCAAATCATCGTTCTTCGCCCATTAATGGCTGCTTTGAGGAGTCTCCGTGCGATCCTAAAAAATGGAGACGATATGATTAGATTTGCCATGAAATAATTTGCCTAATGTTCGGTTAGTGAGACCAGTAAAAGTCTCTGAACTTTGTGATCACGTGAATGACATACCTCCATCATGCGGAAAGGACGTGTTTATTTTATCCATGACGTCACGTAGCTCCGGGTCTTGTATACCTCGAGAACCTGTGACCAGCGGTTTTCTTTCACCATCGTTGTCACTATCGCTTGCCGTGGCGTCACCATGGTAACCAGGTTTCTTGACTGAACCAGATGAGGACGCTGGAGTCATTCGCGATCCTGATCTTTCAGACGGCTGGGAATAAAGTTTAGAATTCATAGAGTTATCCAGTATAAATAAAGTTAGTTTAGTTTAGGTTTCCTCCTGTAGTAACACTGGATCAATAAGAGATGATCCTTACTGGACCTCTAGGAAGAACAGTTTAGAACTGATAGAGCTATCCAGTATAAATAAAGTTAGTTTAGTTTAGTTTTCCTCCTGCAGTAACACTGGATCAATAAGAGATGATCCTTACTGGACCTCTAGGAAGAACAGTTTAGAGCTGATAGAGCTATCCAGTATAAATAAAGTTAGTTTAGTTAGGTTTCTTCCTTTAGTAACACTGGATCACTAGGAGATGATCCTTACTGGACCTCTAGGAAGAACAGTTTAGAACTGATAGAGCTATCCAGTATAAATAAAGTTAGTTTAGTTTAGGTTTCCTCCTGTAGTAACACTGGATCAGTAAGAGATGATCCTTACTGGACCTCTAGGAAGAAAAATCAACATTTACCTGTTCAAGCAATTGTTTCAGCTTCGTCAACTGTTGTTGCAATTGGCGATTGTGATCCTCCAACACTTTGACACGTGATTCATGACGTGATCTGTGCTGACGTAGTAACTTGATCTCGTTCATGACGTCATTCTCACGATCTTGTCCCGAGTGAGGATCGTCGCGGCTCGTCGTCAACGATTTTAACTGGCTGAGTTCTTCCATTAGGGTTCTATTAGACAATTTTGAGAAAAAATTTAGAAGGGTTCACGTTATTTTTCTTAGCGATTATCACAGCACGGTTTATCTAGAGGTAGGAAAACGGCCTCTAGATATGGACTCAGTTAAATATGGACTTTTGGGGCACATGAAATAGTTTCTTTCATACTTGTTTTCATCTTGAAGATCAGTGATCGTCTTGTCCAAATCTTCTTTTTCTTCCTGGGCCAATTCCATCAAAATTTGCGTTGGGCTTCGCGGCTGCT